ATCCCTCTGACCTTGATGATGGCATCACCTCAGATAGACCTACCGTTACTGTCTTCAGTGGTGGATCAGGCACGGCTGGTTATACCAGTTACGTACCCGGCGAATCGAACGATCCGGGAACGGTCTTCATCGTCACGCCGCAAGGCGAGCTTCCTTCTTCTTCCCACGGGGCACATCACGGAACCACAATCGCACCCTCATCGGCCGGTGGCAATGTTACTATCTACCGAGCTGGCACTCGATCAACTACAAGAACGATATTCATGCCTGCTACAGCTTCTGATGAATCTGGTACTATCATTATCGAAACGCCGACCACGGGCCCCGAGGAGACAGAATCTGGAAGCATCACCCACACGGGCAGCCACACAGCCGAACACACCACAGTTGCACCAGACCATGGAAGCGGCAATGTCACCATCTACAGGGCCGGAACCCGCTCGACTTCGCATACCGTTTACGAACCAGCTACAGGATCCAACGAACCAGGAACTGTCATTATCGAGACACCTACCGTGCCTGTCACCAACTCAGCTGGTGAGACCATCTCTCCCGCGATTGCCAACTCGACCATCATTCGCGGTGGCCCTCACTCAACGACGCATACAATATTCATTCCGGCTACAGCATCCAATGAGCCTGGAACCGTCATCATTGAGACGCCCACTGTTCACATCACTGATGGACCTGCTGAGACCACGACTGACTCTCCTTCGGGCATCGCCAATGTGACTGTTGTCCGGGGAGGAACTCTCTCAACCACTCATACTGTCTACATTCCCCCGACTGCCTCCAATGAGCCTGGCACGGTTATTATTGAATTGCCCGTGGTTGGTATCACCGATGCTCCCAGCGAGCCCACTTGGACACCCTCAGACGACGATGTCACAATCATCAGAGATGGTTCCTTGACAACTACACACACCATTTATATCCCTCCAGCTTCAGGCCAGCCAGGAACAGTCATCATCGAGACACCAACTGCCGTGCTTGCTACCAACTCCGCTGGTGAGACTACTCTGGTGGATACTCCAGGTCACAACGTCACCGTCTTCAGGGCTGGTACTCGCTCAACTTCGCACACCATCTATGAACCCCCAACTGCAGATGGTGAGCATGGCACTCTCATCATTGAGACTCCCACTGGAGATCATCACACTGGAGCATCAATCACCAGTCACTCTGGTGATCAGACCTCTCTTACACCTCAAGCTGGTGCCTCGTCTGCAGATTTGTCTTCAGAGACCGGTGCCAGTGATGGACATTCAGGCAGCGCCACGTCCCATACTGGAACTTCTCATGCATCTCACACCTCGTCACATGGACCTTCACACTCAGGAGACGCTTCGAGTACATCTGGTGTCCTTGTCGATGTTGAGGATATCTCCCAGAGCTCATCCAGCGCGAACTCAGGAGCCGGGTCCTCCTCCAGTCATTCGGACTCCGCGTCTTCCTCTTCAAGCGCTTCTGGTGGAAACTCTGGAACGTCCACTAGCTCCTCTGCAACTCAGTCAACATCCAGCCACGCTTTGGATTCTTCGCATGCCAGCAGTTCCTCCAGTGTCAGCACAAGCAGCGCCTCGACAAGTTCACACGCGAGCACGTCGTCCGCTAGCTCAGCTACCAGCAGTAGTTCAGCACCAGCTTCAACATCAAGTACTTCTGCTCCTGGTTCAACTTCTAGCAGCTCCGTCGCAAGCACCTCTTCTAGTGCCACGACAAGCTCGTCTAGCAGCGCTGTTGCTTCCACTAGCAGCTCAATCTCAACCTCGAGCAGCGCCACAAGTACTTCAGTCAGCAGTAGTTCATCCACCAGGCCCCCTACAACCACAGCACCACCTACAACCACAAGCAGCACTTCCACCACGTCCACTACTTCATCCATCAAGCTCATGCCCACTTTTGACTGCAACAAGATGGGTTACGCCCTCGATGGCCGCCGACTCGTCATGGTCAATTTCGCCGACGGAAGCAGAAGCTCCATTGGTTACATCGGTACAGACGGCGGGTTCATCAATGCCATCGGCTTCAACAAGCTCGACAACTATATCTACGCCGTCATCACCGATCCACTACTTGATATCCTTCTCGGCAGTCTACTTGGTGGTCAGCCTGGTTCTTGGCTTATGCGTGTCGCAAAGAACGGAAACTGGGATGTTCTCCCGCATCGTATCGACAGCACAAGCATCACTCTGGGTGACATTGACGACGTTGGACGCTTCTGGGTCTCAGAAGGAGGCAGAAAGTATTTCCAGATCGATGTCAATCCCGCATCTGCAACTTTTGGCAACACCATCACGACTGGTCTATCCAACATGGGTATCTTGTCTGGCGTGGGTGACTGGGCGTTTGTACCAGGAAGCGGAAACTACCTCTACTCGGTACAGTTCTCGCTTCTCTTTACCGGCATTCTATCCACCAATGTCATCAAGTTCAATCTCGACACGATGAAGTGGGAGGTCCACAAGACATGGGGTATACTCAGTGTTCTGGGCGGTGGCCTCGTCTGGGATATCGTATGGGGAACTTCTGACGGCATGCTGTACGCTCAAGAGACTGTTCTTGGGACCACTTGGAGGTTCAACATCCGCAGTCCCAACACCAATCCAGTGGCTCTGCCCAAGGGCGGAACTTTACTGGCGTTGACGGGAGACGGTGCCAGGTGTATTGGCGCAGCGTCATAAGAAAGGGGAAGAAACATTGTGAGCGGCAAGATTGTCACAAAAGCCGCGGGGACATTCGGCATTTTCTGCCAAGTTTTCATATGTACTCAAGTCAAGCGATCCGTACTATTTCTTATGTACCAAGTCAGCACTCGCTATATAATCAAGATCTATTTCCTTTTTCCATCAACATTGCTATCTCCATCTAGCTTGTAGCCTTTGCAGGCGTAGAAGCCAAGGTGGCAGTGCTGGAGCAGACACAGCCCTGGCCTGCGATGCTCGTGACTGGGGGAGCGTTGCAAGTGGCCTCGGTGGTCCAAGAGACGTAGGTCGAGGTGGGCTCCTCGTAGACGACCTCCGCCTTGACAAGGACGGGGATGATTTGACCAGTAGCCAGACGGAAGGGCTGGTGGTTGAGGGCCTGAAGAAGCTTGGTGATCTCGCCAGAGTGGCTAGAGATGCTGATCCAAACGGCATTGTCGCTGGTAAAGATATCGTCGAGAACCTCCTTGCTGCGAGCCAGCTGATGATCACCAGTCTCGCCCTTCTTGCCAGTCCAAAGCTTGTCCTTCTCAGAGAAACCCTTCTCGAACTTGATCTTGGGAGTCAGAGTCTTGATGTAGCTCTTGCTGGAACGGTGGTCGCAGGTGCGGATGCTGACACCCTCACGAAGCCACTCCTTGACAATAGGCTCAAATCGGTTCGACTTGGGGAGCTTCAGACCCTTAAAGGTCTCGTGGGCAGTGACGACGCAGCGGGCCAGAGGAGAGGTGTAGTAGGACTCGAAGTAGGGCATACCCTCATTCTCGAATCGAGTCTTGAAGTAGGCGTTGGCCTTGTAAGCCTCGCTAAGACCTGCGGGGGTGAGAAGAGGATCCTCCCAGATAGCAGTGCCATTGCCAGACTGCTCGCCCCAATAGCACTATACCCAGTCAGCTTGAGTACCTAATGATAATTACAGGATGACTTACGTTCCAAGCAGGAGTGCCGTAGAAGCTCTCAGCAGCGTTGTGCCAGCCCTCGCCGTGACGGCCCATAACAAGGACCTTGTATCGGACCCTGTCACGGCTGGCATTGCGGTTCAGGTGCTTGACATACTGAGCGAAACGCTCCCACTGAGTCTTGTAACCCTTGCGAGGGTTCTTGGGATCAGTGGGATAAGTGCGGTTCAAGAGACCAAAGTTCCATTGAGCCTGAAGTCGTCAGTATATCACTTAACCATTGACAAAGGAAGACATACGTAGTCAAACGTCTTGGGGTCAGTGGCCGCATCATCCTGCATGAAGAATTCCGGGACGGCCGTATACTTGATCTCCTTGTTCTTAGCAAAGTGCCAGTCAGCCAGAGTAGCAGGCGTCAGGGCCAGGAGGGCGGAAACGATGGACAGCTTCATTTTGAAGGCTCAGTTGAAACGAGAAGTGGTCCTGAGTAGCAGAGACTGAAGAACAAGATCGTCATTGAGGTGCTGACGTTGGACTTAAGTATTTGCAACCCCATCGGGATCATCTTCCCAAGGTGTCATCGCGTCTTAATCCATGCCCCTCATGTTCCTTAACCACATGGCCGGCGTTGTTCAGATACATCCCCGGAGGATCTTGGCCCGAAGACTTTCCGGCCGAAGCAAGAAGCGGAGCCAATCGATCGGCAACGTGGCGGGCAAGGGCCGGGCAAAGTGGAGATTTGCCAGGGTCTTGAGCTCCGGGACAGTGGTTAACTTTGGGGCCTCGGTGAGAGAAGACGGCGAAGACGACGGAGATGGTACTCGGAGGCTACGACGGAAATTGATATCATGGCCGGCGCCGAGGAGACTTGGAGTTGGTGGATTTGTTGAATTGGGATATGGCGTACGTATGTCTCAAGCTCGTGTTGGCTGACGGTGGGGCAATCATGATTGCATGTGATAAAGGCATTTGAGAGATTCGGTGCGTTCTTTGTATACCAGATGGTTCATTTCTAGTCTCAAATGAATACATCATATAAAGCGATCCATGTAGAGCTAAACCACCAGACAAAAAACACAATCACCGTTGAATGTGCATGAATCTACAACAAAATAGCTCGGGGAAGCTCTTCAAGTGGCAGACGCACCAGCCAGGCACCAACCAATCAAACACCAACCTCCCCACATCCCGAAATTGTTAGTCCCGCTCAAGCTCCCCAAGCTTCTCGCCCCAACGGCTACGTACCTTGTCCTTTCTTGGGAATCACACCTCCAAAGGGGACGGACCCTTTCTCATCACCGCCTCCCCTTTTCATCTTCTTTCTACCAAGTCTCACCCCACGTGAAACCTGCTGCACAGTATCTCCTATCAGCTCTCTACAGTTCTTTAGATCGTCATGGCCTCCACTGACCCCACCAACGATGAACTTCACCTTGAAGGTGACCCCGCGCCTGAGTTGCTGGAGGGTCGTATCTGGGTCGATGGCTGCTTTGACTTTTTCCACCACGGTAGGTCTATCTACAGTCTCTTTATGGACCTCAACTGACTTCAATAGGCCATGCTGGTGCCATCGTCCAGGCTCGTCAGCTTGGCACCGAGCTTTACGCTGGCGTCCACTCGGATGAGGCCATCCTCGCCAACAAAGGTCCCACTGTCATGACCCTCGAAGAACGGTGATTTTACATGCTCTATCGGTCTGTCGAGCGGCAGACTCGTCACTCAACGTCTACTAACTCACTATAGTCTTGCTGCCACAGACGCCTGCCGATGGGTAACGCGTTCAGTCGGTCATGCACCTTACGTCACCTCACTCCCCTACATCACTCACTACGGCTGCAAGTATGTCGTTCACGGCGACGACATCACCTCCGATAGCGATGGAAACGACTGCTACCGCTTCGTCAAGGAGGCGGGTCGGTTCAAGGTTGTTAAGCGCTCTCCTGGCATCTCCACCACCGACCTCGTCGGTCGCATGCTTCTGTGCACCAGGACGCATTTCATCAAGTCCCTTGAGAAGAAGCTCGCCGGTCAAGAGGGCCACGGCACCGAAGAGGAGCGTATCGCTGAAGGAAAAGCTATGCTGGAGCGCATGCGGCTCTACGCCACTGACGAGTCTGGCAAGGCCCCCGGCGTCGATGTCTGGCAATGGAAGGCCTCCAGGGAAGCCAAGGCCGAAGACGGTGAGGAAGAAAAGGGTGTCTTCAGCCAATTAATCGAAGGACCTGGTCCCAAGCCCGGCCAGCGCGTCGTCTACGTCGATGGCGGATACGACCTCTTCTCCAGTGGCCACATCGAGTTTCTCCGAAAGGTACTTCTCCAGGAGGAGGAGCTTGCGCGAGAGGAGGGTTGGTACTCTGAGCAGGCTGTCAATGAGCGCAAGGGCAAGGGCGAGGATTATCCTCCTGCCTACGTCGTTGTTGGTGTTCATGATGACGAGGTCATTAACCAGTGGAAGGGGGTCAACTATCCCATCATGAACATTTTCGAGCGCGGTCTCTGTGTTCTCCAGTGCAAGGTCAGTTGAAGTTCTCACCGCGTATAATCACATCTCCTAACAACTCCCAGTACATCAACGCTGTCGTCTTTGGCGCCCCGTTTACCCCCACCGAGAGCTACCTCTGCTCATTACCGCGCGGCCTCCCAGACGCCGTCTACCACGGTCCCACGTCCTTCATCCCTCTCACCTACGACCCCTACACGGCACCCAAAGCCATGGGCATCTACCGCGAAATCGGAGACCACACTTTCGCACACGTCAACGCCGGCGAGATTGTCCAGCGCATCATGAAGAGCCGCGACATGTACGAAGCGCGACAGAGAGCCAAGGGCATGAAGGCCGAAGTCGAGGCAGCGGCACGCGAGCGTGAGATTCTTGAGGAGGAGCAACGTCAGAAGGAGGCCGAGAGGGCGTGATGGTGTGTAGTGGCGGGAAACGTGGCGGTCTGGCGGTCTGCGCATGGCTTGTCTCGAGATGGGAAGACAAGGATGATGGAATAAAATCGGTCTTCAACAGGCCCCCGGTAAAGACTAAGAGACGGGAAAGTAATCAGTTAACCATGATACCTAGAAATACACGTTAGTAAATACAAACACCTTTTTGCATAGGTAATTTAGCCGGCGACACCTTCATCATGACAACTCACGATAAGAACATGGATCATGTCTGCCATGCAACCCAACCCCTCCTCAGAAGAAAGCCGAGTACGTACTCGTCAGTAGCACGGCTCTAGTCGGCAGCCCCGATCGTCGATAAGCCCGCTGCAGGTTCATGTAATGTGACCCGGACTTGTGTCCATTGTTTTTTTCCCCTTGCTGCGGCGGCTCTCACCAATGACCTCATCATAAACCGGCTGCGCGGGGGGTTGCAATGGCAATTGGCGGTTAGACGCGGTGGGCGCCTCCAATTCCGCCCCCCGTGATATCAACGACAAAGAATGTTTTTTTAATGCCGAGAGGGTGGATGACACACACTAAAGAACAATATGCAAAATAAACACAATCAGATCCATTCTATGATTAGGGAAGGTCAGACAGACCCCCATATCAGAAATGATAAGCTGGGATTAAGAAGCAGGTGACCGTCTCGCGAGTAAACACGCAATCCAGGTCATTTTCACCTCATGCTTGTAGTTTGTTATCAGTTTGCTGTGGAGTTTTTGCAAGCGCCCTGTCGGTGGGGCTTCCATCAAAGGGTAGAATTGACAATTGCCTTTTTTCTTGCTTTTTGTTTCCGCACTCTTTACCAAGAGCCGAACCGACCTCGGCCATAGAATCCCTGTAGAAATCGAGATGGTGGCATTGTAACCATTGCTGGGTAAGGTGAGACAGAAAAGAACCATCTTCAATGGGAAAGAATTTTCCATGCCATGGCTTCATCTTCCGTGGCACGTAGATCCCCCCTTTGAGTAGAAACTTCTGTCAAACTCCAAGCCAATGACTCTCAGAAAAAGTCTAGAAACACAATCATTCGCCCCTCAAAATGAACAATCTAGCCTCATCCCAACAAGGCGGCTCTCTCACCACACCCTCTCAACCCGGGGACCCACGTTAACCCGGAGGGGTACCTATCGCCTGCATACCGGGTTGCGCGGCTGCCCATGTACCACCTCATCATGGCCACTCCCGTGTTATCAAGAAGAAAAAAACACTACGCCGGAGCCGAGAGCGGTGCGGGCAGAGGCGGGCTATCCGGGCTGGCGGGGACGGACTTTTTTTTTTGCAACAGGTCACCTGGCCCCCTTCTCGGCGCTCCCTCTAACGTTAGTCAAGGGTTTTTGGTGGAGAGGGAGAACAATAGAGTCACAGTCATGAGTCCAGGGGAGCAAACGCCCCTTCTATAAAGTTTGCCTCTGCAGACTTTAGTTCTTTTCTTCTTTCTTGCTTCTTCAGACTCATCTGTTGCATTGGTTGTTAATAGTGCGTGTTGCTTGACGTGCTTGTTGTAGCTCCCACCTCCTCTTTGTTGCTGTAAATTTGAGTCACATCAAACTGAGTCACATCGACACCATCTCTTCTCTCACCCCAACAACACCTCGACTCGACCCAATTGACCCGTCAACACCATGGCTCCCTCTGCTGTCGAAACCCAGGACGTCAACCTGACGGCTGCCGCCATTCACAAGAAGGAGGCCGCTCAGCCTGCCATCGTCAACGGCCAATCCAACCAGGCTCCCCTCGACGCCTCCAAGCTCACCTACACCTACACCCAGAACCCTCGTGCCGTCCCCGATGAGGCCACTGCCCACTCCGGCGACGAGACCATCGCCACCGACCACATGGTTCTCGCTTCCTGGCACCAATCCACCGGCTGGGCTGCTCCCGAGCTCAAGCCCTACGGTCCTTTGAGCCTCATGCCCACCGCCTCGGTCTTGCACTACGCTACCGAGTGCTTCGAGGGTCTCAAGACCTACCGTGGTTACGATGGCAAGCTCCGCATCTTCCGTCCTGACCGCAACGCTGCTCGTCTCCGAATGTCTGCCGGCCGAATCTCCCTCCCCATCTTCGAGCCCTCCGAGATCGAGAAGCTCATGATCGCCCTTCTTTCCGTCGATGGTCCCAAGTGGCTCCCCAAGGACCAGCCTGGAAACTTCCTGTACATCCGACCTACCGTCATTGGCACCGCTCCTCAGCTCGGTGTTGCTGCTCCCAAGGCCGCCCTCCTCTACATCATTGTCACCTTCATGCCCCGCCTGGATGCTCCCGCCGGTGGAATGCGACTTCACACCTCTCCCGACGACATGGTCCGCGCCTGGGTTGGTGGCTTCGGTTACGCCAAGGTCGGCGCCAACTACGGTCCTTCCCTGCTGGCCACTGCCGATGCCAGAACTCGCGGCTACCACCAGATTCTCTGGCTGTACGGTGCTCAGGGCGAGTGTACCGAGGCCGGTGCCAGCAACTTCTTTGTCATCTGGAAGCGCAAGGACGGCAAGAAGGAAATCATCACTGCTCCTCTCGACGACAAGCTGATCCTCGACGGTGTTACTCGACGAAGCTGCCTCGAGCTGGCCCGCGAGCGATTGGGCGACGAGTTCGAGATTACCGAGCGAAAGTACAACATCGCCGAGGTTCTCGAGGCCGACGCCGAAGGCCGCATCATTGAGGCTTTCGCTGCTGGTACTGCCGTAAGTTGAACCCAAATTGAATGATTCGCTAGTCAATTGCTAACTTCCCTTTCAGTACTTTATCTGCCCCGTCTCCCAGATCCACCACCGTGGTAAGGACATCAACATCCCCATGGGTGTTGAGGGTGCGCCTGGAATGGTCACCAGCAAGATCAAGGGCTGGCTGGGTGACATCATGTACGGCCGTACCCAGCACCCCTGGGGTGTTGTCATCCCCGAGAAGCAATAAGCATGCTTCAACAAAACGAGTTCTCGCGTAGAACAGGGAATTCTTGCATTGGATTGTTCATGGGACGGCGTTTAGCGGATATTATTGATACAAAAGGGACCAAGGGTGGTCCTGTGCATGTTGCATGACACGAAGAGGCGGAGGCGGCATAGCTGCAGACCGTAATGAGAATTAAAATAAAATAAAATAGACACAGCTGACTGTCTGAGCGATGGCAATACATACGTGAGCCTGTGACATCTTCCAAGTTCTCCACGCAGATCAAAAGACAACTCGGGTTACATGACAACCATGCTACTCGTCAACAAAGAAGTTCTGCATCATTCTCAACGTCTCGGCCTGTATATCAGCTTTAAACTCCTAGTCAAGTCAGCGAGCGCAATACCTTGAGAATGGTGCAACAATACCTTTTCAATCTCACCCAACAATCGACATTTGGTCTTGACAATGTCTTCCGCCTCCGCCTTGAATACATATGCCATCTTGGCAGTCTCTTTATCGAGTTCGGTAAGCCCTGGACTTTGGTCTTCAAGCTCTTTCTCAAGGGCACTCCAAGCTTCTGTTTCACTTCGACAGCAAGCATGCTATTCGTCGCTGAGTCGGTGGATCTCCTCTTTCGCCGCGACGATCTCGTTCTTCAGGTTGGCCAAGTGGATAGCAATTGTCGCTCGAGGATGGTTATCAGAGTGGCAGAGAGTCGCGGACAGGGGATAAACAATGTTGGAGTAGACATCATTGCACTCTGCCAAAGTCGCGCCGGTTTCATTGGAAAACCGGGTGATTCTGGACTGGACTTCAGAATGCGCTTGCACGAGATGCTCAATCGCAGATGAGTGAAGGTTCATGCCCATCCGAGCAAACGCCTCTGCTTAATATCAGCCTGTGCATTCTTCCAGATCCGGAGTGACGACTTGCCTCGAAGCTGGATTGCTGGGTCTTTGGTGTCAGACGTCTGTGCAGTCTTGTTGTCGGTCTTTGGGGCAAGCAAATGACTCCCTAGACATGCTTGGACTTGCTGGTAGACGTCCTGGTACGGTGCTGGCTTGGTGGAGGAGCTCGTCGCCGGGGTGTGATCATCGCGAAGACGTGCGCGCAGGCTAGAGGGACAAGCGTTCTCATCGCCCCAAAGACTGGAGGTCGAATTAAGAAGACGAGAGGACGAGTCCATGGTCACCCTTCCGAGATGGCGAGAGAGGACGGGCGACGACGACAGGTAAGTCGGTAGGAATTTTGCGAAGAGGAAATGTCGATGAAAAGTTTGGGGTTCGTCTTGCGTGGTTGATGCAGGTGCTGTTGCAACTTTGTTAGGAAGGAGCGGCTCTGACACTGACCACGCATGCCACCCGAGATCTCGAGCACCCATTGAACCGTGACCCGATGGACAAATACTCCACGGTCGATCTCTGTTGCTAGAAACCCAGTTTCATTCATTCATTCAATTCGGTAAGTAAAGGCTGAGTCCAATGTGATCATGTATTAAATCCTTCAGCATGCTTCCAGGCCTTTTCCACCGAGCATACCCAATATGTCCATTTTGATGTCTCTCAAACGCCAGAACCAACCTCCAGTGACTATCGGACATGAATCTCGTACAAATCTTCATTTAACCCTTTTCGTTTTCCTTTTATCCTTATGCCTTGATCTTTTCCGCAATCGCTTCAACAACATTCTCCCAAGGGATCATGGCTCCGTTCCCAGTATCTCCACATGCCAGGTTCTTCGACACTGGGCGCAACACCTCGAACCATCCATTCTCGCCGCCCCAGTCCTTCTCGAGCACGCGGATCTGCGTCGCCGTGATGGGATGGTTCCACATACACGTATTCATAGCCGGAGCAACTAGAATCTTCTTCTTCTTGCCGTCGACGGCTCCTGTGGTGTCCCAGGCACGGATCACACTCGTCAGAAGGTTGTCGCACATGCCGTTGACGACCTTGGCTAGGGTGTTTGCGCTGAGTGGCGCAATCACAAGAACGTCTGCCCACCGTCGCAGCTCAATATGCAAGATTGGGGCGTTGCGCTTCCATGGCTGAGCCCATTCAGAGGCATCAGTGTAGAGGGCGTCGACGTTGGGCAGGTGAGCGAGCTCGTCCACTGTGGGCTGCTCAACTGTCAAGCCAGAGAGAAACTGCGTCGCAGATTGTGTGAGGATGATACGGATGGAGATATTCGTCTGAGGTTTGAGGCCCTTGATGATTTGGACGAGCTTTATCGTCGCGACAGACCCAGAGGCAGCGAGAAGGATATGGCGCTTGCCATCATTCCGGGCCTTTTCGAGGGTTTCGGTTGAGTTTCGCATGAGGTGCTCGTGGTGGGCGTCGTGGCCCTTTTGGATGATGTGAAGCATCGTGGGGAAAATCCGAGATTTCTTTCCCGAAGTCGATGAGATTTCTTGGCGGGTGATTATTCAGCTAAGGTGGTGATGTGATTATGAAGCTATCCGGATAGATGTGAGATGTGACGGGTTAAAGCCGCAGTGTGGTGGAGTGCATTCAACAAGGGCTTGCGTCGGCTCTTTCGATGTAATTCGGTTGTTTTGTATAGAAAGAATGATATGATTGAGGAATTCAATTCCAAAGCTTGGCCATGAACGAATTTCTGGCTTGTTGAGAGGTTGCCATCCTTTATCTAACCCCGCCATCACCCCGCGTCATCCGACGAACTCTACAGCATCACGGGGGCAGCGCCGATTCTCGCACTTGGCCCTCCGGGAGCGCCTTCCCGATGGCCTGACAACGTGACTGGTTTCAGCTCAAGATTCCCGGTTCTTGAAAAAAGTATGAATAACATGAGCCGATTCAGCTTTGTTTGGTGTATCTCGTGCCTCGACCGGCTACTCTGCCGGATTGCAGCTGATACCGGGGCCGGGTGGAGTAACCAGATCGCCACAGCACCAGCCACAGTCGAGCACCTCATCAGCCACAAGTGTCACCAATTGCATGCCCTCTGATTGGCGAATCGCCACCGTTCTCCGGGGACGGCACCGAAACATCCTCTTTGCATGACCTAATCCAGTTCCTCCGCCATCCGGCCTCTAATCAACTTTTGCGCTGCCAATCCTCCTCCTCTCACCACTTTCCCTTCACAGCTGCCAACATGTTCTCGCGAACGGTCGCCTCGGTATGTTACCTCCGGCTTCGCCCCGCTTTCGCTCCGGTTCACTAACCTTTTACTCAAGTCCCTCCTCCGGCAAGCCGCCCGGCCCGCCGCCGTCCGCTCCTCGGCCTCCCTCTTCCGCGCTCCCATCTCCCCTCTTACTCCCTTCCAGGCGCGCCTACTCTCGGACCAGACCCGGGCAGCCATCGATAAGGCGGTCGCATCGGCGCCGGTGGTGCTGTTCATGAAGGGAACACCCGAGATGCCCCAGTGCGGCTTCTCCCGCGCCGCGATCCAGATCCTCGGCCTCCAGGGCGTCAACCCCGAAAAGTTTGCCGCTTTCAACGTCCTCGAGGACCCCGAGCTCCGAGAGGGAATCAAGGAGTACTCGGACTGGCCCACGATCCCTCAGCTCTACGTCGAGAAGGACTTTGTGGGAGGCTGCGACATTCTTGTTTCCATGCACCAGAACGGCGATCTGGCCAAGCTCTTTGAGGAGAAGAAGGTTATCCTTGAGGGAGAGCTCGGCGAGGGCGACAAGAAGGAGTAGACGAAAGATGGCATCCGAGCTGGACCGGGTCCAAATGTACAAATACCTACGAGTGTAATGGATAAGATACATGGGCATGAGATACCTCTGTACAGCGATGAATAAAGTACAGCAAAAAGAATATAATTTTTCTGGTTTATCTCTGCATCAATCGGGGATTTGGGTGTTGGTATTCGATGTTCCTGAGCTCAATGGCTGACAAATCCCGGGCTGGGATCGATTGATCTTCAACAGGAATCTCGCCCAAAACAAATGTCGAGTCATCGGGTTATGATAAAGTTGAAACCCGAGATCACAGGTCCGAACCATCACTACGGCACCACCACGAAGGCCCGAAATATTTGGCGTACTATTTCTCATTTATATTTGGGGAATTGACCTTCTCTAAACCTTTGCGAATGGGCATCTCTTCACATGTGAGGCTTGTCGATGAATCCATTCCTTACATTTCTCTCGGCTCGCTCAAGGGTAGGTGTCGTCATCATTCACCACCGTTAGATCTCAGACAGCTTCTTCTGTGGTGAGGAATTTACTAATTGCTAAATAGAAATCTATCAAATATGTGTACCGTGTCCAATGAGGCAACCCTTCCTATCGTATGTGCCTCCCTAGCAGAGCCCGTACTCGTTCGCTGGGTTCTTGGTAACGGCCTACCGGCTCTAATGAAACCTCTAGAACGACGTCTTTATCTGGGGCGGCATAGCACATTCTTAACGTCTCGATCTTTTGCTCAAATCTCGCCAAGACGATCCTAAATCCCATTTCATCATCTCTTTGCACATCTTCGATAATCACGCCACCCGGGAACTCCAATAGCATAATCACCTTGTAGAACGGCTCCTGCCAGGGCAGGTCTTCAAACAAGGTCTTCAGCGTATACTGGAAAAAGTCCCTCCTGGGATACCATATCTGGTTCAGCCACGGGAAGGTCTGAACGCTGATAATGATGTGGACGCCGTGGATAACTGCAGGTGTCGTAGGTGCCAGGATGGGACTGGTCTTGGGCTCTGGCGTGGGCGACGCTCGTTCTTCAACTGGCTGAGCAGGTGGCTCGGAGGGACCTCGCATTAGTGCTTGGCGACTCTGTGGCACTTCTCGCGATTGTCCTGATGATGGCCAAAGGGCTCTGTTGTCATGATCTGCTCCCGCTTGGCCCTCTGATGCTCTGCCAATGTTCATCGGCTGCAGGGGTCCATCGGCTGCTCTATTGTGAGTTGTGTTTTCCATCTCTACGTTTGACTGAGTCAGCGGATCAGTCATGGTAGCATTCTCAGCGTCTCTAGGCCTCTCGGTGAGCTCATCAGTGGGCGCTTGTTCCCTGCGGTGAGATGGACCTGCAGAGGTCCTGTCATGACCGCGGTCGGAATACGCATCAAACAGCCAACTGCCCCGGTGATCTCGCCGTCGCTTGACTCTACGCCGAGGGTTGTTTGTTGGTCTTCTTTGACTCGGGGAATCTACCTGCGTGATGGTTAGCAAACCGCTTTGAGAGAGGGTGGTGTGCATTAGCATATGGAGGTACATTAAGATCATCTGGGCTCTTTGTTGGACGTGGCATTGGCTCTTCAGCTAGCACGTCTCTAATTGGAAGCCGCCCGTCCATCGAATCTGCATTAAGGATTTGTCCATGAACTTGCGAGGCCCTTCGCGAGCGCGAAAGGCGTTTTTGCTTGGCTCTCTGGTTGTCATTGATCTTGAAGAACAACCGTACCATTTCTTCAAATGTTCTGAGTTGCGATGTCAGCAATGATACATGACTGTAACAGCAGGATGCGACTTACTCGTTTCTATGTTCCGGATATCTCAACGAATCTTCATACTCATTCTCATTCTCATCAGGCCAAAAAAGCGGACCATTTCCACTCGTACAGAGAAACTCATGTGTCATTTCGACGAGTCCCTGCCGGTGAAAACGATTGCTCCAGTTTAGCAGTTGGTACCCAGAGATACCAGCGCTCGATGTGAAGCGCGAGGGATATGCTTTGACAGTTTCAGCAAACCTTGAATCATCCTTCTGGCCTCGGATACTATGTCCAAGTCCTTTGGCTATGTTAGTCATTGTGCAAATAGGCTTTCCATTGTCGGCGACCATCATCTGATAGTCTGCCAGCGGGCAAGTACAGGTAACCGAGGTCATATTGATGGAATGGTGCTCTTGATTGAGAATGGTACATAGCTAACTCCAAGCCACTCGGCAACTGTGGCAATTATATGTCTTTTGCGACATCTAGGCAATTGAATACTCCTGCTTCAGCTCTTGAGCAGATGCGCCCAACATGTGGAGGTGCTGTTGGTAGGTGTGCCAAATCTGCCTTGCAGACTGTTTCAATGCCACCCGACTCCGCTGTTTCAATGCCTCCCATTGGGTCGCAGACTCAGCTGTTAGGCAGCTCCCTCAAATACAAGGTAAGCGGATTGCTGTGAGCCAAGAGAGGAGGTCCCTCCTACTGCGGCGAACATTTCGCTACGATCACCGTGGCTCCAGGGATTCAGCGCCACAGGCGTGCATGAGAGCCGAATTTTTGATTCATATGTCTTAATCTATATATCGAAGATGCTTTCAAGCCAAATATACATGCTCCATTGCGTGTCTTGTTCTCCTGCATCCTGCATGTAGTCGCGATACCCGACCAGCCGACGGAGCATCAACTAGCGCTCAGAGGAGCAAGCCAAACATGGGATGGAAGGGGGACATGTTACTATCAAAGCACGAGTATTCTTAATTTCAGATTTGGATGGAATGCTAGAAAAGTAAATGGTGCGCCGCGAGACACCGGCTGAGAAGCCCACGTGAACTCAGCCCCAAAGGCTCCCTTCCTTAGAGACTCCCCTGCCCCTCTTGAGAATCTTCCTTCTATCCAAACTACGAATATTGGTTATTATACATCTTGAGATCATTCTCTCGACCGTCTGCCGACCACACTGCCTACCATAACGTCTCCGTTGATGCCATGGAGGGACACAGTGGCGAACCCTCAGTCCCTCCCCAACTGGACAAGAGCCCACCAGGGCACGACATCTTTTGCACTCCAGAGAACAAAATCTTCCTATCGACAAACCCATACCAGGCACTCGATCCCACTCGTCGAGACATCCGCCTTCTCAAAGTGCTTCCAGACTCAGGTAGCGGACTGGTCGAGTGCGAGTTGCTGCCCAGCGCACCTATTGCCGAGCTACGGGGCAAATACTTGGCACTCTCTTATTGCGCCGGCGACCCACGAAATACAGAGATTATTCTCGTCAACGGCGTCCAGTGCAATGTGTTTGCCAATCTCTGCCACGCGCTGACATGCACTCGACACTTTTGGACGACGCAGCCTGGCGATGAAGACTGTCTGCTGTGGGCGGACCAGATCTGCATCAATCAGGCTGATCTTTCTGAGAGATCTCACCAAGTTGGATTCATGAGAGACATATATCAGAGTGCACAGCGGACTCTCATTTGCTTATCGACGTCTAACACTCATGGCAGAGGCATGGAGTGGTTAGTTGAACTTTTCAACCAAGGCAGAAACTTGGCCGACAAAGGCAGCAAGATTCCTGGCATGGACATGAGTGTTTTTTGTCCAACAGATGTTGAATTCGAACAGGGTGTGCTCGCATTCTGGGAAGAGATTATTAAAAGTTCATGGTGGAGCAGAGCCTGGGTCTTTCAGGAGTTTATGGTGTCGGCGAATGCCAACTTTCTTTCAGGTCATCACCACATCTCTTGGACGAAGGCCTGGGTCGCAATCCGGCCGTATATCGGTGGTGAACGCCCCCGTGATGGCGAGGTTTTATATGTCGGCTTGTGTTTTCCCCCCCTTGGTTGCACGCCAGGCCATACAGAGGCCCTGAAACTGCAAGAAAAAGCCAGGTTCATGCTTAAGACCAAAGCTGAATGGAAGGGTACTGATAGCCTAACATCCATTCTTGCTCGCTCCCGAAATTCCAAGGCCTCTGATGATCGGGATCGGGTTTACGCCCTTATTGGGCTCGCTGACCCCGGTTACGGAATTACCCCCGACTACTCAGCCGACATCACCTTGTGTCATGTCCTCACCCAGACAACCAGAAACATTATACTCTTCGAGAATAGGCTCGATGTCTTGTTGTTCCTGGACAGTTCCTATCTGGTTCGAAGACCAGAGCTACCATCGTGGGTAGTGGACTGGACTAGGGAAGAGCCACTTGGCCATTCACGTACTTCGTATCTCGAGAGGGGCACATTCGGGAGCTATTTCCGAAAGGATGGTCAGGCGATTGTTTCTTTTAGAGAAACCATCCACCCTGAGACTCTCCACAAAACTACTGTCATGGAAGTGACGGGTATTTTTGTCAAAGAGATACAATACCTCGACCGACCCTACTATGGGTTGCCTTCTACAAAAGATGCGCTCCTCAAAGAGAGGAGAGGGTCTGTAGGCCCTGACGGCCGCGGCTGGACTCAGGTAAGTAATGGTTACGAGGCCTGGTATCTTTTTGGGTCGCCTTGTAAATTCCTCCTACAGCGCGAGTCGTACGGTCATCGGATTATTCGATGGATCGACCGTGTTAGCGCGCATACGAAGTTCCAGACCCGGGACTCGGAGCGAAGAGTCATTACCATTTATTAGCAAGATTTTGGAATTGGTTCCCGGTGGGGGGCTTTGGTATGCTTTCTTGTAGTGGTTTTGGCATGAGTATGAGGTTGAAAGGTGCTGTTTGGGAGGCTATATGTGCTTGATTTGTTGGCGTTTGGCACCTTTGTGCTGGAGGTGGAGTCGGCTCGCTGAGCTGACCAACTGATGTTTGACAGCGCACGCCCACGTCCACACTCAGCTCAGGAAGAATATGAAAAGTATGGTTTGATACTTATACTTGAAAGTAATTAAACATTGTATTTCTCTACTGAGGATATGCTCCTCCGTCGGCTCTTGGGTCACTCCCGGCAGACCAGATGGGTGTTCCGTCAGGGTCGACGGTATATCGGATAATCTGCCCGCGGCCAAACATAGCCCTCTTCCAGTTCTTAAGAACAACCACATTGTGACCCAGCTTCTTCAATCCCTCAATAGTCTCCTCGGGTATTCCCTCCTCAACATGGACTGTCCAGTCCAACACGTTGCCCTCATCTGGCATACCGGCTCCGATGCAGATGCGGGGAGCATCAAGAGCCTGTTGAGGGTTCAATTGAGCGACTGCCTGACCTAGAAGAACTTGCAATTGGCCCTGCGGCTGGTTGAAGCCACCCATAACTCCAAAGGCAGAGTGCAGGGAGCCGTCGCTAAGGTTGGTGGCCATGCCGGGAATGATGGTGTGGTAAGGTCGCTTTCGAGGCTCGAGCTTGTTAGGATGCTTGGGGTCAAGAGAGAAGTTGGCTCCCCGGTTCTGCAGGGTGAAACCGCATCCCTTGGGGATGATGGCGGTGCCGAAGCCGGCGTAGTTGGAGTTGATGAAGGACGCGGCGTTGCCGGCAGAGTCTGTGACGGTAAAGTAGACGGTATCACAGCTCTGTAGGGCAGGCGAGATGAATGATGGGTTTCCAGGCTGGACACCATCGTGGGCTTTTGAAGGATTAAAGATCTTGGCGCGCTCTGCGAGGTACTCGGGAGAGATCAAGCCCTCTGTCGGCACCTTTGTCACGTCGGGATCTGTGACATACCAGCTTGCATCCGTGAAACCAAGCCGAAGGGCCTCAATGATGGCGTGGAGGTATGGTGTCGTATTAAAGTCCTCGGGCTTAAAGATGGGAATCTTTCCCTGCTTCTCCAGCTGCTCGATTATGCCCAGGGCCATGAGAGCAACGATGCCCTGGCCGTTTGGAGGGTGCTCCCAGAGCTCGACACCTCCGTTGGGATCTTTGCTTGTAAGACCTTGGCCGCGGAATTTGACTGAGATGGGCTCTGTGTTCTGGGTGCCTGTTTCGAGGTGGTGCTTCAAGTCGTCGAGTTCCAGGTGGCCGCCCAGGTCTTGGACGACCTTGACGATTTCTTCGGCGATGCGGCCGCTGTAGAAGCCCTTCTTGCCCTCGGTGGCTAGAGTTCTGAATGTCTTTGCGAGAGTCGGGTTCTTGAAGACTTCGCCGGGCGCAGGTGCTCTCACGCCATTCTCGGCTTTGGGGTCCTTCTTTAGCATCTCTGCATAGTTGGGCGAGGAGTCCCGCAACAGCTTCTCTTGAGAGCGCCACTATTCTTATTAGCAGAGTCTTGATTCGGGACAGAAAACGTACCGAATGCGAAGCAATCTCGGACACGGGAAAGCCATTTTCTGCTAGTCTAATAGCAGGATCAAGGATCTGGCTCAAGCTAAGCTTTCCACTGCCGAATCTCTCAACCGTGTCGTACCATCCAGCCGCAGCGCCAGGAATAGTTGCAGCAAGTACATCGTGAGTAGGGATTTGGCCGATGGTACCGTCAGCGATCTTGAGGTCCTTTCGGATGGTCTCGAGAGTGTATTTGGCTCCTGATCGACCAGAGCCGTTCAGCGCCTTGACCTGCTTGGTGGCGGCATCATAGTAGAGGAGGAACATGTCACCGCCGATGCCAGTAGAAACAGGTTCGGTGACATTGAGGCCAGCGGCTATTGAGGTTAGTCATTATCCAGGTGTGGTTATCCTCGACGTACCAACTGCAACAGCAGCATCCTGGCTGTATCAGTATCATGATTGCGGGGTTAAACATGGTGAGCGCGACTTACAGCGGCATTTCCTCCGGCTCGCAGAATTTCAAGACCGCAGTTGGCTGCTAGCGGTTGAGGCGCTGCTACGATGCCTTGTGTGCTGTGAACGACACTCCTCCGTGAAGGATAGCCAGTGAAGCCAGCCGTCGTCGGCTCGTAGATGGATGATGTGGGGAGAGGCATGATGCCGAGGTTGATCAAGTGACAGTTGAAGGAGGATGAAGAGGCACAGAGTAACAAGACCTCAGTCGAGATTTAAATGATTGAACCAAGATGGACCTCGAACAATCGGATCAAGGCCGAGAAATGAATCATTCGTTGCTTGTTGGAGATGGAGACCGTGGGGAAGATGGCGGGGTAAAGTTGGCAATGTCGTGATGATTGCAACTTTGGCTTGCCGATCGCCGGAGCCCATGATTGCAAATGCTGCGCCGTGGAACATGCGTGATCGGCAGCCTTTTTTCTACAGCTTCACAAAGTTCAATTGTATTGTAGTAGCCTAATCAGCTCGCCATGTGTTTTCTCTCATGTGGTCGTTGTCAATCAAGTCAAGATACAGATCAGGGATATGACTTGACAGTGTTTGTCGCCCAAACTTGGCACTCAAAGGAACAAGCACTATCCTGCAGACCAATGCCATCAAGGGAGGTGCCTGTCGTGTGCCCGGAATTCTCCTCGGGGCTCCCTAACAGCGGCCGAGCGCCAATCACAGCATGTCATCGTCAAATGCAACCCAGATCAACGAGGCAGATTTCCCACATCCCCCCACCGAGACCAAGAAACAAGTGGCATACTACAGGTAGGCAAGAGGCCTTTGCCGGGCTATATAGACGTAGATTAGACTAAAATAAATAAATCAAAATACAAAATAAATAAATGATATTGTAAAGTCTATACGTATTCTTAGACTTATCATCATAAGCCTTTTATGCTGTGATTCAGCGGATTGAATGGACCACTAGCCCCCCAAGTCAAATAGTCCGTCCTCGGAGCTCTGCAATCATCGCCGAGCACCAATCAAGCAAGGCCTCTGTCTACATCAACACCATTCCCAGTCTCTGGAGGAAGGCATAGATGGAGCCCTTGGATACATTGCCAATCTGGCTCATCCAACGGGCCGCAAAGCTGCCTACGTACAAGGTCAGAAGGGAATGAAATATGAGCTTCAGGTTAACATACCGAGACGGGGCCCCTTCGCCGCGAAACCGAGGGCATTCAATACCCAGGCCAGGTCGCAGATGACGAGCACGCCGATGGCGATGATAGTGCCCGCTGCGATGAGGGCAGTATATACGGGGTGCTCCTTTGCAAACTCCAGAGCGGTATCGGTCGCCTTCTTGATCGCGTCTGCCATAGGTTGTGCCATCTTTGCGCCCTCCTTGATGAGCTTCTCCATCTTTTGGAGGATCGCTTCAGCGAGGCTCTCGGTCCAGCCATTGGCAGACACGACCTCGTTCAGTCGTCGGTGCAGCTCATCACGGGAGCCTCTATGTGTTTGAAGGATGTCGACAAATTGATCCGCCGCATCGTCCGAGTAGGGAACTGGTTGTTGAGTGATGACTGTCTTCTCGTTGGCGATCGCCTCGGTGGGCTCGATGGGCGCGGAGACGCTTCGGCTAGCGAGGCAACAAAAGAGGGATTCGATTGCGTGCATGTTTATCAAATGGACCGAAATGTCTCTTTGTTCGTTGCTTGTTTCTTCAAATGAATGAATCGCGGTCTAAAGGGAGATGGAAGTAGGCATATGGAAGAGTTGCCTGGGCCAAGGGGAACGAGGGTTCATGTATGTGGGAGTAAGCTGCGCGGTACGGCCTCCCGCATGCCTTGCGTATGATGTTGGCCATATTTGCAGACCGTTTACACCATTAGAGACAGCCTTTTGCATCCATACGGTTTCAACTGGCGAGGCAGACTCGATGAAGTGCTGTTGGTGTTGGTGCACTTGCTTGTTGGTGATTCACTGCCACCTTGAGCGGCCTGTTTGGCGGCCAACCCCCTTGATACCTTGCCCATTCTACGTCCACCATAAGATAGATGGTCATCGTTGGAGCTATTATCTCATCTCTCGGATACTACACTACCATTCATCTTATCCGATATCTTGGGTATTCAATAGATGGGAATTGTGAATTGCAAACACACATGGACTTCAAAGGTGAACGGCCGGGGTGTGGGCACACCTTCCAAAATACAGGAGGCTTCCACTAAAGTTTAGTGCCCGTGCCCACTAACCCCGTGATGCTCAGACAATCTTATCACCTCCCATGGATGCAACAACACCACAAGAATGATCTTTAACCAACATTTCAACCTCCAACAAAGAGCAAAAAAATCACAAAAAAAGGAAGCACACCTTGAAGGTGCTGGCGATCTCTCCCGCCGGGAATTGAACCCGGGTCTCAAGCGTGACAAGCTTGCATACTGACCACTATACTACGGAAGATGATGGTTGTTGAGCAACCATTGTAGCGAGTTCGATGCTGCGGAACGATTCACACAATGCTTATGAGCACACAGGGAATGCGGTCGTGAATAAGGACTCGGGAAAACTAGCAAAGATGAAAGAAAGAAAACAATCTGGGTCCGTCACAGTGACAGGGCGAGCTGTCAGTCCCCGCAGGTGCTCTTTGCGATGAGCATCATCCGAAAGGAAAGAGTGAGTGATAGCCTTCTTCCCTCGACATCATCATCAACTTCACAGACCACCAAGAACAACAATCACGACATATTCTTTATGAATCTGCAATGGCCATGTGGCTTTGACTCCTTCCTAGCCCGAGTATCCCGACCTTAGAGTCATTCCCAATGAAAAATTCACACATGTTGTTTCCTGCAGGCTGCCCATGTCCACATCTCTCCTCATGGATAATCAATCCACCTCTTCAAGCTTAGCGAGTTCCAGCTTTCGAATCAGAGGCGCCACTTTAGCCAGAACACAGATGGTAGCCTCTTCTATATCCTTGGTGCGGAGGATGCGATCACCACCATTCCAGGTTCGAGGAACCATGTAAATAGGAAAGCCCGCTTGATGTAATTCCCACGTGAATGAAAGGGGATAGATGACGGGATCGCGTCGGTGTAGAAGGGAATCGGTGAAGAGGCCTGCCCAAGTCATTGCATCGTTTTCGGTAAAGATCCCGTCGATGTGATCGTCCGACTGAGCATTGCTAGAAGCTTGTCAGAGGATGGGAAGATCAGAGAGAGTGTGTGGGAGGTTAAGACGAACTCGTTCTCATTCAGACTGTCCAAATTGACTTGCTCAAGACCCCAGATGAGCTCAGCGAACTAGGTACCATAATTAGTAGAGCTCAAGGCACGATTGAAGCAATGACGATGGAAATTTACCTCCTCCAGGGTGTTGCGGGTGACAACAGTGCTGACGTCGAGAATGGGTTTCTTCAGCTGCATGGTCTGTGGGGTGTCGGTGGCCTGCTCCTGGATGGCATCGTTCGAAGAGCCTTCTAGCTGCTCCGCGGGTCGATCTCCTTCGGGCAGGGTGTTTCGGTGGGGAGGGGAAGCCATCGTGGATACCGACGTCGCTGGGAGGCTTTTCGGGGATTCTGTTGATGACGCGATTGTTGAAGTCGGACCTTGAGATTAAGGGTGGGTTGGTTAGAAGGTAAAGAGTTGAGGATTGAGGCAGAGGAGAGGGTGGAATAAAGAGGCCCGAGTGAACACTGGCGACCAGGTGTTGGCAGCTGTCAAGCAAACAAGCCTGCCGAACGAGATAAACGGCCAATTAACAGCTGGTGTGCGTGAGTTCTTTAACATCCGGTAACGGAATGAGGTCCTTAGTAGCTCGAGTATCGACACGAGCCTGTGGCAGTAATGATGTCTGCCCTGGCATCATGGTAAAGGCGGCCCGCCAGCCCAGGCACGCATTACATATGAGATGCAGGAGACACCTCAATTCCGGCATGTATGATTCATTCAAGATTGAGAAATCAATTTGTTATCGATGCCAATCATGATCTGCAAACATTCTCTCCTGTGCGTCCTCCATCTCTGAATCACAGAGCCATCCTATACCAGGCCAGTAATGCTTTCTAGTCCAAATATCCAGGATGTGCTTACCCTTCTAAATACATTACATGACTCACCGTGCGCATATCTCTTGGTCAGGGTAATCAGGAGTATTAAAGTCCTTCCTGGCCCCCGCTGCGAACTCATCATCCGTCAACACCCTCCATCCCAACAGCGCCATACCGTGGGCGCAAGAGAGGGCTATATCAACAGCGGCCTCTGTGTCAGACACTTCAGCAAACTTGGCCTGGTGAGGCATCGCGTCTTTGGGTGCGGGGATTCCAAAGGCTCCGTGGAATGAGGGCACCGCGAACGAGACGTTGCCCATGTCGGTGGAAAAGGTAAAGGGCTCGTCGCTTCTGGGGATGACCTTCTCGCCTAGAGTACCCATGATCTTGGCAAACTCGTAGCTCAGAGTGTTGTTGATGCGGAGCTCTGTGTAAGCAGGCACCCTTTTCAAGTTAGTAGAGTCCTCTTCATGGGGAGACGTGGGGAGCTCACTCAATATAGTTCACCTCGCAGCCTGTCGCCTTGGCTGCTGCTTCGAAGCAGTTCTTGACTCGGCCCAGCAACTCCCTTGCGCCCTTGATTGTCGGACTTCGAATGTAGTAGTTCATTCTCGAGTACTCGGGGATCACGTTTGGCACCGTTCCACCATCCTCAATCACTCCGTGGATGCGCTCATCCGGCCGCATCTGTTGTCGCAACATGGAAATGTTGGTGTACGACGATACAGCTGCATCCAAAGCATTGAGTCCCTTCCACGGCTCTCCGCCAGCATGTGCTGTGTGACCACGGAACTCTACCCTGAGCTTCATGCTGGCAATGAACTTGACGCCCGCCAGGGCTCTGAAGCCTTGGGGAAAGGAATGATCAGCTGTCGGATGCATCATGATGGCGCTGTCGACATTGTTGAAGGCCCCGGCCTCCAAGAGCTTGACTTTTCCTGCGCCACCCTCTTCTGCTGGAGTGCCGAGGATGCGCACGCGTCCTTTGATGGGAGATGCCTTGATTGCGCCGACCAAGCCGACGAATCCCGCAATGGATGAGGTCGCGATAAGATTATGGCCACACGCATGGCCAACCTCGGGCAGAGCATCGATTTCGGCGCAAAAGACGACGAGACGGCCGCCAGATCCGTACTCGGCCTCAAAGGAGGTCTCGAGGCCGTAGGCATGTCGGGTCACAGTGAAGCCTTGCTTCTCTAGAAAGTCTGTGATGACCTTGTGGGCCGTGTACTCTTTGTAGCCAAGCTCAGGATTGTCATGGATGGTCTTGCTGATGAGTCTCAGATCTGAAGCACATGCATCAATAGCAGCTTTGACTTCAGCGGATGGGAGGTCAGAGCCTTTGCCCCCGGGAGAATCTCCCATCAAATTCTGAGTAAACGACGGCATTTCGATGTGTCTTGAACGACTGAGATGAATGTGGATGAGGAGCTGAATGTTTGACACTGGCATGAGGGCTCTTTAAGTAGAGTTAGCCCGACTTGACCAAACCTTACTTTCCTCCCCTCTGCCAAGAATCGTTCGATTGAGGTATGCGCAACCCCCTCTCTGAGTTTTCTCGTGTTTTCAGCTGCCCAATAAATCTGATTGCCATGGCTCCATTCCTGTTGCCGAAGCCGTTCCGCACATTGTGCAACAATCCCGTCGTCAGTGATATCCACATTCCTTGCTCCCGACGCGACACGAGCGGCATGTCTCACTGCACTCGACCGTTTTCATATCGATGTTTCCCCACGTTTTGAAAGGATTTGATCCCGCTTGCGTCTATGACGGGTCGCTCTGCATGAGTTGGCCTCATATTGAGGGTTTCCGGGAAGGGAAATCCGTTCTTGGGTAGGTGAATTGACTTTCGATAGGCTGCCTCTGTCGGGTCAGGCATTCACGCTTCCGTTATTCTTTGTTGAATAGTTATGGCCACTCGCGTAAAGGGTTTCGGTTCCAGTTGCCAGGACCGTCGTTGTGGCTTGAGTTGTATACTCGTACTCTCTGAAGGGGGCCTAGAGGCAGGGGGGGGCACGACCTGCAGCCCATAGTCGCATCCGGTATTCAGAGTCAATTCAAATGAAAGTGCACATATTACGGTTCTAAAATTCGCCAAGTTCCTACTTGTGGTATTATTGAATCTGCCACGTCAGGTTCAGTGTTGTTCAGTCCACCCTCTTCGAAAGACTCTGCCACAGAACCACAGAATACAATCGCGGCTCATTGTAAGCTCACATGCAAATAACGAATTCACTCTTGAAGACTTGAAAGCGCAATCTGGAGTAGTAAAGGAACTTTTAGGTTTTGTCAACAGTGTTTAGTTGTTCTAAGCATGAGAAGGAATTCCAAGTCTTGATTCTCGAACGATAAATTAGAAAGCAACACGTCACCCGCCGACATATATGATGCTCTTCATTGATGCTTCGAGTTCTAGAAACCGCATGCACTCAGCCCATTGCCTAAACTTTGAATAATTGCCTCAGGTTAAGGGACAGAATGAAATGTCTGCATGGTTCATTCACAGAAAGCTATTTAAGAATAGGTGCTTTGGCTTTTTGAATTAGTTCAAGGACTCCCGATTTCATTTAAACTCGAAGTAGCGACTGTGGTAGATGTGAGAACTCTGCGTATAACCCGTGCCTCCAACAGCACTCGCCTCTACAAACAAGCCTAAGCAACTCGTAGTCTCTTGAAGACCGCCTCTTAACACTCAATAGACCAAACATTGAAGGGGAACTTGGACCATCCAGCACCATCAACAGTGTTTCCAATTCCGTTGCAGTTGGGCGAGCTGTAGATATCACAGACGGCGCCATCAGAGTAGCCAGAGATGAAGGGACGTCCGTCTACCGATTTGTCAGGATATATAGCTTACATATTGGGGAGTTCTTTCCTACCTGCGGAGACTAGGTTGGTGCAGATAAACGCCGGTGCATTAACAGGGATGCACTCGGTCTTGCCCTGGCCCTTGCAGACGTTGACCGTGGCAGCCTGAGCAAGGGTAGCCGCAGTGGCAGCGATGACGGTGATCTCAGCGTAGAACTTCATGGTGAAGATATGAAAGATCCGGTTCAGTATATGGGTTTTGAGAAGCTATTTTTTGTATTGTTCTTGGTGAAGAGGGATTAGTCCCAGGGAAAAGCACCAACTCTTTATAGTTGTTATGGTATGTCGTTCCAAGCGGTGTAGTTTGAGGTAAATTGATCATCCTCCCTCTCGGCCAGACTCGCCCTCCGCGCTTACATTCCACAACATCAATGTCTTGACGAAGCTCACGATGTCTCTGCTGATCCCACAAGCTGGCCTGCGGATCCCTACCTGGCGAGGTGATCCTAAACTACTGTGTGATTATCTAATTGGCTACGGCAGTTGAGTCTTGTCTTGAATATAATCCTCCGCGGGACACGTCGATCAGTCGTCTTACTTGGGGCTAGGCTGACCCGAGATCCGAGCATATGCCTTGCTGACGGGTAGGGAATTTGTTCTGTTTAATTGGCCTGTTGTTGTGTTACAAGGTCGAGGCTTGCGTAGATCACTGCCAATCTGTGTGGATGAAATTACTCGTATAGGTCGGGTTGTGCCGAGTTCGGGTTTAGGTACTAACAAGGTAGACGAACCAGACGATGCAAGAGAATTTATTGCAGCAAGGATCGCCAGCCCTAGGGCTACACACAGATATTTTGCCTATTAGGCATATCAATGGCTTACTAGGTACTCAAAACGCGAGGTCGGAGTCCCCCTTCACTCTCAAGGCATCTTATGTGAAGTGGCATATCTCGTGTAACCGTGATCAACCGGCAGCAAAGCACTCTCTGCTTAGGACCGTTGTAACAGGCCCTCTTCTCGATGTCACGCTTTCCCTTGGGGGGTTCCTTTGCCTCGAGGAGTGTGGCGAGGTGTTCACGACACTTTCAGAGCTTAGTGATGCGCGAGAGCGACTAACCTGGAGTTCAAAGAGACAAATTATTATAAATGTTCAATATCCATCATGTCGCTATTAACTAGAAAAATGGCACGCTTTCCATGTCACGCCAGACCTCCTAGGATCTTTTGAAGCATGCCCCCTGCCCTCGACGTCTTCTTATCCTCAACCACCTTGAACGTCGACTTGAACTTTGTACCCTCTATACATCCCACATTAGACTGCCGAATCTCCTGCCCTCCTCTCACAGCCGCCACCATGAGGCAAGTCGTCTTGTTGAGCGCAACAGGTAGGTCGAAACCCGTCTCAAAACCCCAGGTTACTGCTTTTCCGAGGGGACGCATCGCTACACCTCGCTCGACGGTGTACACGTTGTACGCTTCGATGTCTGTCGCTCCGTTCCAGCTCACGTAGCCCATCACCACGTCGTTGGGCTTCTCTACCACCAGGGCTGGGTCCCACTGTGCGGGTGTGCCGTGCCATGTTTGCTTGAAGGCTCGGTAGGATTGTACTGAGTCGTCGTGTCCAAAGTGGCCTTCCCAGCGGAGGTCGGTACCGTCGCCAGGGCCAAACTCTTGGACTACACCACCTTCGCCGTAACTCACGAATTGGTTGTTGTTGCTGAGGTCTAGTTGGTAGCTTCCGTAGTCTGTTGAGAAGCGAGCTCTGTCGGATTGCAGCACGCGGAGAACGGTGGGCTTTTCCGACGTATCCGGGGGAAGCTTCAACTTAAGGAGAAGACCTCTTGAGGCAGTCTTGCCATTGTCTTCTTCCGAGTTGTGGTTGTCAAACATGCTAATCATCATGCCTGTAGAAGTGGCATTGTGTGCCCTGACATGGTTCTGCCAGCGGAATCGCCCATGAGGCGGCAGAGCTCCAAAGCTTCCTCCCCTGCTGTTACCCTTCAACTCCCACAGTACTCGTCCGTCAGATCGCGAAATCAGGTACACCGACCAGAAGTGTCGACTGCTGATGAGGAAAGAGTCGTGGCCAACGAGTTGGATCGAATTGAGGTGGAAAAAGTCGTAAGGGTTCCTCTGACCTCCATTTCCCATGGTCGTAACGCGGGGCAGCATTGAATCTTCAATTCTAAAATGCTCGAGGGAGCTCCAGCTGAAGAGGATCTCCTTAGTCTCAATGTCAATCTCGAAAAACATGGAGTCGGCGACGTAGCCGTCCACAGGACCTCCGATCAACCTTAGGTCTGCTCTCGTGGTATTGTAAGCCGTGACGAGGATGGTTCCTCTCGATGTGAGTTCCGCCTCGTGAAAGTCTAGGTTGCCGGGGAACTTTTGGCCGAATATAGCAGACATGCTCTCGTCCAGGTTTACGACTGTCTCTTTGTATTGATGGTCGAGGAGAACCACTTCGCCGAATCCGTAGCCGTTTCTGTGTACGCCTCGCCAAATGGTGAGATACTGCTGATCTTCGAGGGGTTGAACTCCCATCCCCTCGCTGGCCAAGGACTCTTCGTGGGCGTATATCATCTCGGCGTTGGTCTTCATGATGAAGGAAGCCTCCTGCTTCAGACCCTTCTCGTTGACCTTGGACTGCGGGGTGATAAAGACATATCCCTTGGACTGTTTTTTGCCGTTGGTCGACCAGCTGATGTGAGGCGGGCTATGCGGCGAGCTCTTGAACTTGCGATAGGGATACGTCTTTTGGTTCTTTGGCGTCACGACCTGAAAGTTGCTCCAAGAGTGAAATGTCGGAAATGTCTTGGACCCGGTGACGGTCGCTGTCGGGCCATTTGCTGCTTCGGCTGCTGCGATCACGGCTTCGTCGGCTGTTTGAGGGAGCGGTTGTACTAGATCGTCGCGACTGAGTGCGCTTTGCGATTGCATAACAAACAACCACATGAGTAGATTGAGAGAGATGGCGACAAAGATGAGCCTCCTGGCCCATGGTGAACCAGATACTACCACCATCTTGACGGTTTCATGGCATGAAGAAAAAAAGAATTGACTTTCCGAACAAGAGGGGCGTGAGGGGCGAAGTCAGCCGTATAAAGCATCTGACAGTCGACGCAAGGGAGAGTTTAATCGCGCCTGTTGACAAGCCACGAATCCTGACGAAACGAAACCATTGGATCGACAAATATCCAATTCTCATGTCGGGAATGAGCCCCTGTCTTGGAAATTGAGAATGTCATTCCAGCTGGGCACTCTTTGTGGTGTAGAGGGGTGTCTCCCTTGCGACACTAGGGACTGTCATTCGTGAGGTTCCATCCCTTCTAGACCCTTGATTGACGGGACCTGCATGATGAGAGAAATTTGATACATTGCAATTGCAAAAAATAATGGGTATCTGCGGGTTGTCGCATGTAGGTTCAAGGGGTTCCGGAGGGTTGGGAGTGTCGATCTCAGGGCTGGCGATTTGATGTGACAGCGACTAGGGCGGTTCAGCTGGGTTTTCAATGGATCCTCTCGGGATAGCTAGCACCTCTTGAGCCTTTATAACTCGGCCGATAGGAAACTGCGTTGATGGGACTGATCAAGACAATTGCGTGATAAGCCCAGCCTACAAGAACAGTCTCAATAGTCGCGATAGAGTGCAGTAAATATACTGGGGTGAGCGGTTCTGTAGGCCTGGCAAGACAGGCGAGACCAGCGTAATACTCATAGAATACGATATGATATACTAGGGTGTTGAAACTGCCACTATTGGTACATGCCTACCAATTTAGGAAATCCATGGTGCATTATTAATGTGCATGCTCCCATCCTCCATGGCTGACTGCCAAACCTGGGGATAGCCTCACTCACAACCCCGCCAAAGCACGTCAACCACACGCGATACCACCACGTTAGCTAATCACCCCTCCATAATAGCGTCCTCTCCACCCCGGGGTCGGAGGTACATCTCCGCCATCGGATACAGACGGCCAAAGGTGAAGTGGGGGGGTGGAGGACCTCAAGACTTTATAATCTCGACTCAAAAGCCTGATCCTCCCTAACAGAATCATCATCAGTTCAAAATGTCTTCCAACGGTGCTGAACGCCTCAAGAACCGCAAGCCTATCAAGAAGCCTGTCCCGGCTTACCTCCCCTCTCCCGGGTCGGTGCTCACCGTTGATAAGGATGCGTACACTGCCATTCGGGAGGCGCCGAGGGAGTTGATTGAGGAGTTTCTTCTGCCTATCCGGTCCGGGAGGGCGTGGAAGGCCCCCGCGGGATCGATTGTCAAGATTAGCACCCCAGAGGGTCCTCAGGTTGGTATGCAGTTGAGTTGGGTGTGGGGTTGAATGCGGAGATGTGAGAGTGTGTTTATGAACGTGTTGGACTTGTGCTGATATGAGGTTACTTTGATAGGTGACTTGAACCTTTGGAACCTTCATAACCCTCGTGAGCGTTTCTGGGCTAGCCGCACCAAGCAGCTTCACGCCTCGCACGTTTCCACCTACGACCGTCTGTGGTCCAACCTGCCTTACATGCGGCCTCTAGCCACTATCCTCACCGATAGCTTGGACTGGTACGGCGAGGACGAGCATGGAGGTCGTGTGCACGATCTGCTCGGCACGCGCTGTGATCCTTACATCAACACTGTTCTGAGCGGTGGACAGTACAACTTCCAGTGCCACTCCAACCTCACCCGGGCTGTTCTTCCTTACGGTCTGAACGAGCAGGATGTGCATGATGTTATCAACATCTTCCAGGTTACGGGTCTGGATGAGAAGGGACGATACTTTATGAACCCTTCGCCAGCTGAGCCTGGTGACCACATTGAGTTTCTCGCCGAGCAAGATCTCTTGATGGCGCTGAGTGGGTTCCCCAAGCGAGTATATGTGTACAGACTACTGACAGATGCATTAGGCACATGCCCTGGTGGTGATCTCTCGCTTTGGGGCTTCGGAGCGGCCAGCGAGGATGAGATGATCAAGTGCTGCCGTCCTCTCAAGGTCGAGGTGTATCGCCTCAAGGATGAGACTCTGCTGCAGAAGCATGGATGGAAGCCTGCTGAGGTGTCGGGTTATGTTGGACGTCATGGCATGGATGTTCCTCTCGGCGAGAAGAAGTAGTCATATGACAACAGCGCTCGATACATGCCAGGATAGCCACAAAAGATGTTCAATTTATGCTAATATTTCCTGATGAACGGAGGGGTGTTTGCTCTTTGCTACCGATATACGACCAACACACCATTCCCTCACTGCGACTTGTCTGCCTTGGCCTCAGCAATAAGTACCACATCATCACGATGCTGCATCAACGCAACAAGCGCACCTCCAGGACCAGAGAGCAAGAAGCTCGTCGCCACACCTCTCGCAAGATTTGTCCTCTCCTCTCCCGATGAAAGCTCCGGTCGGACTTGCAAAAGAAGATGAACTGCCCAAATAAGACCCGAAATAGATCCAATGTACAGGTCGTAGTTGAAGAAGTTGTGCATGGCTGATCCAGTATCCTTCATGGGCGTGTACGTGTGTGGTGCGTCGGGAATAAAGACCCTCTCCAATGTAAGTCTTCTGGCGACGCCATGGGGAAACACGCCGGGAAAGATGTTGGCCGCGATGAGCACTGCGTATGTAGACATCTGACCTATAACAGCCACGTTCCACGCAAAGCCGTACGCGTACGAAAGAGCCTCTCTATCAAGCTTAACCTTGGGCGTGAACGTATCTTGACCAATACTCATCCGCTTGAGAAGCCCAGTAAAGAGCGTCTGGAGCACGACTACATGCAGCGGGAACCACGTCCAGATGATATTGAGCCATTGGCGCAGATTGTCGTCGGGGAATGGAAAGGCGAGGAGTCCACAGAGGAGCACGTATCCCAGAAGAAACGCCGGGACTACCGTATGCAAGCTTGTGTGATCCCGGAGGTAGACGGTCTGAGACCGGGTTACGTTTGATGTCCAGAGGAGATGGACTACCGTAAATAGAGGCATGATGAAGCCGAAGCCGAATGCCTGCATCAGCATTCCCCAGATGATGGGGCTGCAAAGGTCAGTAAAGGTTCAGCTTGAGAGAGAGGAAAGGCACTCACTTGAAGACAAGACGACTCCATCCAACAACCCTCTGACTCTCAATCATAAAAACCAAAAAGAAGGGAAGCAACTGCGCCCCGAAGCAAAATGCAAACAATGAAAGCTCCGGCCTCGATCCATCCACGACATTCGCCCAGATAAGGTTGGACAGGGCGAATCCGCGGTCCAGCCAAGGCACGCCGGTGTAGCGTCTGAGCAGAAGCCGCTCAGAGCCTGGAAGGAAGCGCGGGTTGGGATCATCGAGGATTTCATTGAGAAGGGCAGAATAGCCGTTGCGGTCGAGCTGGATGAGGAGGGCGTCGAAGGCAAAGATGGAGAGGGCTGAGAGAGTGAGAATTGGGATTATGCGGCCGGATAGGCCGGATGAGGAGGATGAGGGCATTGCGGGGGGAGAATTGACAAGGTCAATTATCAGTCAAAATGAAATTCACCAATTGTTCATGTCATGCATGTATTGATGGAAGTTGTTGATAGAGTTGAGAGGGAAACAATGAAAGTCAAAGTCACGATGTGGCCTCGCCAAGATTTCCCCGGTCGCATCGGGTCAGCATTCTTCAGCTCCGCCGCAAGGCTTCATGATCAGGCATCCATAAGTAAAACAAACAAAGTCACATACAAGATGCACATTAAAACTACCATCAAGTAACCCAAACAGTGCATCAACTCTTCCAGGTACTCCAAGTACAGCCTCGTCGTTGTTGTCCGTGTCGCGTAACCCAAGCCAACGTCCAGCGTCAAGCGTCCATCATTACATCCATTGCATTGCAACATTTTCGTTCCGCGTCGTTCAAAACCTTGCCAAAAACGCCTGCCGAGCCCAATTTTCACTTCCCGCCCTTCTTTAACCCGTCAAAATAGTCGTCGACCAGCTCCTTTGCCGCCTTCGCAATCGTCTTTCTATCCTCCCAGGTCTGCTCGCTCTCGTCGTAGCCGACCCACTCCACCAGGACCTTCTTCTTATTCTTGGAGTGCTTTCGGATCGCAAAGATGTCGTAGACGCCCGGTTTCTTAGGGTTGTCGGGTCGTCCGCCCTTGGAGCGCCAGTAGTCAAAGAGGGCGGTGGGAGCATCCCGATGGATGTTCTCCTCGGGCTCCCAAGTCTGAGGATGTTCGCTCCAGTCGATTTGAAGCTGGATCTTGTTCTTAACCCAACGATGGCTGAGGATCTTGTTGAAGGTGTAGGATTCGTCATCCTCCTCCTCTTCTTCTTCGTTTTCGTTTTGCTCTTCCACCTCGGTGTCGTGTTCCGCTTCGTCTTGGGGATCGGCCATTTCCTCGTCTTCATTCTCGGATACAGGGGGACGCTTTCGTACCAGCCGCTTATAGCGTTGGCCCATCTCATTGTCCCTCGGGGATGACCCGAGTGATGGCGAGGCTTGGGGTTGGACAGGAGAGCGAGTATCGGTTCCGGGCGTGTTCATCTTGATAGTCGTTTCTTGTTCTTCAAGGTAAGTGATTTCTCCGGTCGTGTCATGCGATGCTGTGATGGAGGAGGCATTGCTTGTTCGGTTGCGCTGTCGGTTTAAATAAGTCATTGTCTGGAAACAAGAGGCAGGCGCCGGGTAGCTCCGCCATGGTGAAACATACCGGGCTGCGAGTGTCCGAGTCTGATATCCGACCTAATGCGCGTTTGGCCCTGACACGGTCCTTTCTAGAGTACGTCCTTCCCCGTGGAGGAAGCGGCTTGGGCGGCTCGGGTGCCCGTTTGCGCGGGGAGAAGATGGACAGAATCGTATCCATCATGAAGTGGCTGAGAGTGTGGCGGGAAGAGAAATTGGAAGGGGAGCAATACGTCGGGAGTTTGCAGTAAGAAGCAACTTCGAGACGGAAAGATTGAGGGGGTCCGAAGCGTTAATCTTGGGCCTGTTTATGTTTTTGTTTGCATTGCAACGTCCCGACGGCAGCTTGATATGGGCCCACGCAGATGACGCGCGAGGGGCATGGCTTCATGTCATGACACGGACACACGTGACCAATGGAAAAGTGGATCCACAAACAACTGGAATCTCAACGCACAGCACGTGAGCAGCACCAACGGCAAACTGCTTCACCACATTCCCTTCAAACTTGCAAAAAGAAACTGCTTCACACGGAAAAAGAAAGGGTCTGGCCGGGGATTGAACCCGGGACCTCTCGCAAGCTGTAGCTGTAGGGTTTGCCCTAAGCGAGAATCATACCACTAGACCACCAGACCGAGTCACGTGTGTTGCACGTGATGCTTGTTGATGGAGGGCAAGCTGCAAACAACGCTGATCACTGGCAGCTAGCGAGGTAGACGCTGTAGGGTAAAAGCAGCCCGAAATAACAGAGGAGGAACAGGATAAACAAGAGACAATTGCGGCATTTCAGATATAGTTTTACTACTATATATGAGCAAAATCAAATGCAAACTCCCTTTTGGCTTGGTTGCTTTATTTTTTCAGGTCCTTCTGGCGTTGTCCGGTGAAGTGCTAGCTTCCATGTATGGCAAACCAGTTCAACTGGGCGACGCCTCTAGCAGTCATTCACGGGACCACTTCATCATTGCGGACAGCCACATTAAATACCGGGTTATTTAAAGCCCTGGATCATCCAAAGGGGCCCTTTTTATAGAGGGACACTTAAACCCCAGGAATCCTTGCCAGGTCGTCATAAACTTGGGCCAAAGGAGGCAGTGAGAGGTGACGAGCCGGCACACCAACTATGCGCTTCACTCATGGCCAAGATCAAAGAGAGGTTATGGGATGCTTTTGGGATCAGATAGGTAGGTATGTGCAGAAAATTTCGGGATGAAATCAGATCAAATTACTGCACTATCATTATTCTTAATTACCTCGATCCCGTAGGTGTGCTCTGCGTTGAACCATCAAGGTTACTTGGATGCACCCATCCTGGCCTTCAGCTTCATCTTCACCTAACCCACGAGGACAAGATCTAGAATCATCTTGCATCGCTAACCCGACCCCTCACGCCATGGAAAATAAGCTTATAGTTGGTGGCGTGCGAAGGGAAGCGTGAACCCGCCTGTTTGATCAGCGATCAGGCAAAGATCATGCAGTGCCAGCATCCTGGGTTCGTATTCCAGGGTAACCTTGACGCCAGCAACACTACACAGGATGATGTGAAAATGGACCTTGCTGTACTCCGTACTGGGCATGAGATTGCGAGAGGCATAATGAGTATTGGACAGTCTGGTTGAAGTTGGAAGTCGAGGTTGTGTGCAAATCACTTTTACAATTCACTCGTTTGGGTCATGGATATGGCGCTGTACTAAAACCACACGATGAACAGCCAAGAGATCTCCAAGACTGACGTCAGTTTAGATACTTGAACAATACCACGAGCGAACCGATTAAACAAGGTCTAAGATCAGCTGCCGGCACTCAAAATAAGCACCGCTTGGCGCAACGAACAACGGTCCTGGCTTGCAAGTCTGCAAGGCACGCCAAGTGGATGTCCATCCATCGTGGAGACCCGCCATGCGAAAATCGTACGATGTGTGGAGATGTGTTCTTTGGAGGTTATCACGTGACGTGATGTTCTCGCTCCTTTTTCGAGGTAGAAAGCTGGATTAAAGACGGAAGAATTCGAGTTTTGGGAGTCAAGAATGCTTCTTGTATCAGATGAGTGATCCCTCTGAAGTGGAATCATCATCTCATCTATAAATCTCACAGAGATACCATCCCCAGCGCACACACCACCACCACTAGCATCTCCCAGCTCACACCTTGAAGGCCCAGACCGCGGAAAGGATCTGGGGTCGGGCCCCAGGCCAAGCCGTGGTCCCTGTAACGGTCGCTTCGTAGGGCTGGAGCTGAGGGAAATCATCCCTGCATATCAGGCATTTAAGGAAGCGCTACCGACGTGTTTAAATGGTTGACGGTTCGCAGCTGGTCCGTGTCTGGGGAACGTAATGAACGTCTTGGATGGCTTCAATCTTGTGCAGAAGATCTCAGTCTTGTTCCACTGCTCTGACAACTCTTACAGCATGTGCCCACTACACGATCACGCTTGATCAGCGCAACACTCTACGCGCAACCACTTAATGTGGTCTCATGGTTACTCATGTCGTCACTCAAACACTTGACAGTCACAGGTACGTCAGGCAGTCATGGGAATCTCGCTTCTCTCTCATAGCACCAGACCACGCTTCCATTACTTGTTATCGACGAGGTTGTAAATCTTCTGGATATCGTGCAGGACCGCCTCAAAGTCAATCTTGAGATCCTTGAGCAGACCGTCCTTGAAGCCAAAGACCCAGCCGTGGACGATGGGGTACTTATTCTGGGCGTACGACTGCTGGACGTCGGCTGACTTGATGACGTTGCGGCACTGCTCAACCACGTTGAGCTCGACCAGGCGGTCGTAGCGGGCAGCCTCATCCTCGATGGCGTCGAGCTCCTTCTCGTGCAGACGGTAGACGTCGCGGATGTTTCGCAGCCAGGGGTTCAACAGACCAAGATCCTTGGGAGTCATGGCGGCCTTGACACCACCGCAGCCGTAGTGGCCGCAGACAATGATGTGCTTGACGCCGAGGTGCTTGACGGCGTAGTTGATGACACCCATGGCGTTGAGGTCAGTGTTGCAGACGAGGTTGGCGATGTTGCGGTGGATAAATGCCTCGCCGGGCTCGAGGCCGCAGATCTGCTCGGCGGGGATGCGAGAGTCGGCGCATCCGATCCAGAGGTACTCGGGGGCCTGACCAGCCGAGAGATCCTTGAAGAAGTCGGGGTTGTGCTTGGCCTTGGCCTCTGCCCAGGACCGGTTGTTGTTGAACAACCGGTCGTGGCTCTGCTGGAGGTATTTGGTGATGTCCTGTTCAGCCATCTTGCGCCAGTCGGAGCGGGAGAGTTGTGGTGGTGGTGGAGGGGATGACTTGGAGGATGCAAAGCGTGGGTGGAGGATAGAGCGTCTGGCTGATGAGAGGAAAAGAGAGGTTGAACGAAAAGAAGAAGAGGATAAGAATGAAGAAGAGGAGAGGAGGGAAGAGGAAGAAAACCGAGAGGGGATCATTGGCGACATCCAAGGATCGGTTGAGTTGCAGCTACGTGCGTGCGAGTGCGACCAGGGGTAAAAAAACGGCAGGCGGGAAGACAGGTGCTCCTGCAGGGTTCTTTTCCTGGCTTGGCAAAGGGTGAAAAAAGAACGCGTCGCCCACAGGCTGTTGAGCGGTAATACCGGCAGGTGTAGCTACTGTACAGCTTGACTCTTCTTGTGTGGGTGGGTGTGAGTGCAGATTTTGATGGAGTCAAGAAAAAGTACGGGATCCCACGGCGCGGAGAGTTACCGAGATTCTACTTCAGGGTAAAAGCTGCTGGACTAATTTGTTGAGCCCCCATCGTCAGGTCCCGCGTCTCTTTGCCTTGGTTTTTGGTCTCCCTGGCTTTCCAACAAGCTTCATTTGGTTGGGTATCATTTATCGGTGGCTCTGCCGATTAGCGATCTGCGATACGGAGCCCGGCCCGTGCGTAGCCGTCATTTCAGTTACATCACTGCCCCGGGGAGTTGGGCCGGGGTTACGTCGGCAGTTGACGAGACATGTCCGAGGTTGATGAGTCAATTGAGGGATTGAGAGGTTGAATGAGGTGAAGGGTTAGTCGGCTATTTAATTGAGATGCTGGTATTTATTGATAATGGTAATTGTGAGGGTGTTGATGGTGTGTCGGCGCCCCCCACCGAGTCCTCGGAGATACTTGAAAGACACCGAGGAAATACCCCTCTCCATCTTCATCCCACCATGAATCCCACCCTCGTGCACTTGCAGCTGCAGAAGCACCATAAACAAGGACAAGGACCCCCATTCTGTTTCCAATCCCGGCGGCCCGGTTACCGGACCGTTCCTCTGTTGATGCGCGATGACGAAGGATGGGTCTCTGACGTCTCTTGCTAGCCTGAGGCTGGTGTCCTCGATTGTTCGAGTTGATGTTGATGAACAACGTTGATTGAAATACTTGGCCTGGGTCTTGGTTTTCGAACTGACAGATCTTGGTTACTGAGCTCATGTGTCGAATGGTAAGGAGATGACAGTCTTATGTGCCATGGTCAACTGGGGTGGACGGGAATGCCACCTGCTCAGTGCTCACCATCGAGGTTGACAACCTTGAATCTTAACCTGATAGTTTTTGGAGAAAGGAAGCGTTCATGATTGGATGGCCTCTCATAACGTCTCAATCACTGTTTCTGATACGGCCTGACTGGGCTTGGAAGTTTGCACTTCAACTCAAGAGAGAATGTGTCTTGATATTCAACTACCTACCTGGGTATCCAACAATATTCAAAGGCCTGCCTTGACGGGCACAATACATGATCAACCGCTCTCCCATTCATATCCTACATTTACTCAAGGCCTCATCTCACATTCATTAATCTCATGACCATCCAGCTCAAGTCTCCCACTTGGCCTTGAGAGCACCAAACTTGTCGCCAAACTCGGAAATGAACTTGGCAACATCCTTTCGCTTCATAAACTCGCGATACTCTGCCTCCTTCTCCGCAAATGCAATCTCCAACTCGGCTACCTTGATCTTGTTGGCGTCCCATACCTCCTGAGCCGACTTGAGCAGCATCTGGGAACTCTCCATCTTGGCGTGCTTCTCCTTTAGTGTGTTGCGGTGCTGGTCAAGGTTCGACTCGAAGGCTTTGTGGATCTGCTCGCATTGTTCCGATGTCATGGTGTTCATGGTTGGCATGTCCTTGAACCAGTTCTCTAGGCTCTTGGTGTCCTGTGCAATCTTTTGCGCCAAGACTTTCCAGTCGTTTTCGTGCTGGTTGCAGGTCTTGAACCTTTCTGCGTACTCCAGAGAGCATGTATTTTGCTCCTCCAACGCCTCCTGTAGTCTTGACTTGGCAGCCATCATGACCGTGTCACTGCCTTCCATGTCTGCCGCGGCCTGCTCGGGTGAAGGGAAGGAAAGCCCTTGGATGAAGGTGCCGATGCTCTGGATTGTCCCACTTGTATCCCGGTTTTCAGGGGTACATCTCTTCTTGACGGGTGACTCAGAGATCCCCAAGGGGTTCTCTGAGAGAGTCTCAGATCTTGGTCTCTTGGTTGACGGCGTAGGGGGGAGGGTGGTGGTTTTGTTGTCGATGTTGGTCAGGATGTTGAGCTTTGAGCTGTTGGTAGGTAGCTGCTTCAGCTCAGACTGGGGAGTAACAGGGAGTTTGTGCTTTGGACTGTTGAACGATGGCTTCTGTTCGGTGACAGGAGTGACAGGAGCTTTCGGTTTTGGTGTGTCCGGGAGTTGCGCCTTCTGCTCGGACTGGGGAGTGCCAGGGACCTTTGGCTTCGGGGGTAGATTCTTTGCGGAGAGTAAAGGTGATGCCTTCTTTGGTGTGGTAACGGGACTCTTCTCCTTAACAAGCTTCCGAACCAGAGAACCCTTGGTGCGCTTTGCAGTACCAATGCCGATGCCCTTCTTCGCGGCGCCACCTTTTGAGGATTGACTGCTTGAAGGTGCTTTTGAAGCGTCCTCCTCATCCATACTCACCCCGCTGTCCGCTGAGGCGGCTCTCTCATACCGCTCCAGGGCGGCAACGACAGCGCTCTGTGGTGACTTGGGCCCCCAAGTCGGAGCGAAGCTGCAGTTGGCTGGAAACTCATCAGTCCCTAGCACGGCGTAAAGACCACTAAGGGCCGAGGTAGCAGCCTTGGGGCCGGTCTTTGCCATGTTAGCTGAGTTGCAATGAGATACAAGGGAAGACATACAACTTCTGACACTCTCACATCCCAGTTAGGGTGATGGAGTTTTGCCCAGAGCTTCATCATACGCTCAACGTCCTGGAGGCGATGTGGAGAGGGGATTGGGTCGTAGTGACGGCTGATGATGGTTGTATGTGCAACATCTCGTTGTATCCTCACCACTGACCAGTGGTTGGGATTGAGGTGCTGAAGGGGCGCCAGGAACACCTTGTTTGAGGGGAGCGGTTGGTGAGGGACATACGAGTCGGTGGAGGGAGGTGCCATGTCAAAATAAGAGGGATGAAGTATCACCGTGTCCTTGCCGAGTGTTGGGTAGGTGGCCAGGAGTGCGCACATGTGTGATGCCTTGAGGGGATGTGCAACCTCGAGAGCCTTGATGACCTCGGCGACGGTGGACTTTGAGAGAGCTGGCTTTGTTGGGAGCAGCGCAGGCATGCTGCTCCTGTTGCTTTCGGAGGCCATTCTGGTTGAACCTGCGCAGACGATGCTGTTAACGGTGTCTCTGTTGCTTCTGGACGACGTTGTGGACGCAAAGGGCTGTGGCATGCTGCGTGATGACGAGATGGAGGGGGTTCTGAGGCAAGACGGCGCTATCCGCCGGAATTTGGAGACGCGAACGCGACCGCGACGGAGATGGCGGGTATCAAAGTATAAGTAAGAGCACACCGGAACCAGCCAGTGTCCTTTGGAACAAAATATTGGATGGTTCAGGAGAGACAAGAGGGGTCTGAGAATGCGGTCTGCGTTCTGCGGCCTGGCAAACTGCAGATGATGTCAAACAGGAGGGGGGGGGGGGGGGGGAAGAATCAAAAATCAAGAAAAAGTGGCTGAGGGTTGGGCAGCGGGAGGGGCTTTGACACGAGGGAGCCCGGTTCAGCGGGTTTCTTTGTTCTGGTTGTTGATTGTCGTTGCCTTTGTTGCCTGCTGGCTTTTTGTTTTCTCTTGAATGCAGTTTCACAGATGGTTCTTTGGTGCTGTACTCTGAACAGTTGTTTGGCATAGATGATCTACGGAGTGCATCTCAACAGTGTGATTTGGCTGCATAGGGGAAGTGTAGTAGCCGAGCCGCTGCAGTTTGCGACTCTTCTACTCGTCCACTGCGTTTGTTGCACATTTCACCGCTTGCTGACAGACAATAGTGACAGAATCTAGTGATGCAAGCCGCGATGTGATGGAGGTTGGTATGGAGGGTGGGATGGCTGGAATTTAGGGAAGTGATTCGCGACATTGCTTTTTTCACCAGAGATTCTGTAACGCTCCAAGCAGGGGACATAAGACACGAGACTAAGTGAGGTGAGGACACAGCCCAATTTAGTCTCACGTATTTTGTCCCCTCGCTAGGCTCCCTTGCAGCGGGGGTAGGGATCTGAGTTCTGGACCAAAGGACTTGGAGGTGAGTCATGTTGAGCAAACGGGCGTCACTCTCTTGTAACCCTCCTCTTGGGTTAAAAGGTACGGTCTACGGAGGTCTATCTCAAAAGTTTTGTCCTGGCCCTCAAGCCACACAAATACACGAGCCAATCAGAGGCCATTTTCCAAGCACAGTTACATCGGTACTTATGGTCCTCTTTCTTTACTTTTGAAGCCCCTATCTTCTAAGGATATAGCTCTCTAAGCTTCACTAGATTTCCCCCTGGGCTCCAATAGCCCTCCCTATAGCTTTAGGGAGTAAGTAACTGAAAAGATTTGCTCCAAAGTACCTCAGGTACCGACAGGGATAAGCGGCCTTGGCGCTACTAGCTCCTGGACAAAACTTTTGAGATAGACCTCCGTAGTTTCTCGTCCAATTGAAGTCTGTGTATGTAAAGTGTGTGTGGGAATTGTCATGTGAGTATGCTGGTTCCCGTGAGATCGGGTTGGTTGGGGTTGAGTTGAGCCCCGGCATGCAGCAGAGCTGAACCGCGGGTATCTGTGCCTTAGCACGCTAAACATGGGAGCTGCGACTTGGCGTCGATGAAGCTTTTGACGGATAGCTGCTTTGACTTCGGCGGTGTGATGGAGTGTTTGGGGGCGAGAGAACAGAGAGGACGAAAGGAGAGAAGAGGAGGAAAGGAGATGGTGTCGCGTGCCCGGGCCATGCGGTGATGGCAAGGGGCAGGCCAACCAACACAAGAGGAAGAGTATTCACATGAACCCTATGTTGGAGAGATAAGATAAAATCATCAACTGGTTGTTTGAAGCTATCATCGAACCTAACTAGGTTAGATTGACTAAAATCCGGAGAAGCCTGAAGGACTGAAATGCTGCTTCAAATGCATGACGCCTCTCCTACACAGTCTCTGTAATCAATCCTAGCTAAACCACACCCCAAAAGTCGCCGATTCGCCTACCAAAGTCCGCTTTCCTTCTCCTAAGTCCGCATTGTGTGGATCACCTTCCGACAATTCTTACCATCAACTTCTTCTTACTCAGCAAAACATGTCAGTGATGCTCCGAACTCCGCATCCTCCGGACTCGTCGGCACCCAGTCTGGCCGATCGCCCGAGCGACCCGAAGAATATCTTTGTTCATGTCCCCGACGAGCCGTAGATGCCTTTGTACTGAGTAGATCGATACGACTTCCGACATGACGCAGGAAACAACGGCTTCGGCTGCACGCCGCGATGTACCCCCCGACGAGCGACGACCCGATGCGGGATACGGGTCTTTTCCCTCGACGGATCGCGAAATACCTAAACCTGCGAAACAGAGCACGAGAGCGCTTGCTCCCGACTTGCTGCGAGGCTTTCTCATGCTCACCATGGCTCTCGACCACATGGCACTCGCCTTGAATACATGGCAGCACGGTACCGGACGGGAGACGGAGATGGATGGTGTTGTGATCAAGGAGTGGAATAGACCTGTCGCATACGTCGTCCGTACCCTTACCCACCTATGCGCTTCGGGCTTTACTATGCTTCTCGGCATTGGTGTCGTCTATCTCGGTCGATCGCGTACAAGACTTGGCTGGTCGTCGCTGCGCATCGCAAAGTACTTTGCCGTCCGGACGGCTGTGCTGACGCTCATCGGTGTATTACTCGGGTTGGCGGTCTCCGGGGGAAGAGTCTGGTTTATGAACTTTGTCTTGTTCTCGTTGGCCATCGATTACTTTCTCGCCGGGATGCTGTGGCTTGTGATCGACACTACTGAACCGTTGCTCGCGCGGGCCGTTACGCGCGTGTTTCCGGATAAAGTTTCAGAGGAAGACGAGGTTGACGAGCCTCTTCTCCGTCGGGATACAGTACAGGACGGCTCCGACTTTGGTGTATTGGTATCGTGGCACGTTCACAACGCTCTCCTTGCTGTTCTTGGCTTGGTTACCATCTGGTGGAACATCTGGCTTTCTCCAACAAACGGACACTGCGACATCAGGGACCACGCGTCAGACGTGATGCAGCCACTCTCTGTGGCTGCGAGCGAAGGACCAGACGGCCCCGCCGTGTCTCACAATCCCCTCCTTGGCATCTGGTTCTGGATCACGCAGACGGAGCGCGTCATGTCCGTCTTTCCCCCCATGGCCTGGGTGTCGTTTGCAGTGTTGGGTTTGTTGTACGGCCGCATCGATGTGACGAGGACGTGGAACTCGAGCGTCGCTGCGCTTTGCAATTTGGTTGCTGGCTTGGGTTTCTTGGTCTTGTTTGTGCTCACGAGGGTGTTGCGCTTTGGAAACCTCTCTGAAGGATGTTTGCAGACGCCTGAGCATGACAAGTATCCCGATCGGAACCCGTATCTTGCCTCCGTGCAATCTTTCTTTTACATCATCAAGTATCCCCCGGATGTGGCTTTCTGGGCGTTTACTCTTGCCGGCAACTTTTTCCTGCTGGCTTTCTTTGGTGGAATTCCTACCAGTGTGGCTAAGCGCTTCACGCTGCTACTCGACTTTGGCAGAGCTGCCCTGTTCTTTTACATCACCCACCTGTTCTTCATCTTTATCGTTGGACCCCTCATGGTCGCCTTGTTTGGTCATGACACAGGTATCCCGACGCAGATGGACCCTAGCTCCACGAGGGGCATCGACAATGCGTTTGCGTACTTTGGCATCTGGGCGTTTGCCATGCTTGTCATGTGGCCTGCGGTGAGGTGGTACGGCAGGTTCAAGGGCAGCAAGCCCGCCGACTCCATTTGGAGATTCTTTTAGTAACAGCTGGACTGTTGCATGTTTGTCGTCACACACGGTTTCTTTTTTGTTTGATAGAGTACAAAAGTAGATTCAGCATCTTGCATCACGTTTGCCCCTTGCTTCTTCGAGCCCTTTGACAAGGCATTATGTCTGCATCCGTGTGCCCATCTCTTGGCCAATGTCTGTTCATCACTTCCGAGACAGGCTCTGCAACCAACCCTGCCAACCAATCCTGCCAACCAATCCTGCCAACCATCCTGTCCTCTCCTCCTGCGCCCACTATCATGTCTGCCACCTTATGCAGTTTGATCGAGTCGACCAATGTAGATCCGGCGTCTTGCACCATGGCTGCATATGCATCTTCATCTCCGTGTCAGGTTCGGCAACCAGCCTCCCAATCCACCCTGTCCTCCCTTCTTGCGCCTACTCTCATGTTTGCCACCGTGTACAACCACAGCCCCCTCCCCGCCCAGCCTCTTCTCAGACGCGCTGCGGGCAGCTTGCCTTCCTCCAGGCCGTGACACCCGAAACGGTCGCTCGCGATACGTCGCCCTGTGAGATGATGTGATTGTGTTCTCTAGACTTTTGAGATTCTGGCCGAAATGCTTGAGGCTGTAGAGCGACTTGACGAGATCATCGATGCCCTTCCCGGTCAGCTGTTGGTCTGAGACTCTGTGGGTATTTTGCTGGTAGGCTTCGACGAGATCGAGATGTGCTTGTCGGTCTCTACGAAGATTCTTGAGTGTTTCCTTGTTCTTGTCAACGGGAAACCCCAATTGCCTTCCAGACTCAACCTTGCTCTCCTCGTCGTGGATCAGCATGTCGAGGTATTCAACCGTCGAGTCGTTGATGGGGGTCATGGCGTTCTTGGAAAGGAACACAAAGAACAGCGCCCTTGCCTCCTGCATTTTATGCAGTTCATACCGGTACTCGAAGATACGTTTCTCTAAATTTATGCTTGCTGCTTCCCGAAGCTTCACGTCGCTGGCGTTGATTTCGAGGAGGCGTCCGATCTCCTTATCCTTGATCCTGATTGTGACCTCTTCCGCTTCGTACAGGATGTGCATGTGCAACTGCCAACGGTGTCGGCAGCCGGAGGCATTACATATGTCTCTTTTGCCTCTATCAAAGGCGCGACATTTCTTGAGGGCTGGATCGGCGAGGGTCTCTTGTTGGACGTTGGGGAGTGTACAGCCTGCATGGCACTGTCTCTTGGACACTATGATCTTGTCCCCGTTGTTGCTTATTCTGACTTGGGAGCAAGATTTCGCCGTACAGATGGTTCGTGGCTTGGCGAGCTTCTTGGCGGTCCAACTAGGGACCTCGGGGTGCAGCTTCTCGCGGAGTTTTTCTCCCTTGAGTCTCCTGTCTGTGAGGTCTTCCTTGCTTTTCGTCAGAACGGCAATGCCTTGTGCGATGCAACGCGAGATTTCCGACATGGGCTTCATGAGCTGTTCCACTTGCCGGCGGGCCCCGTTCATGCTCAGCGTGCTGTTGACGTCGTGTGGAGTTCTTGACTCGAGGTACTGAACGAGTCTTTGCGTCTCGTTCTTGGAGTGCTCCCAGCTGTTGCGCATGCCCTCCTCGTTTGGCAGTGTGATACCTTGACTGTATGCTGCTAAATAGCGGAAGCTCTCCGAGTCGAAGCAGTAGGTAGTCGACGTAGTCAAGTTAAGGTGGAGATAATCGTGCTCCCCTAGAAGTTTCTTCAAGGGCCCAAATACATCACCGGCTGTATATTCAGAGACACGGGTGTTTGTAAATCCAAAGACGACATTTGACACGGCGCTCAGATGAAGATGCGCAAGCAATTCCTTGATGCAGAATCTGAACATGACATTCAGCCGAGAGCTGTTGGATTTGAGCAGGATAAGTATGCCGTGAATGTCTTGATAGTTGCTCAGCATCTTCATCATGTTGGCTATGTTCTCATTGTCATGATTGGATCCACGTGTGTCTCCGATGCCCGGCGTGTCGAAAAGGCGATATCTCTTCGTGCCAACGGTGATAGCATACACGTTCGTCCGTTGGGTGGCTGATTCTCCTTCGACGCCGTCTGCTTCGTCTTGCCTGGGAGTGCCAACGCGGATGGTCCTTTCCTGGATCTCTTGGTCCGGGTTATCTCTGTTCATGGTCTGGGTTGAGAAGGAACAGGGGATGAGCAGCTTGAGCTTTTTGGCGGCTTTGGCTTCATCCAGGGTGTCATGTGTCAGGTAGTTGAGGAAGCCATTGATGAAGGTCGACTTCCCCACGCCTGTCTCGCCGAGGATCAAGATGTTGACAGAGTCGGGCTTGAGTTTTCGAAGCATGGTCGACAGATTATCCAACGGATATCGATCAAAGCCAGGCCCGTGAGACTCGCTATTGCACTTGAAGTCGTAAGAGGCATGGGAATGATAGCCACAGTCACAGTAGATGTGCTCGTCTGTTACGCCGAACTCGAGAGGTTCAGAACAATGGAAGCAGATCCATTCACACGCGGTGTTGCGGTCACAGCGTATTCCAGGGCAGGGGATCTTGACGAAGCGACGATCCACGGGTCTCAAGTCACCTTCTGTGTCGGAGCGATCTGCAGTCTTCGAGCGGTCTGGACCATAACGAGCAAAGCAGTACTCGAGAAGGGGATTGGGCTTTTCAACATCCTCGTAATCCTCATCATCTTCATTATCGTTGTTGTCTTGAGTATCTGGGAACTGCCAATCGAGGTTGCTGTCAGGAGGAAGATGGTGGATGTGAGGAAATGAAGCAGCCCCCAAGGTGCCTTGGGTGGCCTGAGAAACGTCTGGGGTAGGGGCGATTGGATATTCCCAGACCAATTCGGTGACGAGTTCGCGCCCGCTCTGATGTTCTACCATGCGGGCGTCTTCCAGCTCCAGGCGACAGGAGGGGGCATCACAGTCGACGACATACACAGGTTTGCCCTGGTTCGACTGTCTGAGTAGGCGCATCAAAGAATTGCATTGGTGGTCCCATATTATCTTCTGCTGGGTCGCGGCAGTGCTGAGAAGAAAGGCGTGGCACCCTGGGTCATCGTGGGGAGTCTTGATCTTCTCTAGAGGTGACCCGCCGTGGCCGATGTACACAGCACCAGCCGCGATAGCCTCGGCTAAGAGGCGAAGCTTCTCTGTTTCTTGACCGATAAAAGGAGACATGAGTCTGGGGGATCCGGCCTCCGCTTCGACGTTGCTGTATAGGTTGTGGAGATGCTGAGGGCCCATGGCACCCATCCTGATGGACACCAACGTTGGGGCGAGTCTTTGTTGAAGCTGCGTCTTCCACTGATTCAAAAGACTGATTGAATGGTAAACAGCCCGAATGTGCTCCTCTGACACATATGATCGCTTCTCCAACAAGCTCTTGTAATAGCCACCAAGCTTCTTCTTGCAGCTGGTGAATTCGTCAAAGAGACCCATGAACTCGGTAAAGTCGTCGATGGGCAACGGAATTGGAGCGACAATGATTCTCTGAAAGCCAGATATATGCCTGTCTAGCCTGTCGATAGGGAGCAGGGTGTAGGAGAGCGGCCACCCTTTGCCGTCGTTCGTCTTGGGTAACTCGCCTAGGCGGAGGCGAATGAAAGTGCGCATCGCATCAAGACCGGTCATCTCCAGGCCCTCTTTGGAAGCATCGGTGTATAGATGGAAGGTGTATAGAAGCTCTAGTGGGCTGGCTCCATGAGAGCCAGATTCAGGATATCCAGTGAGGGACTGTGTTAAGGCTTCGAGCCGACTCAAGTCTCGAAAGAATGCACGCTCAACTTGAGGTCCTGGAGACTCTCCTGAAAACTCATGATTGATCACAAGTGTGTTTCGCATGCCCCAAGCGATGCCAGTCACCACATGTGTGCTGTCTCGAGTTTGCAGTGGCATCACGTCCATGTGCTCTCTCAGGCTGACTCTCCTCAGGTCAAGCTCATCGACAAGCGTGGAGAATGTATAATGATAGGCGCCGTGAAGAGAGCCCGGAGAGTCGAACTCGGCTTGAAGGTAATCTGACGATCCCTGGACCTTGATAGCGCCAGAGATGATACTCGCTGCCGTGTCGTGGCTTACACCAAGAGGTTCAATTCGACTGTCATATTTCCCGCTTGCATTGTGAGCGATTTTGAAAGCCTTAATTTTGCGTTGGCTCGTTGCATGGAAGGGCTGCCCGCTGCGTAAGATGGAGGCGTCCAGAAATGAGTCGGATTTAGCATTGTAGAGCGTGCCAATGGGGACCAACTGGCCAAAAGCACCCCGAACAAGGTCATTCATGATGAATAAGAGAGTTGATGGCTTTGAATGGAAAGGGGTAAGAAGATACTTGTTTGTGCTGTTCGTGGTGATTGTCGAAGAGTCTATACCAATGTTTACTGGCCTTATAGCCTCCTTGCCCAAAGGGGACCGATCTGGCTCGGAGCGTGCCTAGGCCTGCCCCTTGATAGTCACCACGAAGCAATTTCAGGAGGTTACTAGTTTGGTATGCTTGTATATATGTAGTGTCGCCTGAGTTGGAGGCTTGAAACCCCCTCAGATGCAGTGCTATCTGCTCCATTGCGCGAGGTTACACTTTCACTCTTGTTTGTCTCCGAGATACCGCCTTCCGCGCGGCAAAACCGATCTTGTTCAAGGCGAGGGGTAGTGCTGAGTTGACGACATAGGCGATTAATGTCTGGAAAGGCTTCTTGCAGTTGCCAGCAGGTCAACGGTTGTTGGGGCGTCCTAGAACAGACGTCTCGAGTCCATCAGAGGTCCAAAGAAGGGCCGTGAAAGATTTCACTTGACCAAACAATGTAACAAAGAAGTGAGAAATAGACAGGCACGGTAGCACTGAGGGAACGGCCTCTTCTGGACGACTCGAGTGGTCTCGTCCGGCTGACTCCATTCGATTCCCAGTAGTGTAGAGGCACCCATTCAAATGCCCTCGCAAGCCCTTCCGTGATAGGTGCAACAAGCGACCAATTGCTCCCACCCGGCTTTCCCCCAGCTTGAGCAATACGTTTGCCTACTTACAAGTCTCTGCCCGCAGATATGACCTCCATGGCATCGGACGAGGTCACGATCGAGTTGTGGGGCGAATTTCCCAGTTGCTCGTTTAAGATAGACAGGAAGCGAGCGAGCGAAGTTTCGGGATACCTTGAACGTTTGTTTTCTTCCAGCGAAAGGCAAGGCTATGCGACTTATGACCTGGAACCCGGCCTGTTTCGCATGTTTCTTGTTTGGCTGCGAGTCCGCAACTTGCCACCCAACCCACATTCAGATGTGTACCAAAAGGAACCTTGGCTCTCTCGCGCCGCAGAGGCGTGGGTACTTGCCAGTGTGCTGGAATCACCAGAGTTCGGGGACTTTTGCTTGAGGGTGTTCATAAGGAACTGTGCCCTTGCGCCTATCGGACCATGGAGGTATATCCAAGACACCACTCTACCAAACTCACCCATTCGACGGTTCAGCAACCACTGGATCGCCTTGAATGTCAGTATTATAAGCGGAGCACCTAGCGAATTTGATGGTCTTGAAGCGGCAGGCCTTGCTGCTCAGGCCAACGGGCACATCGAGGATCCGCGACAATACAACTGCGCTCACTGGTACTCACCATGTGGCGATCGGGTCGATTCTACCTGTGAGCATAACCCCAAAGTCATGGAGGAGAAGAAACGCCCGAGACCATCTACCCCGATTGTTCCCGCAGCTTCAGTACCGACTGCAGAGCGCGGCATTTCGCTCGAGGTGCCGCCTTCTCGACGAGGATCTCAATTGGCACGACCACTCTCATCTCGGGTGTCATCTTCAAGGCAAAATCGACATAGCAGAATATCCTACGAATCAAGGCCCGTGAGCCCTTCTTCTAGTGACTCGACTATCTCTCCTCGAAGAAGATTTTGGCTTCGGTTCGCCTCCATTGTAAGAGTGACTCACTATTAATTAGCAATGGTCGGTAGCTTACACGTCCCCAGTTGACACACGGCACTTTCCTCACGATAATACTGGCATTGTGTGCCGTGATTCTCCCAAACGAGAGCGACGGCGTCAGATCGGGCACGAGATTCTACAGCATCTTCTGTGTCTCGTGCGGCATTCTCTGCTCGTTGCTCCCCAAGCTTGGCATCCCAACTTACATGTTGCTTGCGCTCGGTGACGGTATCGCGCTGGCCATCAATACTAAATCCTGCTGTGAGATGGCTGAATCTCCTATTTGCCAGAAACTGAAGGCTTTGACTGTTTTTGTGTGGTTGGGTATCCCGATTTCGTGGTGGTTTAGAACGGCGTGGGGGACGAACGCGTTGATCAGTTGGAGGAGACATTGAAGTTTGGGAGACATAATGAAGGCGGCGGCTGATGCATTTTTCTTTATATTTTTTACTCGAGGTATTATTGAGATCAACGATAAAAACACCAAGTACTTGATGCTGCAGATGCTATGAGCTGTGATTATCGTCGTTATCTCGCGGAAACCTTCTCCTTTGGTCGGTGATGACAAACTGAGTGGGGAGGCTCCCCTCTCCCCGCACCTCTAGCAAGCACGCATCAATCAACCAGTGAACCACTTGCCTGACAGCTCCAGTAATCCATCAACCATGTCGACCAGAAGCGAGTCTGGGTGGCAAAGAGACAGGAAACGGGCCAGCAAAGCGTGAGGCGACATGCCGTATACCCAGTTTCGGTAGTGTGCGCTGACAGCTGAAGTTGCAAACGATGTCGAGATCAAAAGATCAAATGCTCCGGCTCGGACCCCTGTGATCCTTGTAGGAGGAGGGGGCTTCCGTGTCAGTTTGAGGGAGAGTCGGAGAAGATTCTCATCTCACGGAGGTAGGCTTTTGAGTAACTGTCTTGACTCGGGTTGTGTTGACATGGTGTAGATACCTAAGTGGCCTACAAGCAAAGCTAGCTTCGTATGAGAAGCAGTTGAGCCAATCTGCCTCTCCAGATGATAATACCATACAAGTGGAGGGGCTGGAAACTTGTAAGCCGTCTTGGTCTTGGCTAACTGGACAATGGTTGATGACTGACCGGGCACAGCAACAGGCGAAAGCACGAAAGAGTCAGCGACCTATGAAGGCACTTTTGCATGTCCTATTTCTAATAAAATTTGACAGTGTAATACCATCTGGGATCACAGCAGAGTCCAGCAAAGCCGTCGATGTATCAGAAGCACCTCTTACGAATCCTCTTGCCTTGCGCACGGCAAACTGGGCTCCAGCTCGACATGGAAACATGCGTGGGTGTTTTTAACCTTCATATGAAATGATACTGACAGTGAATTTAGTATTTATGGGCACCTCGTCCAACTGGGCCTTTGGTAGACGAGTGTTGACCATGGCGCACGAGACACTCACTGGAGAGCCACTCCCTATAGACAACCTCCTCTTCGATGGCAATGTCTACGACCTAGGTTGGGACGGCCTGAAAGAGAATTGTTCTCAAGATGAATTTGACTTTTCGACTCTCCCAGCCCGAGAATTTGCTCTCTATCTCATCAACTCTGTTCAGTTTCGCTGCGGCACACTGTTCCAGCTATACGACGAGGACACGTTTATGAGACAGTTTGAGCAGTTTCATGGAAACTCTGATGAGAACGAGCCCATGTCGCCGTTGTGGTATGTTCATTATCTGATCCTTTTGGCCTTTGGCAAGGCGTTTGTGGTGCAGATCAGCAAGTCAGCGAGTCCTCCTGGATCTGAGCTATTCGTTCAGGCCATGAAGATGATGCCGGATCTTGTTCTCCTGGATTGCTGTCCGATCGAAAAGATACAGGTGCTTTGCTCTATAGCATTGTACCTGCAGTGTATCTTTTGTCGTCCAGCTGCACACAATGTCGTAAGTCATGTCTATACACGCATTGAGGTGTTGTGCTGACATCTTCAAGATTAGCCAGGCTATCAGTATGGCGCTGCAGACGGGAATACATACAGAGATGAAGAGTCAATATCTTGACGAGAAATACGTTCAGCGATGTAGGCTTGTCTGGTCTACCCTCTACATCCTAGAGCGGAACATGGCATCTCTTCTCGGAGTGCCATTATTAATTGCAGAGGAGTATATCAGCACGCCATACCCTATTTGTCCTCGCAATAAACAGAGGACAAACACTCTGGAGATACAGATCAAGATATCAAAGATCCTCTCCAAGATTCACCTGAGTATGTTTACTAAAACGCTATTTGGGTTGTATACTGACATGTTCAAGGTGTTTATGGGACTGAAGGCCAGCTCGACAGTCGATATCTGGACGCGACGAGATCTGTTCTGAGGAGTTTCTCTGAGATTGCTGATCAACTCAACAACTCGTTCGCGATCGGAACGAATGATAACGCTTCTGGTATCTCGCGCATCTCGGCTCATCTCCATCTTCAATATCACCAGGTGAGTCAACACACGGTGTTACGCCATATGGTTCATGTAGACTAACCAGGGTTCATGTGTAGTGTATCGTACTGACAACAAGGCCATTGCTCTACACTTTCCTTCAATCAAGACTCGGCCAGGCAGATGCTTCATTGCTGGATCGGTTAAAATCGGAGAGCGTCAGACGCCTTGTTCAGATATGTTTGGAGTCTTCATATCGAATCATCAAGATATTATCAGTACTCCTGGGCCAAGGACTTTTAGGTATGTGCTTTGATAACAGAGAATATTCTCAAGACTAACAGGTTTGCAGAGAATTTCCTACCGTTCGACCTTGACGCAGCCTTCAGCTCAACAATTGCCATCATCATGGCGGCCACAATCGACGCATCACTGGTAACAGACTACAACCACTGGATCCAAAGGGCTTACGCAGTTCTTGACGAGATAAGTTCGCGGGGAAACACCGTGGCCTTGTTGATTGGATCAGAGTTGAGACAGTTGGAGGATACCTTGGAGCACCTACGGATGAAGGAGGGTTGGATGACCATGTCACTTGCCGTCAGTGGAAACCCACTGGACACGACGCAAGAGGGAGCAGATATTCCTATGCCTCCTCCTGAAGGCGCATTGGGAACTGGCTTCTTGGGGGAGTCGCCTATGAATTTTGGGTTGAGTCCTGGGCAGTTGCTTGAGCTTGCCAACTCTTTGGATATCGATAGCTTCCTCGTGTCTATGGGGAGTCCGGAAGATGCACGGCTATGAGACAAGATGGCTATCTTAATGGGTGGTTGTAAATTTGTAATAATAGAATGTAAAATAGCTATGAAGCCTGGGAGAAGAGTACGAAGGTCAAGACACAGTCAGTGCCTTAGCAGCCTGAAATATAGTCAAAGTAACCATTACAGACCGTACTTCCAAGCCTCATCCTGACCGAAAAAGGACAGGAAAAAGTTTGGAGTCGAGGTCTGCACAGTAGATTCGGTCCTCAAGCCTGGGACAGTCTCTGAAGTGCAGCCTTTCTTCTCAACAGCCTTCCCAGAAAGCCTATCCTTAACCCATCCCATCCACTTCATCTGACTAGCCTGGATAACAGGGAAGTGATCCATGGCGTTGTAAGTGACATGCTCGATGCTGTCTTTGAGTTTGGCCTTCTGGATAAGGTTGCATGTGTCATCAACGGCTGCTTTAACACCCTCCTGGCGGACAACGCTATCGTTGGCTCCGTTTAGGACAAGAAGAGGCCCAGCGAATGTCTTTCGTCCAGCTTCGACCGCCTTGGCCCATTTCTTAGGGATATCGTCCTCGTACCACTTTGGCTTCGCCACTTCCTCTGGTTTAAGATCACCAAAGACCAAGGGGAGAAGGGGAAAGCAGCCGTCAACCTTGGCCAGAACGTTGTGCCAGCGGTCGTAGGACTTGGGGGTCAGTCCGGTGTAGTTGTACTCTGGGTAAATCTTGCTGACGGAGTCGATGAGCGCAGTTTGGCCGAAAGTGACTGCTGCTACGATGCCGTTGTCGTCAAAGTAGGCAAGGTCGTCGATAATTCTGGTCACGGGGGCGATGGCGACGGTGCCTTGGTAGCCCTTGAGGGGCTTCTTGGCTTGTCGTTCAGCAAATGCCCACTGTATGATTACGAGTCAGTATTTGCGGTTTTAAGATATTTAGGTCACTCACAGCTGCACCGCCACCCTGGGAATGTCCCATAGCAACAAATGGCCCCTTGGGATCTAGCAAATCAGAAAATGCGGAGCGAGCTGCCGTTACAGCATTGGCAAGATCATTAGCGTGAGCCGGAGCTGTCACCCAAGGATGAGGGATAGTGTCTCCGTTAGGCAGCTCAGAGACTCCAAGACCAGCATAGTCGGGGGCGACAACCGCAATTCCCTGGAGGGCCAGAGCAAACGGAGCCTGGAAGTGATATTGAAGGGCTCGGTAGCTGCTGGGGGCGCATGGCTTGAAGGTGCCTGTGGTGCCGTGGGCCCAAGCAACCATGGGCATGGGCTGCTTCTTCGAGTTGGGGTTTGCAGAGTAGGGACTGTAAGGCCAAAGAACATAGGCGGAAGCCGGGACTATTTTGCCATGTATGTCCTCCGTGGTGTAGATGACTCTAGACATGGTCAAACCACTGGGAACGAGGTAGTTGGCCAGATCCGTGACCTCCTCAGCCTCGAGAACAACACCAGGGCCAAGATCGGCCGAGAACTTGGCGGGGGCCTTATAGAACTCAAAATTTGGGTCAGACTGTTGCTCCGAGATCCATTGAGCAGCGTTGAAAGTCGTGTTCTGGCATGTCTCGTCGCAGGTAGTCGAGTCAGGGAAGTGATTCTGTGCGATGGCGCTGGAGGCAGCAACAGCTGCCAAGAGAGCGGCTTTTTTGAGGACTGGAAGAACCATGATGCTTTGGCTTTGAGGATGCTGTTGGTGATAGGAAACTCCCTGCTTGGTTCGCGACAAGGTCGATTTTTATATAATTTCTATTCAAGTATACCATGCTCAGTATTCCATTTCTCACACACAGATGATGCCATTCCAGACATCCGCAATAGCTTCCAGAGTAGCATTGTAGCAGTCAATTCCAAATTCCCCAGTACGACTCTCGTGATCCATCTCTAGCTCCGAGATGCCCTCACATTTGGAATTCATGGAGTTGAGCGACGGTCCGAGCTGAATACGCCGGGATACGCCGACACGCTTAAAACCCACGAATACGCCAGGGGCTTATATACGCTCCCTTCTCCACCCCGACGTCGCATTCAAGTGCTTATGCCAAGCCGATTACTATGGGGACTTGCAAGTGGTAAAAATCAAGCTTGTTTTTGGGAGGATGAGAATACGCCGAAAAAGATCGGCTCGGGCCGTGAAGCCATACGCAGGTTCACACACCTTTATGTGAGGCCCTGGATAGAAGACTTCTCGAACAATAACATCGCGGGGGATTTGGATGCAATCTTGGGGGCCATTCTACTAGTACTAAGCTATTCGGTCCTTGAATCTGGCCCTAATGAATGCCGATGGTGGCACTCTCGACGATAAAGAGATCACATCTAGAAGCTAACATGAAACACCTATGACATTGAAAGGAAGCAAACGATAGGGTAGATTCAGCCCAGACTCAAATTTAGCTTACAAAGTAAATACAGCGATGCTCCCTAGCTAATTATTTGGAATTCCTCCCACGAATCAAGGTCTCCCCACAACCCATGATGTGTTTCGTAAGCCCAAGCCTCACTGAGAAGCTTCTTCCCTACCGCAGATCCACAGCGATAATCTCCGGCGTATGCAACTCTGTTCAGGAGTGTATGCCACTCGAGGGCCGCGTAGGGCTGACCGAGGCTTAGTACCCCGGCCGGCGTATCGCGGGGGCTTGGCTGGGCGGGAACCACTCCAAGGTGTTATTGGTGCTTAGAAACTGTATTTGAGTGTTGATCTTCATTGGAAAGTAAAAAGACTCGACGTATAAAGGCAGCTGATTCCGCCGTCAGGAACAACTTCATCAACTTCATCAACACTCTCAACTCACTCACCACCGCTTCCTCACAAGCCCAACAACTTTCAATCTTCACCTTCAGCCTTCAACTCAATTCCATCCCTCAAGATGCTTTCCAAGTCCATCATCGGTGCCATCCTGGCCTGGCCTGCTCTTGTGGCTGCTGCCCCTCACAACGTCGAGGAGCGCGCTACTCCTGAGCTTACCATTACGCAGAAGCTGCGCTTGGCTGATACGTGAGTCTTTGAAACATTCTATGGGATATCGAGAGCAAGGCTAACGCATCATAGTGAGATTGACCGATTCAAGCTTCTCCCCGATGACAAGGACTTTGTCTTTGACTTCAACAAGCAGGATGGTCTGGCTGCTGGTGTTGCCAACGCTGTGACCTTCCCTGCTCTTGTTGGCACTGGCCAGACCTTTACCGTCGGCCAGTTTGAGCGTATGTCTATTCCAACTGGTCCCTCTTGAGACCATCACTAATCATTCTTGATAGCCTGCTCCATGGCCGTTGTCCACATCCACCCCAGAGCCGCTGAGCTTCAGGCTGTCATCTCCGGACGCATCTACACCGAGATGGTCCCCGAGTCCGGCGTCACCGACGCCGAGGGCAACCAGCGCGTCATCCGCAACGAAATCGGCGCCAAGATGATGACCGTCTTCTACCAGGGTTCTTTCCACACCCAGATGAACCCCGACTGCGAGCCTGCGGTTGTTGTCACCACCTTCTCTTCTGAGGACATGGGTGCTAGCTTGATTGCCAACAACCTGTTTGCTCTCAAGAACGAGACCATTGCCAACACTTTTGGACAGAGCATTGCTGGTGAGGATATTGACAAGGTTCGGGATGCTATCCCCAAGACTATCACCTTCAAGGTTGAGGAGTGCCTTGCCAAGTGTGGCAAGACGAAGCGACAGGCTTAGATTGCCATCGAATTTTCTCTGGCTCAGGATGGTCAAGCGTTGTGGTGAATCAACTTCATCCGGGGCTGAATCCGTGGGCTCAGTAGGAATGCGGCAGAGTTTCTTTTTAGACTTCACTAGACATTTATTAGGGAACGGTTCACAGTAGCAGAAATAGAGGCTGAGAGCAGAGTTCAGTAACATTAGGCTCTTGAATATACACACTCTTAACTGCTAGACATTTCTCGGCTCCCTCAATCATTCTTTATGGTGAAGTAAATGGCATGGGCCAAACCAGGCTACGGCACATTTTCCCGACAGTGGCTTGGCCACAATTCGAGATATGGAAGTGGTGTGAGAGGGTCGGATAGTGGGCCGAGTCCCCGCAGCCCGGATCAGTATCCGATAATGTCTTTCCCATGCATCTTGGGAATTCAAAGACATCTTTACCATCTATCAACCTTCAAGACAAGTATCGAACATTTCTGTTTGCTTGATTCCGACGAGTATATTTCTCAAGATGCCTGAAAATAAGCAGGTTGTCGTTGTCGCTGGCTCAGGCAACATTGCTCAATACCTCGCCGAGGAGTTCATCAAAGATAAGACGCACGATTTCATCATCATATCTCGATCGGATCCGGAATTCTTCAGGAACATCAATGTTTGCTTGAACAAGCTGGACGAGTACTCAAAAGACGCAGTCGTGTCAATCCTCGATCGTGTCAACGCGACTGTTCTCGTCTCGACTTTGCACACCGACGACCCTACGGCTTTCACCTCGCTGCATGAGACGTTACTTGAGGCTTGCAAAGAATCCAAATCATGCAAGCGTTTCATCCCAAGCGAGTTCTTGGGAAACCTCAGAGATTTTCCAACCTTGCCTCGCGGGATTCAACGAGCAAGACAGGCTTTTCGGAAGACCCTGGCAGCACAGTCCAACGTCAAGTGGACGCTGGTCAACCAAGGTTGGCTGGCTGACTACTTTGTCCAAATTCCCGATAGATCGAGGAGTTATATGCGTCCATTTCCCGAAGGTTGGCCGATAGACCTGCAGAAGAAGACTGTTCGTGTCGTTGGTAGTGGAGACGAGCCTGTTGGTTGGACAGCTGCGAGAGATGTCTCAAAGGCAGTTGTGAAACTGGTCTCTTTTGATGACTGGGACGATCATACATATGTCTTTGGCGAGCTTGGGACATGGAACCAAGCTATTGAAAAGGTTGAGCGCTTCTGGGGTGTTGAGTTGAAGGTACGTCATCTGAAGCCCACACATGTTGTACAGCCCTGCTAACAATCGAACAGCGAACTTATGTTACCAAAGAGATGCTTGAAAAAGATCTCACCCGAGGAGTTGAGGATGCAACATGGTATACAGCAACCATCGATGAGTGGTCAGGGTTTGGCGGGACGGCTGTGCCGCGTGAAGAGGCCCTAAAGCACCGTGAAAAGTACTTCAAAGACGTTCACTTCCGAACGATTGAAGAACTTCTTCACGACTCAAAGACTATGCAAATCATCTAAACTGCCATTTTAATCATGAGATTCTGGTTTCTGCCATTCATGATTATTATGTAAGCTTCTCGTCCGATAACCGCTCCGCCGGGATCACCATCCCTTTTGGGAACGGGCTAGTCTTGCCGACGAGAGTCACTACCTCTTGCTACGAGCTGGAAATGCACAATTTCATGAAACGGAAACGAGCTCTGCAAACATGCATGCGAGACCGGTCAAGAAACCCCGGGGGTCTTATTCCTACGGTGGATGCGGTACGTGTCGCAAGAGGCATGTTAAATGCGATCAGGTTCGTCCTCATTGTCTCACTTGCAAGGCCATCGGGGTTCTCTGTGATGGTTTTGATGATTCGGGTTTGAGATGGGTTACAGCTGAGGGAGAGTCTTCTGGGGGGAGGAAAGTCTCGATGAGGATGCCAAGGAGGCCGTTCTATCCTGGTGAGCTCATTCTCGATCCCCATCCAAATATTCTATTAACACCAAGTTTCAGAACGGTCTCAAGTTTCGATGAGCACTGAGTTGAGGTCAACTTTGTCAAACAAGACCATTGATGAGTCTTTGTCAAGTCTGGAGGCCAAGTCTAAAGATACTGGCACGCCCGATGAAGCAGTCACAATAGGCCCCTTTGGCGTGTTTAGCGTTGAGAGCAGCACGACAACTTCAACTCCTTTTTCCGATATCACGATAAAAAACAACCCACAAGCTCAACTAAAACATTCAAATACTCCGGACAATGCAGCTGGTCCCAGTCCTCAACCCCTGTCAACCGCAGACCCCTTGCTGAACCCGGACAATCTCCTCGACTGGACGGATCTGTTTGACCTGGACTCGAGCCCATCATGGCTCCTCGCTGACACTACTGTCGATATTGAAGCTCTAAGTTCAGTGCCAGACGCAGCTGCAATCCCCCCCTTCAACGGCGACACGAGTTGGGAGGGCGTGCATCTGTCAAGTATGAACATCGCCTCTCCCGCCCCGTCGAAGCCTAAGACGCCAAGGGTCGCCTTCTCAGAGTTAGTCACGGTCGAAGACGCTCAGATGCTGTTGAAGCATTTCAGCGACTGCATGATATCCCACATGTGGTCACTGCCCCTTGGCCAGAAATCTTCCATGGACATTCACATCGACGCGGCTGTCACGACGCTAGCCAGACTAACTTTTATCGCAATCCGCCCCGTCTCTCATGCATCGCTCTCTCACTTGTACGCTGTACTTGCGGCGTCATCGATGCACTTTGCGAATGGGAAAGGACCAGTTGATACAGAGCGCTGGCAACAGCTGGCTGAACGTCTTAACAAGGAGGCCCAAGAGACTTTGCGGTACTCTCTCCAGCACGAGATATCACCAAAAGCTGCCAAGTACAAGGATCTGCTGCTCTCGATGTCTTCTATTGTTTCTTTCGCTGTGAGTTGGCTTACAGACCCGCCAAACGTCCAGTGTGCTAACAGACACAAGATATTATTCGATAGGCAGAAAGATGTCAAGACCTATCTTCTCGGGTCGGAAAAGCTTGTCAGAACCTGTGGTTTAGCCAAGAAGAAGATTTCTCGAAAGATTAGCTATCTTCACCACACATACACCTGGTGTAAGATTGTAGGTGACAGCACATATGTCCTGCAAAACCCAGACAACTCGGACCCGATTGGGGACATCTCTGCGAAAGATCAAGCGCCTTGGGAAGAAACACCAGGTGTATCCTCTCAGGCCCTATACACTGATAGTCGTCAATATTGTTACAACGCAAGACTCGATGATTTTTTAGGACTTGAGCCATTCCAGCAGGACACGGACGTGGAAACGATGTACTCCAGGGAGGACGAATCACCACTGGACTATATTCCCTGCGAGGGTAGCCCAGGAAGATCAGAATCGACGCTTCGACTTCTTTATGGGGTATCTGAGACGTGGCTTAGTCTTGTCTCACAGACCACTCGACTGGCCAACTATATGGAGAGAATCTCTCAGTCCAAGGAAAAGCCTGACCCTGCTTCTTTGGAGTCTTTGGAGAGTCACAAGAAGCATCTCGAGAACCTAGTGTGGACATTTACGCACAACACCCCATCAGAGGTCGAGGGGTTGAACCACGCATCTGAGAGCACGCCCCGAGCTCACCTCGTGAGGGCACTAAACTACGCCTTGATCATCCTCTTCTACCGTCGGGTCAAAGAAGTCAACCCTCGCATCCTCCAACAGCACGTCGACAGCATCATCCGAGCACTGAAGAAGTTTGACGCCGCATGTGAGAGAGATGGCATCGAAGGCCCAGGTTCACCGTGGCCTGCATTCTTGGCGGGTTGTGAAGCAATGGGGAGTTCTCAGAGGGAGTATCTTTCAGGTTGGCTTCAAAAGTCGTTTGACAAGACTGGTTTTACGAGGTTCAGGACAATCATTTCTTGCATGCATGAGGTTTGGAGGCGCCAGGAAGAGGCTCTGGAGACTGGGAGACAGGATTGGACTTGGATTCATGTTTCAAAAGATCAGAACTTGTATGTCATGTTGTGCTAAGATTTTATATTCGCGGCCAGGAATCCATGCGTGGTTCGAGGCCGCATGATTGATGTGCTGGGTCACTATGGAGGCATTATCTGAGCCGGATGCAGGGTTGTTGCCACTGTGGTCATTATCTATCAAACAATCCTGCACCCATGATATCCCCATCAAGCCTCCCACGTCTCTCTCACAATTTTCCAGTATCGTTCCGGATCAGTTCGAGCGTGGGCCACATGAGCACTGTCGCCAAAATCAACCTGATGCAAGATCGAATAGCCCTTGTCTCGAGCGTCCTTTGCATGGGCTTCAACGACAAAGTGCGGAACAAGAGGATCGGCACGACTATAGGCGTATGACCGACATGTCTCGACTGTACGTGAACGATCGTTGGCTCGATCTCCCCATATAGGAACCCAGTCCCGACCCCCGAAAATACGCATCCATATCCACATCACCGAACTAAGTAGATGCGCCAGTGGGAGAGAGACAAGGCGTTGGAGCCAACGGCCTCGGGGGACACCGAACATGACGGCTGAGACAATGAACTGGTACTCATACCGACCGGGTGTTGAGTCGAGCACGGTGGCATGTAGTGGAAGTCGTCCTTGGTCCTTGTCATCCGGTGAAGCAGTCGCAGCGTATACATCCTGGAGATTGTAGATCGTGCTCAAACCAGTGTTTGAAAAGGTGTGGATAAGTAGGGATGGTTCTTTGTTTCCATCTGGAGTTGTTTCTGTGCCCAGCTCATTGCGAATCACCTCGACGGCCGGGATAAGTTCCCTTCGCGCTTCCGGGTGGAAAAACATGTGGCGAAGGAAGCATTTGAGGACAAGAATGGTCGAACCGGGAAATAGCTCCTGATGTTTGGCGACATATTTGGAAATGTGGGTGTCTTGTGCAAAAGCCCACGACGCAAAGATGATAAGCTTTGGACCAGGTTTGGTGTCTGTCTTTGGATCCGGGTTATATAGGAACACCGAAGGTGAGAGTTGTGCTCGTGTGATTTCCGCCATGATGAATTAGACCATAAACGATGTGTGAGAGCTGCGGGAGTGAATCAGGTACAAATAAGCTTGAACAAGCTTAAAGGGAGTAAGCAGCTTTATACACGTCAGCGTTCACCTCGCCGAAATGAGATAATCGCCGACGGGGATTAGGAACTGAGCTTGCCTGCACGTTCACGTCTTGGCTGCCTCTGATCCTTGGACAAGGGCTTGACCAACGAGGTCAAGGTTGACCATTTGCACCACAAACATGGCAAAGTAGTGGCCCTGTAAGCACGCCGTGGGTCTCATGGTGAAGTAGTCTCTCTAGGCTCTAGTTCAAGCATAAGCTCAGCGCAGAATGCGGCCGAGAGGAGGAGGACAGTCGTCTGCCGTCTCAACAAAGCTGACAGGTGACAGGGGTTGATGTGGACCGACCCTGGTCTCTTGATCGATCTCGCACTCGCTTGACCCATGTCGGGCTTGGGCAAGGCGAGATGGCGCGCTCGACCACCTTGAAGTTGATGATAGGCTAAAAGGCAAATGCAAGGTACTATGGGGATGCGTGGAATATGGCCATCATTGCGGTAGTTGTGACTCTGCATTGGTCATTCATAAAAGAAAAGGAGGAAACACATCACCTTGGTCTATTGAAACGGCGTTCATTCTACTACACTCCCACATCTAACTCCATCCAGAAAGAAACTGCTCAAGGGGGTTTACAACTGTGTCAATCACTTCCTGCAGAAAACCCGAGTTATCGAGATTGGCGTCCCCCGAAAACCCTCCCTCTACGCAGAGTCTAATCAGCTCAGAGAGATCATTCCCGTATCGTGGCTCAATTTGTGACTGCCATTCCATGGCAGTGCATTGATGTGTCCAGTCGTTTGGCTGCCCATTCTCGCAAAATGTGTCCCAACACGGCTGCTGCTCCAGCGTCTCTTGGAAGATGAGTTCCAATAGAATCACGCCAAGAGAGAATAGAGTAACCTCGGTGTGGGCTCGAATGTCGTCCACGGTCTCTTTGAGACTGCACAAGAGTAGCCGGTGTTGGATAAATGGCTTTGTGGGAACGTTGGGACTTTTCAACACAAAGATCTCGCGGCGATCCCAGCCCCGGGGGATCCAGCACGACGTTCCAAGCCCAAGAATAGTCAAGGCAATCTCAAGGCCAATCTGGAGACGATCTGGCAACCGCGGCGTGCTTCCATAAAACGCCTCCAAATCTTTAACCTCTGAGTTTTTAAGGTTTGGCTGGTCTTGAGCCTCAAGGGATGGCCGGCTTTGAGATACAGCCGGCCCGTCCAAGTGGAAGTGCTTTCGAGAAATGTGCACGTATCGCGTACCCAGGTTCTTGAAGAGCCCAAAGAAGCAAGGGCGCTCGATGAGTTATCAGAAAACCGGACTAACTTTTTGATCGATGTGGTTACACTACTTTGGAGGGTCATGGTTTGATGACCACTCCAGAAGATTAGTATCAACCATTCTACATATAGAATAGGCTGCCTCTTACCTGGTATTCTGGGCCGAGAGTTGCACTACCTGAGACTTTTCAATCTTTGTCAACTTCTTCTGCTCTCTCCCTCGCCATAGCTTCAAATCGCCAGATACGACCGGGCTAACCAGTGCTGAAGTCGCAGTGATGACAGAGGAGGAAATTCCCAGTCGTCTGATGCTCTTCTCAGGCACAATGGGCGTGAGCTCTTGGCGTGCTTGTGTCCTCAAATCTTCCATTTGATTTAGCAGGGTGGTCTTTGAGCTTGAAGCTGCAAAGTCAGGTCTTAAGTCCTCCTCCTTTATCACTTGCACTTCGGTCTGCTTCATTAAGGCCTCAGTTCCGAGAAGTAGCCTCAGGCTTGGGCCTTTAGAGCTATTGGTCTCTGAGGGCTTCAAGTCAAGCCTAATACCACACTGATGCATGCAGTGGCAGTTCCACTCGCATTTCAGAGCACAAGACAGTTTCTTAGCTTCGGCTTGTAGGCGCAAAAATGTCTTGACTCCGGGGCATCCGGTGCTCTTTGAAGGCGCTGAGCTCCAAGACGCCTCGGCTCTAGCAACTTCGACATTGATATGGGAGTCTCTGACCAAGAATTTATACAAGCTCTCATTGATCCGTACGATATTGTCCAGTAGATGTTGTCTCCGCGAAGAGAAGCTTTGCTTGAGCCTCAAAAGCTCGTAGTCAACTGTGGTGACCCTTGGGAAATCGACCTATCGAGGGCAAGGTTAGTTTCATAATTCCGTACATTTTCAAGACACGAGCGTGAACTGCGATAATGCAATTACAGCAACGAACGAGTACTCATACCTTGCCATTCTGATTGATGGGCAACATGCGACGTAGCTCGTCCAGAGTCTCTCTCATTTCCCGCAGTTGTCTCTGAAACCACGGCATGTACTGGTTCTTTATGCGAGCCTTAAGCTTTGCCTGGACCTCCGGATCATGCCACAAGTCCGACTTGGGGTCTTCTTGCAAGTTGGTCTTGACCTCGGGATCGAGATCAACTGGAGTCAATAGAAGCTCCAGGTTCTGTGAGTAGGCTATTGATTCATCCTCCAACGTTGAAATTAGGGTCATGAATCTTGTTTTAAAGTGCCACCAGCGCTCAGCGCCCTGGAAGTACCGGGCGAGCGGCTTCGTGGCCTCAATGAGAATCGGGAAGCCGCCAAGGACGATGCCGGCGATTTCAATCCCCGACATGTCGATTATGAGGATAGCGGAGCTTTCATTGGCTTTGGATACTGCGTTGGAAGCGATGAGAGAGGTCTAGCACGGCTCAACGAGCGTGAAGAGCTGAAATCAAGTCTGGCTCAGCTGAGAGCCTTGCGCCGAAAACATGCATCCATGGATGATACCCCTCACCAAAAGACCCAATCATTTGTCATGACCACTCAGCTTGCGTGATTTACCGCCGCCAAATGTGCAAAAAGAAAAGGCCGCGCAGAAGTGAGGATACTCCGACGTCAAGCTACCGAGTCTATACTAAACTTCTGAATGACTTGACCTGACAATATTTTCCCTCACCATGGCAGCAGCAGTTGATCATGATGATCAGGATGAGGAAAGACTGATGATGTTTTCTCTGGCACATCAGTGTCGCTGGTGGCTTCGAAATTTCTCGCGTCACTTGGGTAACTCGGCGGCCTGGCAGCAGCATCTCTCCACCATCGACGATTCACAAGGTCGTTTCTCTGTGTGGGCAAACAACATAGGGGCACTTAGAGATCCCAAGTCATCGAGCTCTCTTGACTATCGCCTGCGAGATGGCGGTCCGATGCGTAAGAGTGTCATACAAGCGTTGGTGAATATCAAGGAATCAGCAGAACGGGGTGAGGTCTTTTGTTTTCCGCCAACATAAGCTTCCTTAGAATTTCTTCTTTAGCTAACTCTCCGTTCAGGGAATTCCATTGCGGCCGGTGCACTCCCCAATCGCACCGATGAGGCGAGCGAGATTTTTGAGAACGCTGATGGAGACGATGGATTTCCAGTAACCACGGAGCTTGATGAGCTCTTGTCGGGTATCCAATCCTCGGTCGATCGGCTATTCCGCCTTTCCATGCTCATTCGCCGCAAGCGTCCCCAAGGGCGATTACCTACAGAGATAGGAGCACAGGTTGTGGATGCAACCATGGATATTCGGCACATCAAAGACAAGTTTCCGAAAGTGAGGGAGGCGGAATGGCTGGCGGAGCGTCTGGGTACCGCTATAGCCAAGCGAAGGGAATTTCTCTGCTATAGACAGCTGCACCGTCAGCGCCTGGCGGAGCAAAGCCAATACCAGTCAGGAGAAGTAACGGCTGCATCGAGGAGGGCACCATCAACTATCGCCACAACTTACGACGAAAGTTCTCTCGACATTGACCAGGAGACTATCAAGCCAGCTCACCTCAGCATTATTACCGGAGCCACATCTTTCGCGACAGCGTTCGAGGCCGACGAGGATGACAATCTTCACGTACCGACCTTTACTCGTTTGAAGTTTCATGGAACCCAATTTCAGTATGATAGTGCTTTTGAGTGTCCATTTTGTCGGACTATACAGGTAGTATCATCTGAACGTGAGTGGAGGTTGGTTTCCAGCAGGTCCCTATTGCTTGCATGGCAGTTAATCAGAATAGGAGGCACGTCTTTGCCGATCTTCAACCTTATATCTGCACATCTGAGAACTGCACCTTGGGCCCGTTCCCTTCTAGACACGAGTGGTTCAACCACGAGCTCGAGTCTCATAGAAAGCAGTGGCACTGTACCAAGTGCCGCGATAGCAGGTTCACATCTACATCTCGCCTTCGGGAACATTTTGACTCCTCGCATCGGGGAGCTTTCAACGACACTCAGTGGCCATTTATACTGAAGGCATGCGAGCGCTCTTTGGGAACATTTAAGCCTCATTCATGTCCTTTTTGCTTTTCGTGGGACCCGCCGGAGAACGAAGCATACAACATCCAAGAGTTTGGCCGCCATCTCGGGTCTCATCTCCAGCAGCTGGCTCTTACAGCTTTACCGATCGCAATAGATGGCTTGGCTTTCCTCGAAGAGACTGTGGAAGAAGTGTATGAAATCATCGAGCCAGGGGCGGTTTGGGGTCGATACGTCCAGTATGCAACTGTGCCCCTCAGCTCATCATCGGAGGTAAACCTCGGTCCGGACACCTATTACTCGCTACAAGTGATGTTCAACGACGGAGAAGCTTGGTGGTTACGCAGAACGAGCCGGGAACTTTACAATCTCCACATGAAGCTTCTGGAACTCTTTCCTCCTCAGGCTGGCAACATCCGGGTTCCACCGACTTTCCCATACATGCCTGGTCTAGAAGTTCCTGGCAGCGTTCCTAACATTGACACCTTATACTCAAATTCGAAACTACGGCGTGATCCACTCGACCGTGAACTCGACGTATACATAAGGAACTTGATCACGCGGCCGATGCCCATTTCTTGGTCGAACCTTGTGTTGGAGTTTTTTACCCCACGGTTGACAGATGGGAATATCGATAACCAAATGCTAGTAGGTCAATGGGCTCAGGAGTGACACCTGAAGAGGACGAAAGATTGATGCCAACCGTAACATAGCTCAGTGTAGCTACAATCATGGCAGGGGACGGGATCGATGGGTACTACTAGTGAGCAACAGTACTGGGTATTCTTGTTATTATAGGTATCTAATGGCCCATTCAAGTCATTCTGTCCTGATTCATTTCAAACAATAGCGCCGTGGTTCTCATCAATCCTTGTACGTAAACACCGAAAACATGCCCAGCGAGAGGGCCTGCAGCCGCCGCAGCCAGGCCAGGAAGCTGTGCAGCCAGCAGCTTGATATCTCGTCCCGCAGGCTCTGCACCAGCTCCTCGAGGCCGGCGGCCCTCTTCTGCAGGGCCATGCCGCCTTGCCTCTCCTCATCGAGCTCTTGCTTCAGGGCCTCGAGCTCCTCCCTTAGTGAGTTTGCCTCCTCCCTCGTCTGGTCGAGCTCCTCCTTGAGGGTGGCGTTTTCCTGGTCGAGTTTGTCTTGGGTTGATAGGAACTGCTGGCCCTTGACCTGCAGCGACTTGTTGGAGCGCCTCAGCTCGGAAATCTCCTTGATGCCCTTGTGCTCATCAACTTGGGATGACCACCCTTGTTGGGCGAGCTGGTCGGCCAAGTCCTTGTTCTTCCATGTCAGGAAGCGGTTAACCCAGTCGAGCTTTGAGCGGAGAGCCTCAATCTCGGCGCGCTTATCGGCCAGATCAAAGCGTAGTAGGTGCCGATGGTGTTGGTTGGCTAGGTCTATGATGGACTCCCAGTCGGCGACGACATCTGGGGCGTCCTCCTCATGTTCGGTGCAGAGGCAGAGGCCGGCGAGCTGGTCGAGGATGACACTGTTGGTGGCCTCTGGGCGTGAGCGGGCCATCTGGTTAAGCAGACGGAGGATCTTGGGGCGCCTCTCGCGGTGACCAGCGTCACAGGCCGAGGAGAGGGCGAGGCATGAGTAGCCATCACGGCCGGGCCTGCTCCCGCGGCCGATGCGCAGCAAGGCGGCCGGGTCCCAGTAGTCTTCGGACATTGCTCCACAACATGCCCGGGCTCACGTGGTTATTGTGAGTGAGTGAGCCGGCGGTCACAGACAGCACACGGGGAGAGGGGGTGACGAAAAAGTCGGCGAGGATTTTTTGCTGCATGCGAGAATTTAAAGAGGAACAAAGGTCGGATTAAAAATGGCTCAATGGGAGGAGTTTGCACTATGGGGCGGTCTGGAAGCCTCGATATCCCTGCGCTCCCTGCGCCGCGGGGCCAATGGCGAGCCCCGCAGCTCACCGACTGTCAGTTAGCCGCCCTGAACAGGAATAGGACGGGACGCCGGGCAATGGGAAGGGTGCGTCTACTGCAGGACAGGTTTTGGAGGGAGGAGATCTGGTACGATGATGGGAATTGGAGAGTTGGGACCCGGAGCAAGTTGCAGTAGTCAGGGCATTAACAGTGTCAGAGAAGAGATCCAGCGTCCTGGTCATAGGTTCCACGTGCTCAGCCCAGGTCAGACCCATTGTCAAGCGTAAAAACATCATGAACTATCAAGCGCCGGCTCAGGCACCTGAGACAAGCCTCACACCAACTGGAAAAAGGGCAGCTGACTTGAACTAGTGTCACCTCGGACGTTGTCACATCCAGTGTGTGTGCAAGGTGTTGCAATCACTTCATATCACATCAACTTTTTGAGCCAGCTGCAGAGAGAGATATCTTTATCTCATCCTCGTCATGTGACACGGACCAACAGCAACCACCAAGATGATCATCTGTGAGGCCTGTCCAGGTCATGCGATTCGCAAGGATACCCCGCAACAGCGACAAACACCTGATGGCGATGCCTGGCACAACAGCAACCACATCCTCCTGCTCAGCTCAGCAGCTCAGCTCAGCCCCCAAGGCATGATATAATTGTACATGCGCAGTCCTTGGTTCTATCGTCCCCGACCCGCCCCAGGACTGCCTATCTCTGGTGGATCAGGCAGACACGTCACACCCGACGACGCGCTGCAAACAACGTGTCCCTGCCCAAGCAGCAGCAGCGCTCTCGTGATGGAGCCCAGGATCACCATCCCCCCGGATTTGTTGTGCATCGCGTTATGCCTCATAAGGCTGCAATGTCGTCATTCCGTCCCGGCGCCGGTTTGTTCTTTAAAGGCCCCTGGATTGACGTCGAGAGCCTCTTGGCTTTAGGTAGGTATATATCGTCCATTATCTTGCCCTATACAGATACGGGAAGGGCACCCTTCCAAGAATGCCCGGCAGGTTCTCTTCGCTGAGGCGATCAACGAGACCAAAAGGTCCCGTCCTATCGTCGAGTTCGCGCAAACCGGCCACGCTCTTTGGCTCGTCCAAGTCTCGACCCTCTTCCTCCCATGGACAACCTCCCAGCGGGGGGTTGCTGAGACCTCCCACGGTAGGAGGAAGCTCGTCTCGAAGGTCCAGGTCCCATGAGGCCAGTCGCCGACCACGATATCCCCCAACTTCGAGCCCGAGAGATTCCTACTATGGCCGTCCCAAGAGAAAGGAAACTCGCTGGCGGTCCGTGTCGCCTCGCGCCCGGCCACCTCCGCCCAGACCAACGGATCGCGTCCGACGTCGCATGAACCGAGACTCTGATATGTCTGCCGACGATGAAAGCAGGCCTATCTCTCGTCGACCATCGCTGAGTCCTCCTCGTTATCGCGGCGACCGACCTCCCAGACAAGAACGCCCAAGGCCTCCAACTCTTGGGCACGAAGCACCACCATCGCCATGGCCATCGTCTCCGAGGGTGCCGACGAGCGCACGTCCCCCAATAAGATCACACCCAACAGATAGCTATAGACCAGATGCCCAACGTCGACCGTCGTACGAAGCGCCGCGCTCACCAAGACATCCTCCCCGGGTGCCGAGGCCATCGCCTCCTCCGGGCTATAGACCAGCACCTCATCTCGCTTCGGAGATGCTGCGCGGGAGGCCCAGGTCAAGAGATAGATCGCCGCTGCCCCGCCATCATGATACCGGCCCCTCTGCCGATCGCGAAAGGAGGCATCCCCCTGCTGGCCCGGCTAAACCACAGGCCCCTCCTGAAAGGCCAGCCAAAACTCAAGCTGCTCCCGAAAGGTCGGCCAAGCATCAGGGGTCCCATGAAAGGCCGCCCGTCAGGCCTGTGGACAGACCGGCTCCTAAACCTGCGGCCGCATCTGCCGAGAAGCCTACTGGGAAGCCTGCTGAGAAGCCCTCCGAGAAGACCCCCGAGAAACCGGCTGAGAAACCGGCTCCAGACCAGCAAAAGAGCAAGTCAAATGAGTTTCTTCAACATCTCCCAAAAGCCCTTGCAACGTATATTGGCGTCAAGTCATTGAATGAGCATGCCGACACCGCCAAAGAGTGGGCCGACTGGTTCATGAACATCCAAAAAGCCCCAGATGAGTTGCGCGATCTTTCCAGCAAAGTGACTGCAGCCAAGGACACCATCGATCAGATCCAGACTACTATTACTGCACGTCCCGATCTGCTGGAAGGCGACAGTGCCGATGCTCTCAGGCAACAGATCGAGTCGGCCATGAAGAATGCCAAGGTGGCCCTGAATAAGATGACCAAGCTTCTCCAGGACCTGAGGGACGATGGCCTAGAAGGGACGGTCTGGGAAGGTTTCCACAACTTTTATAGCTCGTATAGATACAAGAATGAGTGGGAAGACAAGATCAAGGAAGCTGATGCCGATCTTGAGAAGCAGTTGGGAACTCTCAACTCGCTCATGGTCAACATTTACTCGTAAGTGCCATCCGGAGTACTCACAGTCGCTCATACTGATGGGACCTAGACGTGCCCTGATGAAGCCAGCACCTCCAGGGATGAGCAACCCCCCTCCGCCGCCAGGGTCAAGGAAGCCATCGACCTCTGCGGGGGCAAGACGGTCGTCTCATGAGCACAGCTCTTCGAGATCGAGGGCTGGTTCAACTGGATTGGATCCTCCTCCGATGGGTCAATTTTACAGGCCTCCAAGTCCAATCCCGACGCCTGTGCCAGAGAACCCTGCGGAAGAAGCGGAAGAAGCGGCTCCAGAAGCTGCAAGCTTCGAGCCTGCATCCAACGAAAAGACGCCTCCGACTGAGGGACATTCTGAAGAGAAATCGCCAGAAAGCAACACTGACAGCAAACAAGCTTGGTCAACTCCGCCAACCGGAGCCCCGACCAAAGATAACGTCCAGGCCGATACTGATTCAACTCAGGCACCGAAATCTCCACCTAGCGCTGCTGTACAGCAACCGAGCGAGCCGTCAAAGGACGAGCCCAAGAATGAAGAACCCAAGAATGAGAAGCCTCCTCCACAGCCAAAGGTTACAAAGGTCAAGGCGCCTAAACAGCGAGCTCCAGCAGACGATCCCGAAGATGTCCTTCTTGATGCCGCCTGGAATGGCGACATCGGCGCTTGCGGAGAAGCTCTTCGTATCGCATCGCCACTGACGCGTGACCTTCAAGGTCTAACACCACTGCACCTCGCAGCGGAACGTGATCATCTTGCCATCGCGATGTTACTGCTTGATCACGGCGCCGACTGTAACGCCCGCGCCAACGGAGGTCGAACACCATTGCATCTCGCGGCGAGGTTTGGCTCAGCAGCCATGGTCGAATTTCTCGTAGATGACGGTCGCTCGGACCCCAATGCGAGGACGAATGATGGACGTACGCCTTTACACTACGCAGCGAGTGCTGCTATGGACGGAGATGACGAGAGGAGAGAAGTCGTCAGGATTCTTAGAGATTGGCGAGCAGACCCGACGATTGAGGACAACAAGGGTAGAACGCCTCGAGACCTCGCGCAGAAGCGAGACTATTGGGACGTGTCATCGACGCTGAGGAGAGCTGAGAAGAAATGGGAGGAGGATCACAACCCAAATTGGCTTCAGCGACACGGATTCATGAAATAGATGTTGAGACACTGTAGAGAAAAGCTTGCAGGAGCGTAGATTTTAACATGACTCGTTTACTCAGCGTGACTCGTTTACTCAGCGTGAGACAATTGATGGTGTTGGAGATTCTCCATTCTCCCTTGCGGGCCAAAGGAATTCACTTCACGTGGAGTGAGTGACCCCACTGATGTCACCTCACACTTATTACCCCTCCCCCTCCATCATTCGCAACTCACGACATTCTTCTAATCTCTTCTGTGGTATCAAACTTCTCAATCATGGCTACCAACGTGAGCAACGTGACTCAATTCTCTCACCTCACTCTCAACGAGGGCGTCAACGCCTTTGACGAGTCGACAGACGCCGCAAAGGCCATCTCCAAGGTCCTCGACTCGACTCTCAAGCAGCCCGGCGCGAGACGTGTTTACACTGGTGTTGAGATTGAGAATCCTTCTACTCTTTGGCTTTTTATTGATTGGGAGACTTTGGAGCATCACAACACCTATCGCAAGACTGCGTGAGTGTTTCCTTCTTAAGTGTCAAAGTTGGGTACTGATCATCTGCAGCGACCATGGCCCCATTCTTGAGTCTTTGGATCCGTATGTCAACTTTAACAAGTACCTCAGCAAGCACGTCACTGTGAACCCTCATCCCCCAGAGGACGTTCTTGACAAGGCCCGATCACCCGTCACCGAGGTCCTCCTCGCTTTCTTCCCACCAGACTATGACGTCGCAGCCCGCGCAACCGCAACACGTCGCCTTGAAGAATTCGCCGGTCGGGCACTCAAAACCTCACCAGACTGGCGCGGCATCAGCTACGGCTGGAGCGTCGAGAACGACGTCCCCGTCAAAGGTGATGAGGAAAAGACGGGTAGCATGCTGGTCGCGTTCATCGGATGGCCGAGTGTGGAGGCGCATCAGAAGTTTAGGGAGACGCAGGATTTCAAGGATCATATTGGGTTGTTGAGGGAGATGCCGCAATTGATCAAGTTGAGCGCTTTTCATGTTAGTTGCTGGAGTAAGGAGGGGGAGGCGGCGCCCAAGGCTGAGGAGGATAATCATGGGCATGGACATGGGTGTGGGGATGGGTGCTGCTGAGCGGTTTTTATTAATGAAGATGAATTGAGAAGCGCTTTCTAGCTGTGATCATTTTTTCTTGGGTAGGTATGTATGTGGGTGCGCTGGTACGTCTCATTGATCAGGCATGAGTTGTCGAGTTGGTGTTGGCGACCTTGGGGCTACTCACTCACCCGTGAGACCACTGGCTCAGTTCCGCCAATTCCGAGGCATCATTCAACATCTGGAGGCCCAAAGCTCTCCCAGATTCATCCTAAAAGCAGCAGCCACCGGAAAAGTCTGCTCAATGCTTTCCAAAAGCTCAATAATGCAATCATGCTGCCACTGGTCCCAAGAACGCGCGCCAGCAACTCTCAAAGGAAACAGGACAAGCACAGGGGATATCTTGGAGTTGTCGAGAATCATACCGCTGAGCACAAGAATGGTAGAGACGTGTGTCTGGATCTCTTCTTCGCTTAGGTTTGGTACTGGGATGCTCATGTTTTGCCAGTGGACGATTTCATAGTCGAAGACTCCCGAGAGGTAGATGCTTGTTGCTGAGTAGAAGACTTCTGCTAGAGATAGAAAGTCATCCTCTACGGTTGTTTCACTTTTGAATGGTGGAGTTGGTGTTGATGCTCTGCGGTTTAATTGCCAAAGAGCAAGAGCTTTTCTCAAGCGAAAGCCTTCTGCAGCGGTGTCGTGGGCTTCATCAGGTATGTCATCAGGCTGGTCGTCTTGAAGTGAGCATATGAGATTGCTTGCTCTAAAATTTCAAAGGGTCAGTTGATTGTGCGATTAAAAGAAGTCCAGAAAATCTTACCGAACGCGTAGCGTTGAGCACAAGACGATGATATCTAGAAGGGCATCGAGAGGATGTGGCTGGCCATCAGCTTCCACGCCTTGCAACTTTGCTGAAAGGTCCTGCCATCCTGGATTTGCAAGAAATGTAGGCTCATTAAATATGATGGCTCGGCAAACTTCGAATATCCTGATTTCTGTAAAGAATCTCTTGCCCAGGCCGGATACAAAGGCCAGCGGGCCAGTAGCAACCAGTGCGCTGGATGTACCGTGGACGAGATGCTGGACCCAGCCTTGACCTGTCGTGTCACTCATGAGCTATACAATATCAGCATGCGTCAATAATAATGAGTTTTAGGCTCACCTCAAACAGTCCCAGCAAGTGAGTGGTCCATAGAATGCTGTGCCGAAGGTTGGGTAGGCTGGCGAACTGGTTCAGGGCACTCCGAAGACCAGCCACAGATTTCGAATAGTGATTGATAGCAAAGCGATAGCTTTCGGTTGAATCGATGCCTTCTGCTGGTCTGCTTTTCGTTGCTTGCATGGCTCCAAGAGAGAGAACTGCATCTCGAAGGTACTCCCCCGACGATGAGCGTTGTATCAGCTCTACAATATCAGTAGGGAATATGTTTTTCTGAGTAAACTTGTTCCTCAAAAGAAAAGTATCAAAGTAACGAAAGAAGAAAGATGTCTTGTCATCCCGTGGGGTAATGACGAGCTGGGGTGCATGTCGGTAATCGGATTTGACCAAACCAACAGCCGTCGCATGGTTTTCATGGTCAATCTTGATCCGAGCAACCTTGTTCAGCACCGGAGAAAAGTCACAGACTATCTGCCGCCGCTGACAGTTGCTGCATGGAAGAGTTCCAGAACACTGCACCTGGGTTAGACAGTTCGCCCAATGGATTTAGTAGGCTTACTTTTAGGTGGCTTGCTGAACATGCAAGACAGCGAGATCGTTTCTTGCGGCGATCAAACGGACCTAAAGGCATTTCTGCAGGTGAATTCTCATGTAAAAGATCCAAGATTCCCAGCTTTCGGGTCGAGGAGGTGAGGGTTGGGGTTAAACTTGAAATGGCATCGATTGAGCGAGACGTGACGATACCGGATTAGGAATCGATTGAGCGACGCTAATGTAGCGTCGAGTCACTTATCCAATAGCATCATCGGGTCAGATCCGCTATCGTGGGGCGTGCAAGGCTTGGGCTTCAGCTTTCGTCAGCTTGCATTGTTGCTGTGGGACGCAATTCTATCAAGTCTTGCTCATGGGTGCTTTAAAGATGGGTTTTCAGATTGGCATCTTGTAAGCTTTGCGCAAGCTTCGCTCGATCTTGTCCTATTTGAGGTTTTTAATGTTTGTCATTTCGTGCGAATGACTCTGTTTCCACTTAACGCAGCCTCACTCACGATGCATCTCGTTGTATATAAGTCGTGGTTCTCTATCACCATCTATCCATATCATCATCTCAAGCACACTCTCTTATCTCACTATCTCTCCTAAGCAACTTTCGACATGTATCTCTTTGTTCTTCTACTCTCATTCCTCCACCTTGGAAATGCCCTTCTCCTGCCAAACCCCAGTGGCCCATACCCCGTCGCCCTCAAGATCAACACCATGACGGATAACCACCGCATTGACCCATATGCGCCGAATCACCAAAAGCGACGCATTCTCACCTCCATCTTCTGGCCCGTCGACTCCAAGTCCTGCTCGAGCAAGCGCGTTCCTTACATGCCCCCTGCCACAGCGGCTGCATACGGAGCTCAGGCTGCCCAGTTGGGTCTCTCGAACGATACCTTCAGTGTCCTCGAGATGGAGGTGTGCAGCGTTTCAAAGACCCCAGCTTGTCAAACTGGTAGTGGTCATAAGGAGACCAAGTTCCCACTCGCCGTCTTTTCTCCTGGATCTGGAAACTCTCGACTTCAGTATAGCGCCATGGCCAGGTCTCTCGCTAGCTATGGTTACGTGGTGGTTTTGGTCGATCATACCTACGACGCAGCTATTGTCGAGTTTCCTGATGGAACCATCATTGCTGGAGGCAACATTCCCGAAGATGAAAAGAACCTCGAAAAGGCGACTCAGGTAAGAAATCTTTTGTGGCAATATTGAGTAGAGCTAATCAACTACAGGTTCGAGCTGCCGACATCTCTTTTGTCATTTCTCAAGTCGAAAAGTCTTCTTTCCAGAACAAGATCTTCAAGGGCCTGCCTGGAAAGGTCGATACCAAGAAGACTGTTGCCCTTGGCCACTCCCTAGGCGGTGCCAGCGCCGCAGCTGCCGTCCTCTCAGACTCGAGGATCAAGGGTGGAATGAACCTCGACGGACGTCTCTTCAACCCTGTTCTCAGTAAGGGACTGAACAAGCCCTTTATGCAGCTCGGTCGACCCAGCCATCGCTCCGAGGACACCACTTGGGTCAAGTTCTGGAACAAGCTCACAGGTCCCAAGGTTGAGCTTGCTATTGCTGGCACGATCCATGGTTCTTACCTCGATACTGCTCTGGTTCTCAAGACGTTGGGTCTGCCTAAAGAAATCATGAAACAGACGGTGCCTATTGTTGGAAGTGTGGATGGAGAGGTTTTGCAAAAGACCGTCTCCGAGCTTCTGTCTGCCTTTATCACTTACACGTTTGGTGGCAACAAGGCTGCTCTGCTCAAGGCGGTCAAGGGAGCTGAGGGAGTGTCTGTTGTTAAGAGCCAGCTGTGATAGAGGTCCTCGCAGTGAACTCGTTCATGTTATAGATGGGGAGGTGTGATAGAAGCTTCCTTCGAGTGGTGTTATTGCCTATAGATTTCTTATGTAAATTTTACTATCAAATATTATTTTATAGCATCTGAAGTCAACTCCCTCTCGGGAGCCTTTTCGTCACATAACTCGCCGCGACTCTTCAAACCAACCAGGTATCACAATCGTGTCGAGGACTCGAGTTTCTAAGAGATTCTGGAACGTGGGGCAGCTGGAAAGTCTTGTGTTTTCATGCCTTCTCAGTCGACCGAATGAGTGGAGTTGAGGCCAATCCGCTGGGATAATGCCAGTCAGGAGTGGTTTTTACCCCATTTGAGGGCCGTCAATTGAGAGGCTGGTATAGTTCTCAAGGCAACGGAAATCAACAAAATGGCGAGGATTGTTGTGCGATCAATGCTCAATAACGGCTATTTGAGAAAAGTTATTTTTGCAACATGCCGGAACGTTGTATCGACTCCCGGTCGGCACCTGACCCAAAACCGGGCCAAAGCCGGCGGGTCAGGTCCCGGGCTTCCGGGTCCGGAGCAGCCGAGCCGAACCTTGGAGAGTCAAGGGTAGGCAGACACACAGGTCGCGAATCGGGCAGCTGAACTGAGGATTGGCCGATGAACGGCCTCTCTCCGTTGTCGGGATGACTCTGTCAGGGGCAATTATTCCATGAGTTATAGAGATCAGAACACATCTATGTCCTGGCCATCAAGGCTTTGAAGGACAAGGCCGGCTTCGGGTTTGTGTGGAATGACCATAGCATGATCCAGACTCCTGGAACCGGGAGTAAAGCTGCGGTCTATGAGGTTGGATGTAAAAATCGGAGGCTGTAAAATGAAGCAAAAGTGGAAAATCAAAGCATTTCAACACCGCAAAATGAGATATACATTGAGGCTCTAGCAATTGCATGTACCTGAATTTCCCCTTGCAGGGACTTCACCAGAGTGGCGGCATTCGCAGGATCTTATCAGACCACGAAGTCACGTGTTTCTTCTGAGTCATCCAGAATCACCCCGCCAAAATCTTTGACCCCTCCAAATTCTTGGCGGTCAGTTGGGGCACGACAGACCTACTTCTGGCGACAATTTCCACCCTACATCTTGCATCTGCTCTGCATAGACGGGTACGAGACACGAGAGACGAAGACGAACGAAGACGACGAACAAGAGACGCGATCCGAATACACCCATATCCGACTATCCCTCACACACTCCATCACTCATCACCTCCACCCAGACACCCCCGCCATCATGAGCTTCGACGCTGAGAGCGCGGCTCCAGTGCTCGCCGCCGCCGACTTCAAGACCATCGGTCCCTTGATCGCCGAGCTCGACAAGCACCTCACTCTCCGAACCTACCTTGGAGGCTACACCCTGGGAGAGGCCGACGAGAAGGTCTGGACTGCCCTGCGCACCAACAAGGTCACCATTGGCCTCGTCCGCAAGGGTAGCTACGCCAACGTCACACGATGGTTCAAGTTCATCGAGGAGGCTCACCCCGAGCTCAAGGAGAAGCTCAACGAGGGTAAGGCCAAGTCGACCGAGAAGCGCGGGGGAGCCAACTACAACATTGGTCTCTCCAACATTGAGGATGGAGTCGTGACCCGATTCCCTCCTGAGCCCAGGTAGGTCTTGACCGCGTACAAATCGCGTGACCCTATACTAACTATTTCTCAAGCGGCTTCCTTCACATCGGCCATGCCAAAGCTGCTCTCCTTAATGACTACTTTGCCAAGAGTGCCCCCGAGGGCAAGGGCAAGCTCCTCGTCCGATTCGATGATACAAACCCCTCCAAGGAGAAGCAGGAGTTTGAGGATGCTATCCTCCACGACCTGGAGCTGATGGACATTAAGTATGTCTCTGTCACTCACACTAGCGACTACTTCCAGGAGCTGTACGATATTGCCGAGAAGATGATCCTCGACGGCGGTGCCTACGCCGATGACACCGATCCCGAGGTGCAGAAGGCGGACCGCATGAACCGTCTCCCCAGCAAGCGACGTGACCGTCCTGCCGAGGAGTCTCTGGCCATGTTCCGTGAGATGAAGGCTGGCACTGATCTGGGCCGGAAACACTGCATTCGTGCTCGTATCGCCTACGACTCGAGCAACGGCTCCATGCGAGACCCCGTCATCTACCGATTCCCCAACTTTAAGGACAAGGAGCCGGCTCCTCACCACCGCACTGGCTGGGACTGGAACATCTACCCTACCTACGACTTTGCCTGCCCCGTCGTCGACAGTCTCGAGGGCGTCACACACGCTCTGCGAACAACCGAGTACGCGGACCGTAACGAGCAGTACCACTGGTTCCTTGAGAACCTCAAGCTCCGCAAGGTCAACCTGTGGGAGTTTGCCCGTATCAACTTTATCCGCACATTCCTTTCCAAGCGAAAGCTCACCAAGGTGGTGGACACTGGCCGTGTCAGTGGCTGGGATGACCCCCGTCTACCTACCGTTCGTGGTATCCTCCGTCGCGGTCTGACTGTTCCCGCTCTCCGTGAGTTCATGCTCAAGCAGGGCCCTAGCCGAAATGTTGTGACAATGGACTGGACAACCATCTGGGCCATCAACAAGAAGATGCTCGACGCTGTTGTCCCCCGATACATGGCGATTGAGAAGAAGGATGCTGTTGCTGTGACTGTGACTGGAGGCCCCGAGAAGTCGTACAAGGAGGAGAGACCCAAGCACGTCAAGAACCCCGAGGTGGGCACCAAGCAGGTGACGTTTGGTCCCAAGCTCATCATCGATCAAGCCGATGTTGCCTCGTTTGCCGATAACGAGGAGATTACCCTGATGAGCTGGGGCAACGCCATCGTGCGGGGACTGGATAAGTCTGTGACGCCGATCAAGGAGCTCAACCTCGAGCTGCACCTTGCTGGTGACTTCAAGACGACTGACAAGAAGGTGACGTGGTTGGCCTCGGACCCCGAGAACCTGGTGGAGGCGGAGCTCTGGGAGTTTGGCTACCTCATCACCAAGGACGTTCTGGAGAAGGACGACAACCTGGATGATTTCTTGGCGGAGAACACGGCGACCATGACGGAGGCTCTGGTCGACGCCAACATCAGCTCGCTCAAGGAGGGCGAGTTCCTCCAGCTGGAGCGCAAGGGCTTCTTCCGGGTGGACAAGGCTCTTGGCCAAGGACCCGAGGGCCGTGCGGTGCTGTTCAAGGTTCCCACAGGCGGTCAGAAGAACTAGAGCTGTGTGTACTTTCGTGTGAAAGACTAGTAGATACGAACAAAAAAGAGACAGGACGAGCCATGAATGCACATCACCATTTCAGTTTTTGCCAATCGTATGGTTTCTAAGGGTCACGCCGACTGTGCACATGATGATGATTGGTGGTGATAATGCTGTGGATAGCTTCCACTCTGGGTTGATGTCATGGTCTTGAGTTGTGCCGAATTGGGCATTGAGCTTGAGGAGTCCAACTAATTTGTGCAAGTTTATTCATTCAGCTCACTTGGCCAAACAATGCCTGCAAGGGATGTCAGACACGAGCGGGACTGGTAAGAAACAAGGCCGTATTTCTGAGATGAAAGGGTCAGGGAATGGAGACTGCATAAATTGTCATGCCATTGAGAGACATGCAGCTCGTCCAAGCAAGTACGGCATAAAATAATCACGAGATGAACAATTCCATTATCGATAGTGCCCGAGCTATAGGCGAAGGGAGCTATGACAGGGCCTAACGATCAACACGAGGGGAGACGAACAGGGGGGACATCATCTCCACTGGGCGGGTTCTAGAATAATCGGGCTCAAGGTGACGTTCCATCAGCATCTGTTCCCCTCGGAAAGTCAAGCACATGACGTAAATGCCTCTGCCCACTGGGACGATGCGGTCACGGGGAATTATTGTTCAAAGTAAGGTAAGGTCCCGTTTAAGCTTGCTAAGAATAGCATCAGCATCAGCCGCCTTCTTTGTCAGGGACCCGGCGGTCAAGTTTATGTGTGGCGTATTTGGTCTATGAGAGTCGAGACTCTGCTGCACTACGGCACGCTACTGAACGCCTGAACTTGACCTTGAGGGCGAAAGGGAAAAGCCCCTCGCAGTTGAGGGAGAGAAAAAAAGGAGTGATATGATGGTATAGCGGGACCTTTTGCATTCACGAGAATCTCTTGAGGGTAGAGATCAGCGGGATAATCCACCGACTCTGACGTTGTTGAGCGGAAGAATCGTCATGTAAAGGACGGAACGGAATAAATCCCCGCAAAAAGGATCATGAAGGGGGGCCGAGGTTTGCGGGGGGTTCCCGACTTGGCAGACGGAGGTCCGGCACTCGCAACCCGATCGAGACGAGACATTGTTGAATACGAGCAATCTATTCCAGACGGGGCCTCTCTCTTTACTAGGGTTAGAACATATGCACTCTTGGAGACACTCTTTCAGCGATGGTCCGGCGCGGCCGGCTGACTGATGGGGAGAACCAGGGGATCGTCTGATGAATACGAGATACAGCTGCGTTTGCCGATCACCTCGTGTAGACGGACATGATGGGACCTGCGAGGCTGGGGCTCACGGCTGGGAACGGCCGATGATGAGAAGAACTTCAATAGGGATTATATGCATGCCGTTGAGTAGAGTCTGAAGCTATATAAACATCACATCCTCCCTCTCAACCAACACTCTCATCATCACCAACAACAACAATCACATCTTCCACACTCACAACTACCTCTCTCACACACATAAACATAAAACAACAACAACCTTCAACATGAAGTTCTCCGCTGCTGTCCTCGCCATCGTCGCCGCCACCGGCGTCTCTGCCGCTCCCGCCGCGAGCGACTCAGTCTCCATGATGGCCGCCACTCCCCAGTGGACCATCCGCGACGCCAAGCGCTACTGCCGCGCCGACGACTCCATCTGCAACTGGAAGTTTGGCATCGACACCGGCAACGGCAAGGTTGTCGAGTGCCGCCACGACGTCAAGGGCCCCAAGGCTTCCCAGAAGGCCGCCGCCGGTCCCTCGACCTGCGGCGACTTCACAGTCACCTCTGGCTGGAGCGGCCAGTTCGGTGCCGGCAACGGCTTCACCACTCTTTCTGTTGTCAGCAAGAGCAAGCGCCAGATCATCTGGCCCGCTTACACCGACAAGCAGCTCGCTGGTGCCAAGATTGTCAAGCCTGATCAGTCTTATGCCCCTGCTTCCCTCCCCAAATAGGCGCATCGCCCACGATAAATCTCGGACTGCGCTGATGGGAGCTTAATCGACAACGGTATACACATTTGGAGGATTGTATGGGTATTCCCTGGAAGTGGCATGTTTGGGCATGACTTGTTTTGTATTCTACTGCGAAAGACTTTTGTACATATTAAGATCGGACTTAGAGGCCTTGATCTGGGCTAGCAAATACATCTGAATGAAGGAATAAGTTTCCGAAATAGGCATTCAAGTGACCATTGATCGACGTGAACCCTGCTGAATGCTCTTGGCGCAGTCATATACATAGAAAGAATGCTACATATATCGCTCCAAGTATCGACATCATGATCAGATGACTTTGTGCTGGACAAAAGTGCCCATCTCGATCGAGATGAGGCCGCTCATTACTTCGTCAGCCAAGAGAGGAGGAGTAGACATGCCTCCCCAGTATCCTGAGCTTGGGTGTCGCATTGGCTCAGTTGCCTTCGTCGGCTCGTATACTGGCATCTTGAGCATTGTTGACAAAGCCATGAGAGCTGTAGAAGAAGTCAATACCCAATTCCTATCCCAAGGATATCTCGTCAGTCATACCAATAGTACTCGGGGCCCTTCGTCTAATTGGCATCGCCCACTGCCGCACGAAGACAGCTTGCCATAATGATGGCGCCGCCGTTGGGTACGCGAAACGACCTGGACGAGTTGGAGAACATACCTTGTAATTATATGATGTTTTACGATGTCGGATTTTCATGCTGTCATGAATTAATTACTCTGTCTCTCGCTGTTGTGGCTGACGGTCTCGTGCGGACTCGCTATTAAAGACAGTGATACTGCCTTGCCTTGTAGCTGTACAAATCGAGTTCTGGTTATCTAGGTCAAGAGCCCCTCTATCAAAGATACCTGTAGCTATCCTCCGGGCATCTGTATTGCCTGTAGGGCACGTAAGGCTGATCCTTTGATGTAGGCACAAAATGGTTGCTGCAAGGTATAGCAGTCCGCAATTCCATAGCAACGTAGGATTGTGTCACGACTGGCGATGCCGAGGCGAAAAGAACCTCGGTAGGGCCACTATCTTGGATCGAGAGTCATAAAGTATTCGGTAGCACCCTCGGATAGAGCAGGTTACTGGGATACGACGCAGTGAGCCTGATGTCGTTCCCGTTCCCGAGATCCCGGTTCGGCGAGCGTCACCGGCGCGAGACGCAACGGTTTCCTGGACTGGGTCCTATAATAGCGAGATATGCAGCCTTTTAGCTTATATGAAACCGTCTAGTTATATCCCGCACACTTCTTCAAGAGCGATACATAGGCATATCGTCAACGTGGGTTCAAGGTGTGGCCACTCGTTGAGCGCACTCGCAACACGGTTAACTAGATATAGTCGCTATCATTGAATACCAACATGACCGCCAACGCGATGTCAACATGTTATTTCTGCTCGAAGGCGTCGTCAATGCTGGGGTTGTTTCAACTCTGTTTCCCGTGCAGCGTGTAAATTGACCATGATGCAGTGGGCCTCCCAGTCCACCCGTTCGTTGCGCATGACATGACGACGATCCAGCTTAGCACTTCCTAGGTCTGGCAAGGCCATCTTGGTTGCCTGCCTTCGAGTGTTATGCAAAAATTAGAAAGGGTAGCTTTTGGCGAGACTCGTCGAACAGCTTCTCCAACTTCTGTTGTCTTGAGTGAGCACACATTACGACGAGAGTTTGGGTCTGGCAAGAATATAAGGCAACCAGCAGCGGCGGCACCACACGACGCAGGCTGTCGCCGGGATATAAACCGCAAGAATGTAAGAAGCAAGCTACGGCGATGGCTGCCAGTTCATCTCTTTACCTCTTTCTCCATCTTGGATCAACATGCAGTCTCTCGGCTTTTTTCGGCTTGCCCTAGGCAGCACATGATTTGGACTACAACGACCAGAAACGAACCCTGAGTATTCCCACCGCAGATCAGATCCGTGCAGTTTTCAAGACCCCAGGCTTGCTGAGGGATGTTTGCAAAGGCACCTGGCGGGTGGGTGACGAGCAGCAGCTGCAAAACACATTTAACCACGGATGTATGTGACTGAGCACATCTCGTGTTGTCAACGCTGACCGGCACGTTGCAAGACCTGCTTTTAGGTATGCAGAGAGCCGACAGCTCAAAACCCCTCAGGCGCTGCATGGAAGCTTTCGAGGACATCATCGCTCAATGCATCGAAGGTGCAGGATTCTGGGGAGGCTCCTGGGGCCTTGATGGAGAACTAAACAACATCAGCAACTCGAACTACCCCCACAATCCGCTTCTCCCTGGGGACGACGGCGGTCCCAGCAGCTTGGAGCCAAACATCGACCCTTGCGAATATCCCAAGCACCACCCAGCTGCGTTGATTGATAGCGGTGCAGCCCAATATCTGGAAGACTTTCTAGCTATCCAAGGTGATGGTAAGTCGTTTGCTCTTCTCGGACTTCACCTAGTTTGCTAATTTGTCCTTGTCAGACAATTGGTTATTCGAAATGGAACATGATCCTACCAATGGCCAAGGCACAGCCCAGCTGCCCAGCTGCGGAGTCATCGAGGCCGCCAACTGCTCCCCGTCCAAGGGCTGTCGTGAGTACACGTCTACCGAGTTCTTCTACATCCGGTTTGTCTCGGGCTTGATCAACCAGCTCTTCACCCGGGCCCATGAAAAGCTCCAGGACGAGACCATCCTGAATATCCTCGCCATTGACGAGATCATTGCCGACTTCAAGCCAGATCCCGCTAACGCCGTCGACCCCAATATCTTCAACACGATGGCCGGTGCTCTTACCATGGCTGGAGCTGTCTCAGGGGCGGCACCGGGTCCTGCTGGGGACATTCTTAACTTGTTCGGAGGCGTCATGACAATTGTCGGAGCCAATATCCCCGCTCCCGAGGTGCTTGACATTGAGGCAGTCCGCAGCCAAGCCTCGGCCCACCTCAGAACCATATTTGACGAGACGAGAAATTCCATGGCAAATCTCCTCGCCCGATTATTTGGCAATACCGACGTCGAGTACTCTTTGTTGGAGCTCGTAGACGGCATGAAGAGCAGAGGGTTCCAGCCGGTGTCTGACGCCTGGGATCCCACTGCTGTCATCTTATCCATGCCCTGGATGGGCGAGTCCGAATCTGTGGACCTTACTGACAGCTTGGCCGAGGGCGTACGTTTCATGAACCAGGGACTTGTCGGAGTGACTCTCAAAGCCATGGGTTACCTAGTTATGATGATCAAAAACTACAGCGAGTCTGAATGCAGTGAGATAGAAGGATCCCAGTACATCGACAATTACTGCTACGCCATGTCCACGGGTTCTCGAGGCTTGAGTTACAAGTTCATGAGCGCGGAGGACATCAAGCTACTACCCCAGAAGTACGGCATCGATATGGCGGAGTTCTTCAAGAACATCCGCGAGTGCCGTACGCTTAGCGATAACCATGGTGTGAGCAGCCATACTACGTATCCTACGTGCTTCTTTAATCTAGACTTGGTCTTGTATGTTAGTTGAGTTTTGTCTTAGAATGATACCCCTTTGTCTCTTCATTGCTTCCTTTCTCCCAAACTGGGACGAGGCGTGTCGTGGTCATGGTGAGGTCTTTCGGCGACAAGTCCTGAGCTGTGTGTGTCCCGCCATGACGAGGGCGCGATCCAGGGCAGGCTTTGATTGAGAAACCTAATTGAAGAAAACCCCGAGCGATGCCATGGTAGCTGCTATGCCTGATTGTACTATGAGATGGAAGGAAAATATTGGCAAAGGGATCGAAATTGGGGGGGGGAGTCCGAAAATGCGCAGTGTGGGACGACAATCTCACCCACCATGTGCCTTACCAGCTCCATAATCAAATCGTAATACATCGTAAAGAAACTTCAAGATGGGGAAACGTTGAGAAAGATCGCGATATATGGGCTGCGGGTGTGGAGTCCATGTGTACGTGCTGGCCGTGGACGCGCAAAGCAGGTCAACAACGCTGTTCAATGAGTCGGCACCCGTAAACACGGCTCAAGAGCCATTCAGTGGACGGGATCGTATACTAGTCTACCAAGTACAATTGGGTTTTAGACCAAGGTAGCCAAGCTACAAATAGGACAAGATACGAAGGCTTAAACAGATGACTGGCGGTTGTTATCCCTGCGGTAACGGATGTGTCAAATGCGTAAATACGTCATACCTACCCGGTACAGCAGCCCACCATCACGAGTTTTGAACCGAGACGCACATAAACAGGCTGTGCTTCATGGATTCTACGGCCCGGGCGATCTGGATCAATTAAACGAACTTCGGCAGTCACAAACCTTGAAAGATATCTAGGCCTCAATCGCTACAAAAGTGCGTCGCGACATGCAGTCGCAGCGTGCGGCGCTTAAATCGCCACAAGCCTTGTTTGGTCTGTCGTGTGCTCTTCAAACATGAGGGGGCAAATCGCGGCATGGGTGAGGTCGGGTTAAAATTGCAGTGAAGAAAAATAGAGTTGGGGAGAAAGATCGAGGAGGTCTTATTGATTGGTTGAGAGCAAAGACCTAATCTTGAATGTGCATGCCGTGAACACTCTATCATAGCGCAACTGTGAATAGCCTCAACCCGAACCATCAAACTTTCAATCTTCACGTGGGCACCCGGAACCGTCGGACAGCCTTCGGCACATGACACGCATCCGATACGCGGGAAAGGGAGTCCCTAACCCTTGAGACGGAGATGGCGCCAAGCAGAGGTGTTGACCGCCAAGACTCCCCTGGAGATGGTCAGTGGCTAGCACCCAAGCCAAGACCAAGCGCCTTGTTTTTCCTCCCTAAATTGCCCCTTGGAGAATGTCTATGACGAGGGGAGAAGAAATGATGTTTATTCTTGGCCTTTTCTCGGCTGAGACACAGATACCATTCAACAGACACGCACACAGAGGAGCAAAGATGGCGGTGATACATGACATGTTTCAGTGAACGGGCAGCAGAATAAGGTAATATTTAAGCATACCAGGGGCTGACACACCGTGGTCATGAATACGGCATCGTCGTTGGTTGCTGTCGTGGTTTTTGTGGAGGTGACGGTAATTTGAGTGAGGCGCATTAAAGTTTAGCGGCAGCCTTTGCTCAGAGGATGCGGTAGTTATCTAGGGGGGAGACACAGGCGGGACATTGGTGCTACAGTGTGATTGTAGGGGGGTTTTAGGTACTTTGAAGGTAGAGGCTCCGTTGTCCAGGGCTTGCGTGGCCCTTCATTCCGGATCCAATTTTTACCCGCTGGCCAGGAAAGCTCTATTGCTCCTATTGTCATCTGGGGAATTGATCCATCTCTATCACGGCAGACACGGAGGACTTCTCTTTGGCCCTTTCGTATCTTTTTGACACCTTGAGCACCTCTCTCACTCTGCTTTTAGACCCTCACCTTGCTTCAGGTCTCGCCACGCCAACCGTCCGACAGTGCCCGACACTCCGTGCCCAGCTCTCTTTGTCTCTCGGCGCGTATTTTACCAACCCCTGCCCTGCTCATGACTCTCTTTGGACAACATTATGATAGGCCCCCCCTTGGCTGTGGATCCCAATCGAATGGATGTCACTTGTGTCCCTCCGGATTGCTCGGTCCCCGGTGTGGTCCGTCGTCGATCAAGGAAGAAAAGCGGTCTTGGGTGACGGTGATGCGCAGTAGGACACACCAAGAAGTCTTGAATCACCGGCTGATACTTTCTTGTCCACTGCGTTCTGCGTCCTTGTTTTCAGGGGCTTTCCGAACCCCGTGTCCTATTACGTGCCTCTCCCTCACACCCGCCAAGCCTCTTGGTTCTACCCCTTGGCGCCGGTGACCATGGCCCCATGGTGTCTTGGCGTGAGAAGCCGTCTTCAACCTTTGTTTTTCTCACTTAGCCATCTCCAAGCATTTCACCATGCCAAGATGTTGCCAAGCGCCCTCACTGGCCCCCCCGTTGCACTGCCCCGATGCCCAGCGTCTTGGCTCTTACCGGCCGCTCATCTTCCCTGGATTGATTTGACTTGTTAGCAGTGATGCGGGCTGTTGAAAGGTCCCCATGCCCCGTCCGTCCCGCCAGATCTGATCCTCCATCCTCCTGACCCTGCTCGTGCGTGACCTAGAGGCCTACTCTCTCTCTTCTGTGCATCTGCATTTCAACTCTTTTGTTCCCACATGAATCCTTCCGACTTGTCCTGTTCCTGAAGTTTGGACCTTCGTTTCTAATAACCCCCCGTCTCGTCTTTGGCGGGTCGGCATCTTCAATCTAACCCTCAAGGTCGCTCGTTTGCTGCATCCTTCACGACGTCGCTCATTTTCCCGTGACCTTTTTTTCGTTCCGAAGTTTTCGACTTCAGCGTTTGTTTATTTTTCCGTCTTTCACGTCATGCTTTCCCTCAAGTCGGCGGCCCTCGTGGCCTTGTCGGGGGGCCTCTTCCAGGCAGTCGATGCCCAATACAAGATTGGCACAAAGGGTATGTTTTGTTTACGACAGCGACAGATTCACGCCTTTTGTAGACGGCAAGCTAATCATCCCACAGCCGAAATTAAAGACACGGCAGCAAAACTCGCCTACGATCTCATGCTGCAATATGACGGAAACACGACTGGCATGATCCCCGGTATCTTGCCCGGTCCGCCCACAGAGTTCAAGGGTGACTACTACTGGTGGGAGGGAGGCGCCATGATGGGAACATATATCGGTGCGTAGGAAGACATCAACATCGACGGAGCGACGACTAAAGAAATGTGCAGACTACTGGAAGCTCACCGGCGACTCGAGCTACAACCACGTCATCATGGAGGGCATGCTGCACCAGACTGGTGACGGCCACGACTACATGCCCGAGAACCACACCGCTTCGCTCGGAAACGACGATCAAGGCTTCTGGGGCATGTCGGCCATGCTTGCCGCCGAGAACAAGTTCCCCAACCCTCCCGAAGACAAGGCTCAATGGCTCGCCCTCGCGCAGGCCGTCTGGACGACACAGGCCCATCCCAACCGACACGACAAGGAGTGCAATGGAGGTCTGCGATGGCAGATTCCCTTTACCAATGCTGGTTACAACTACAAGAACAGTGGGTGATACTGAATGTTGGTTATGCGCCGCTGCTGACTCGTCTTAGCGATTGCTAACGGATGCTTCTTCAACCTCGGAGCTCGGCTTGCGCGATACACTGGTAACTCGACCTATGCAAAGTACGCTGAAGAGACTTGGGATTGGCTTTGGGATGTTCAGTACATCGACCATGACGACTGGAGGGTGTATGATGGTGGACACGTCGAGAAGAACTGCACCGACATCAACAAGGCGACATTCTCGTACAACGCTGCTATTATGCTACAGGGCGCGGCTTTCATGTACAACTACGTATGCTCACGGTATCCTGATGGTCACAGCTATGGATGCTAACATTTGACAGACGAATGGCTCTGAAGTTTGGGAGACCCGCGTCAACAACCTCACCGATTCCCTCCTCAAGAACTTCTTCCCCAAGGGCATCGCATGGGAGGTCCCCTGCGAAGGCCGTAAGGGCGCCTGCTCGACCGACATGCTTTCCTTCAAGGGCTACGTCCACCGATGGCTCTCGGTCGTCACCCAGATCGTCCCCCACCTCAAGGAAAAGATCCTTCCCGTCCTCCAAACCTCGACCGAAGCCGCCGTCAAGCAGTGCACGGGTGGAAAGTCAGGCCGCGCCTGTGGATTCTACTGGAGCGATGGAGAATTCGTCGACCCGGCTGTCGACGAGACGAGTGGTGCGGGAGAGCAGATGAATGTGCTGGCGGCTGTATCGAGCCTGTTGATTGGCGACGCTGAACCACCCGTGACGAACCGAACTGGTGGTATTTCCAAGGGTGACCCCGATGCGGGCAAGGAGTCGCATGACATGCCGGAGCCGGATCCCATCACGCAGGCCGACAAGGCTGGAGCCGGTGTTCTCACGTTTTTGATCCTGAGCAGCGCGCTCGGGACGTTTGTTTGGATGTGCGCTTTTGACTGAGCGCGGCGTTGAATCTGTGTATACTTGGCGTGTTGATTTTTTTACTGACGAAGGAGAATGGCGTTAGGTAGACAATTACTGGCATGAGACATGCCCTTGTTTCTTTGGTCTTTCTGGAGGAGTAGATACGGATGAGGGATGGAGAGGATACCCGGGGCAGACCCTGAGGGTTACAAAATAAGAGATACATCCGATATGATTCCTTCATCTTGTATTTGGGCACTGATGTATACGGTCGTGGCGTTGAAGTGGGAGATGGCAGCCTGGCAACCTGGCTGATAGTCTCCAATATCTATCCCAATACACATTTACTTCTATACATGAGGGCTGCCTCTGATCCAAGAGAGCACTGCTGATCGCTGTCTAAATACCTGTCAATGGAGGACTGCCTCGTATGACTACAGCAGATATGACTGTCTGCACTCAGCATCTTCTTCGCACACGGCACATCAAAGGCCCCTCCTTCTCCGAGATTCCAACGCTGATGGTAGAAATGATCTGCGTCGGATCCTCCATCTCAAGGTGATAGTTCTTGAAAGTCGTAGCCACGAGCTTGAGCATGTTGGTCATGGCCATGTTTCGTCCAATGCACATTCGATGACCCATACTGAATGGGCTCAGGAACCGTTCAAGTCTCTCACCATCCTTGTTGAGGAATCGAGAGGGATCAAACTTGTTGTGGTCGGCACCCCAGATGGAAGGGTTGTGATGGACGACGTGGTTTAGGCTGAATACAACGGTCTTGTAGCTCTTTGTTAGCTGATTGCCATGTGATAGGAGGGAAAACCTACTCCTTTTGGGATGACATGGCCTGCGATCTCGAACCCTTCCCTGGCCGTCACCCTTCGTTCCAGTGGCATAGTAAAGACAGAGTTTATCCGAAAATTTTCGTTCAGGCATGCCATCAAGTATGGTAGCTTTGTTTCGAGGCCTTCGATAGGTACGATGTCTGACTCGAGCTTCCCGAGAGTCGCATCAACCTCGCCCACAACTTTGGCATGGATGGCTGGATTTTGAAGAATGTGGGAAAAGAGAAGGGTGAGGGTTCCGGACGTCGTGTGTGAGCCTGCAACACTGAGACTAAGTTAGAATCGAGGGTGCAAAGACGACCTCCGGCCACTTACATGAACGCAAATGCCTCTGTTTGTATGTCAAGTTCAGTGAGTCTGGCTCCTGTCTGCGGGTCCACGGCATTGATCAAACTGGTGATGAGATCCTTTCGAGCAGCACCCGTATCCGCCATACGACTACTAACGCACTTGGCAGTCAGATTCTTGAGGTCTCTTCGAGCTGCGAGAAGCTGTTGTAGCCAAGGCACTGGCGTCCACGGGGAAATGGCTTTGATGAAGGGCATGAGGTCGGGAATCATGCCTAGAAGGCAAGCAAGGAAGATGTGGTCGTTGATGGGGGGTAGCTTCGACGCATCCTTTTCAACCTGCGAGTTGAATTGACAACGAAAGGCGAGATCTCCTAGGACGTCAAGGACGAAGAAGGCGATCAGCTCTTTGAGGTCGAAAACTTGGCCGGTTTTGGAATATTCGTCAAGGTTTCTGCGAAACTGCACAAGGTGCTCGTCGATGTATTGCTCCATCTCTTTGATTGACTGTAGAGAAAATGCGTGTGCCATTTGTCGTCGCCGAAGCGAGTGTACCTTGACAAATTAGTGATTTACCCGGGCCTGAAAAGAATCCTTTGACTCACCTCCTCATCTTGGGTCCCAAACAGGTTGGGGTTGAAGGAAGTAAAGCCATCGTAAAAGGGAGTCTTGGCCAGAGTTCGGCCTGCCTTGTAGATCTTGGGGACAGCATCTCCTTGTCTGAAAGAGAGTTGATTGGGACCAATACGGACGACGTCGCCGTGCTTTTCGTGCAACGCGATGAGAGTGTCAGGTAGATGTAGGCTCCATAGTTGCTGGACTTTCCAGAGATTTGTAAATGATGCGAGAAATGGACCGGGGTATTTCGACAAGGGGTGAAGATTGCGGTAGTAGAAGACGTAGAGACCAGTAAACAGAGCTATCAACGCCGTGACCACTACGAAGCGGTGGTCAGATGTGATTGCTAATAGCCTGTCAAAATCCATCGTTGCTGCGCTCGTAGACGACCTCGAATCGTGTTGGAATATAGATATTGTGAGCTCTGAAAGCTCAGTCTTATAAGCCAGGTTTGTTTAAACCCCGAAGCCCGAATAATCTGGCCTCGGAATGGTTACAAACGGAAGCGGAAGCGGAAAGACTCCCTCGGGTGCATCTCCAGACGATCAGACGGCAACATGATGCGCAGCTCGCAGCCGTTCGGCATCGGTTTGCGGGTTAACAGCTTGAACGTATCGGTCCGTGGTAAGGAGTTGCTCCCCCGTAAGAACAGTGGGTTTCAAAGTGCTGGCTTGGTGAATGATGGTGCTTAGAAGCTATGAGGTAGAAACAGGGGGAGTCACAGGTGCTATCAAGACAACTTTCAGGAGACTGGTGTGAGTCTTCTACCTCGCACGATTGACAGGTTTACTATCTAGCAGCATTTCCATACAACTACGTGACCTTGCTACAGGACTAGTTGACTACGGACTGCTCAAGGAACCTAATTACTTTCCGAAGAGACTCGACAGCAATAACATCACCCCCAGCTGACGTCTCGACGTTGACATTACCAGCCCTTGCGTCGAAGCCGTGCTCCGCGTTGGGTGGGTATTCTGTTAACACTTGCACTCCAGACGCCCTGAACTTCTCTTCAGCCTCGGTACTACACTTGACCGGCACAGCTGTGTCATTGATACCGTGAAGTAGCATGACGCGCGGGAGGCCGTTCAGGTCGCCAAAATGGAGTGGAAATAGACGCCGGTGTCCTTCTGGTATTGCCTTGACTCCCTCGGTGGCAATCTGGCGAGAAAGGCCGGCGATTCCAGTCATGTAGTCAGGAAACAAGGCGTCAATGTGTAGTGCGGCAACAAGAGCGAGTCTCGGGTCAGAGGCTGGGTTGGCAACGGGATAAGCTGAAACTGGTTTCCTCTCGTCACCTTGGGCCTTCATGGGCCATTCTTCCAAGACAGGCCCAGTCTCGACCAGCGGCCGCCCAAATATGTTCTTCCCGGTAGTTGTATATCGAGGTCCAGCGGGATTGAGCATCCCGTAGATTAGAAGTAGAGCACTAGGCTTCTTGGGAGCTGAGATGGCAGTGTAAAGAGCCAAGTATGCCCCGGCGCTCGACCCAGCTAGCAAGACTGAGTCGACAGGGCGGCCTAATATTTCTGGGAGCGAAGAGTAGATCCATCCATAGGCGTCCGCAGTGTCTTCGACAGCGTCATGGGCAGTTGACTCGGGTAGTAGGCGATAGTCGGGAGTGACAAAGATCCATCCTCGCGAAGCGCAGGCGTGGACAAGCCAGTATGGCAAAAACGCAAATCTGTCTCCAACAACCTAGAAAGGTTTCAGCATTATGGATCGTGCCAAACAAGGTGAAAGCCCATGGAATGGGTAGAGCACGAGGAGATACTCACGAGAAATCCACCGTGGTAGTGAAGTAGGACTACAGCCGGAGACTCATCTGACTTCTCGGGGTACACGACGTCGAGGTTGATGGGCCCATCTGATGTGGCTTTGAAGGGTAGTGTCTGGGACGTGTACCCGGTGAATCCCTCCAGTGAGAAGCTTGAGGTCGACATGTTGATGTCAAGTTGAGGTTTTGCAGGTTGGGGCACCGGCGATCAAGAGCAGTGGGTCAAAACAGTTTCGAGCGACAGAACAGCAAGAAGCAGAGTAAGAACATGGTCATATTTACTGCAATAGATTGAGGTGCTGTCTTCCGAACGGAAACCTTGCTTCCGAGGCAGGTATGGCGCTAGTTCCGCTTCCGAGGCGAGCGACCTCAGCGGAGACTATGTCGATCCGTCCCAGGTTGCAAAGACCCAACTGCTCCCTGTCCCGCCAGCCGAGACAGGCGGAAGGTCAAAGAAGCCATTAAGCTGGTCGCGGACCATTGTGTCTCCCAAGGCATCAACCGGCATATCCATTGCATCAGCCCGCAGCGCTGGGAACAACTCATCAAACATCATGGCATCGGCATCAGGCGAACAGTCTAAGCTCTGTGGTTCCTCGCCTTGCCCATTGCTGCTTGATGCTGTGGTAGCAGAGTAGCTGGAAAGCTGCGCCCGAAGCCTTCGTAGGCCCTGAAGGCGCTTCCAGAGGGCCATGAGCAGTGGCGAGCAGTTGCTCAGCATTCTTATCATGTCAAGGGCAATGTCAAATTCGACCTTGACGTTGTCGCAAAACATGGAGCTGGCGTTTACAACCGCTAGCAATAGGTTTCCAAAGGCAGTTAGCAAGAGGTGCTTGAAGAAGAGGGGGTTGCGCTTGATGATGCCGGTGTTTTCGTTGAGGCCTGAAAGCATCTGCAGCGACTCCTTGGCAATAGCCGCAGCTTTGTGGGCATGCCTTTGGTGCTGCGCTATCCGTGTTGGGGATTGGAGGACTGGGCGATAGATCAGGTTGTATAGATGGCTCTTGCGGAGGAATATCACCGCCTGAACGTGCCGAATCTCCTGCCCTGGTTGTATTGATTCGAGCTTCATGTCGTCAGCTAGGTGCTGGTACCACTGCCCTATTTGATAGTCGAGATAGTCGAGTTCATCAAAATTGATGGCACTCTCTTTCTCGCCTTGGCTGTTGAGGGCGTGCCACGTCCTGCCAGCCAGTTTGGTCCAGTCGAGGAGAGCCGCCGTCACAGCATCATGGCTACCCTGTTGACTCGTCAGCACATCATGGCTGCCGTCACAAGGAGAGTTGGCAAACCATTCCATACCATGGTAAACAGTGTTGGATCGATATGACAGTCCTGTATATAGAACGGGATTCCCTGCCCCAGACTCGTCCTTCTTTCCAGCATGTACACACACCAAAATGTCTGTAGCGCCACAGCTTGTTCTTCCGAGTTGGCAAAGGAGTTGACAGTCGCTCGACGGTGCAAACCCATTTCGAGGCAGAGTCTGGCCGCAAAACCAATGATGCGGCCGGTTCGTACTTCTTCGTCAAGATGATAGTAATAAAGGGCCTAGGAGCATCTTTTAACATAAATGCACCGCCAAAGTGTCTACCGGTTGCTCCCATACCATCAGGACCAGCAACTGTATGTTGTTGATGGAATTTGTGCTCCATAGGAGTCCTTCAATAGCTTCAGTAGCACTCTGGAGCAGCCTCTGAGCTAGATCATTGCGGCCACCACTCTCCAACGTTCGACCAATGGCCAAAATGAGCTTCAGTTTGTTAGTTTTATCATGGGACAAGCACTCTGCTAGAGCTCCTCGACTCCTCGTATCGTGGACATTAACACTCTGCATAACGTCAAAGACATTTTGGGCAACCTCTAGCATCTGCTCCTTGCTAACTACAGCGTAGAGAGAACCGGTTTCCGCAAACCACTGTTCAATGCTGTTGATGGCATCTCCTCGATTCATATCCCACATAGGGTCTTGGGCCAGGAGCTTCATGTATGGACCGTATTGTGCCAGTTGGCATGGCAAGTTTGAGGCACGGCTTGTACCCTGAGTGGACTTGTCTAATATGGTTGCTGGTATTCCCATAGCCTTGAGATTCCCCTTGACGACTTCAAAGGTAAACTCGGAGCTGGAAGGGCCACAGAATTCAGGTGAGTTGTGACCCCCTTCAGAGGGTCTCTGGCTTGATCGGGTATCCGGCCGGGGACTTGAGTATTGGAAAGTCGCAGGTGATGGGTTTTGTTGTGGAGCAGAATTCGCTATGTCAAGGGGGGTTTCCTGTTGAGTGGCATGTTGAGAAGGCCTGATTGATCTGGTTGAATCCGGGCTCCTAAGATCTTGTCAGTCATCCAGATGACAAGTGAAGACGATCAAGAACAGAATCAAATGAATGGAACAGCTCAACTGACTGTGGATCGGCGGCCGAGACTCGAGGCTGTGGGTGATATTCACATGAGATTGAGTTTCGGACACACTTTGCGCAGGGGTTGACCCCATCGCATTTGACCTTTCTTCGTTTGCACTCATTGCTAGAAGACGGCTGAGAAAGATGTCTTGAGGATGCAATCATCAGGCACGTAGGCTTACCATGCTTGGTTGACATAAGGGTCCCTTCTGTTTCGCCGAAGCCGATGCGCGGCTTGTCGGTCGTTGCTTGTGGCCATTTTACGATGTGACGACAGGCGGTTCCAGCAGCTTCAAGCGGACTCCGTGTAGGAATGGCAGGGCAGCGTCGTCGGTCACTCGGTGCACGTTGACGCGAGCGTATTCACTTCGCCCCAGGTAGAGAAACGCGAGAACCCCTCTGAACAGACTGACTGGGGACACGATTCACGGGTAATATTTCCCCTAGAGCATGCTAAATTGCCTAGATGCAATGCCGAGGTGGACATTTCTCGGCAAGGAGAACCACCCCGCACCCCCAGATTCCCCAGATTAACCCGTGTCCCAGACTGGGGATGATATCATGGCCCCTATTTGCCGGCCACTTGATACGAGTAGGGACTGTTATCAGTATACATATAAAAAGGACAATAATAGAATGAACAAACAAACAGGGAAGTAAATGTGAGTTGTATAAACGTTATAATATTTTAAATATTATTCGTACAAGTGAATAAGAATATGTAGCCTTGACTGAAATGTGGGGAAAGGCACAGTTCCGAGGAAGCTGTTCCGAGCGTTCCGTGCGGTATCATCACGACTCGCCCCCGTCTGGCGATCATGAGAGCAAATAGAACTCATCAACGCCAGGGAAAACCCCGCTGAGAATGTACAATGGAGTGCCATGTTTGGGGCAAAGAGTTTAAGCGCAAAGGCCATTTGACCAGTCACTTGACAAGGCCAAACCCTTTGGCTGCAGCTCCTGTGGCAGACAATTTTCTCCATGGTAAGAAACCTCACATTGATTGCATCATTTTTAACAACCTTGATAGAGACTCTCTGTTTCGTTATGCCGCTATTCACAGCGGTGATGTACAGTCGCGGCGACATCAGATATTGGACGAGATGACTAGGAGGTATCAATAGGCTTGTCTCGAGCGTGCGAGATCAAAGCAACACTGCCAGGGTAGGACCCCCTGTTGGTGCTGTATCAACAAAGACCTCTTTTGCAGTGAAAGAAGGCAAGACCCTCAGACCGAAGGACATGATGGTTCGAGGATGAACGAACCCGCAGCGGAAGAAGACGAGAGTCTTAAGGAGCTCCGCGTTGATGACATGTCTCAAAACTTCAACCTGGGCCAGTTCGATGGTTTAGATGCAGTCTAGCCACCAATTGAGTGGGCGTCTGAAACTTCCTTTGTAGACGAGAGCGTTGCAATAGATGCTTTGTGTTTCTTTGCAATTCAGTTTGCTGGTTTGAGCCAGGGGTTGAAGATGAGCGCGCAGAGGCTGGTTTATGGGAGCAACTACCCATTCACACCTCCCCAGGCCGTGGAACGTGTGACAAAGCAGGCTGATGCTGAGCTCCGGCGGTGTTTTAGTGAGGCTAAAGTGCAGGGAGTTTGTCACGCCAATATCGCCTCTGTTTTGGAGTAGATTTAACAATCGTGACACGTTAAGCTTTGGGTCCAGTGTTATTGCAATGCGACCATTCTCTTACGTGGAAATCGATAAATGGAGTGCACTTTCTAAGAAGACACCTTCATTCACTGATATAATAAGATATTCCTTTTCATACATTGTATTGTCTAGGAGTAACAAAAGACCGTTGGGCAACACTAGATCAAACCCTCAAGAAAGTCAAACCCTTGCCGATGGAGCTCCCATGTTCGTGAACCGACCTTCATCGTTCCAGCGAACGTGTGTCCCTCATCAGGGACTTCTACCATGCCGCACTTGATACCCTTTGATATCAGCTCTTGATAAAGCGCCCTACTCATGTCGATAGGCACCACAACATCATTCGTTCCATGGGCGATGTACATTGGCGGAAAAGAGTCACCAATATTTTCGACCGGGTCGATTTCTTCCCATTTCTTCGAGGGGAAAATGCAGTCCAGGAGTGTCCCATTGGCTATCTGCGTCAAGGTGAATGCGACCCTCGGATCTGAAAGGTTTGGAGCACCAGTCTGGCCTTCGAGTGACGTACCTCCAGTAATAGGCACAGTGGGTGTGTCAAATATCTGTGAGATGAACTCTTCTGTCACTGTATCGGGGATCAAGGCGGCTATGTGTGGCAATTTTGAAGTCCAGTACGGGTCGGAAAAGTTGCAAGGACCGTACATGTTGAAGATGCCAGCAACTGGACGAGGCACGCCGAAACCCTAGAGAAGAGAGCATACAGTTTAGCTTAACAGCTCAGATCTAGTTTAGGATGGAGTCAAACTCACTAGACAACAGGCCAAAGTACCACCTGAAGAGGTACCAAAGGCAAAGACCTTGTCTTGGTTGATCAAGAATGTGCCGTTCAGCTGCCGTGATACCTGAGCTTGCAACTCTCCCCTGCAGATCCAAGAAAGAAGGTCTCGACAGTCCTGTATGGGACCCTCGAGAATGTTGACTTGAGGGCATAGACGATGATTGGGTGCAAGGACAACCCATGACCTATTCAAGCAGTCTTGCACTTGATCTTGGTTGACCATGGCGGAAGAGCCGAGTATGAACGCTCCTCCATGAATGTTGATTACTTGTGATAATCAGCTTGCTTATTTCCAGGCTTTGCAAACATGACTTACAGACTGGGAATCCCTTTGTGCTTGGAGGAACTGTAGACGGCGGAAGATATACGTCGACATCAATGTCTTGCTCATCAACAGTCTTGTAAACCAAACGAATTGGCTCTCGTCGATCAGACTCGTGACTCATGATAGAAATTGTGGACTTGACACGTATGCATAGATTGTCTGGTGCACGACGAGTGGTTGGCAGTGACAGGCGTATCACTGATAAATGCGAGACGAAGCTTAGTTCCGAGGTCTGCTTCAAGTCTAGTCACAACGTCTGTCGTGAAGAGCGACTGCGGTTACCTTGAGGCATAAAAAAAGGTAGTTGAAACAGCTGTATTTGTCTGGAAATGAGCGCATCGCCTGATGCGGTGATATATAGCCCACAAAGGTCTATCATCCGGCGTTCCCGGCCATTGAGGGCACGTCACCACCCTTAGAGCTACGGGGCAATTATCAAATACCCCGTTCTGATTATTGAGCACCCCGTGTGGCTAGATTCCTTCTAACTATAATCCTATCTTTTAATCCTATCTAATCCTAATTAAGCCTATGTATAGCTAACCTGAACCCTTAGCCTATGTTTTTTCTAAGTAAAAAACGCGCTTTTAAGTATACTCTCGCCGTAGAGCCATTATACAGGACCCAGCTCAACAATAAGCCCCAACGAGGATCACGTCTCCCGCTACCACCTAATCCAAAGGGCCATCAGCTCCTCAGAAATCTCCTCGACTTGATTAAACACGCCAAAGATGGCAACATTCACCTCTTGTTTTAACGCTGGTCTAAACAAGATGGTAAAATCTTCCGACTCGGCTCTCTGGAGTCCTACTATCTCAACAACGACGAGGCCGTCAACGTTCTGATGGACAAGTAGTCGGCCAATACCAGTGGAAGACCTCGATGGATATCCAGCAGTGAGCACATGACCAACAGCTGGAACGTCTTACTGCTGGATTCGATAAAGCCCAGGTGGAAGAAGCATCGAAAGGTCCTCAATTCAGCCCTTACCAGCCTTCAGCAAGCTGATCAATCTTCTGGCTCAGTTAAACCATCAAGGGCCGGGCTACAACCACAATAAAGAACACATTGTCAACACATCATAGCATTACGACCCAATGCTAATTAATCCGATCTCGAAAGCTTTGAGGAGGCTGCTTTCACGGCTTTGGCTCTGATCTTGGGTGCAGCCGATGCCAGTGCTATTTCTACTTGGAGCTTCCTCGAGGCCATGCTTCTCTTTCCCAACGTGTAGGAAAAAGCTCGCAGCATGGTACTCGAAGTCACCAAGGATAGGACGCCCGTGTATGAAAATCTACACGATATCCCATACGTCCGATGTCTCATGAAGGAGACTTAGCGCTAGAGACCTCTGATACCCTTGGGTCATCCTCATTCCACGAGCGAGGATATTAATTACGAAGGGTATCGAATCCCCAAGGGCGCCGGACTACATCTCAATGCATTCGCAGTTGGGCACCAAGAGAAACGAAACCACAACCCAGAGATGTTTAACGTTATGGGGAGGATACAACCACATCCGTCCAGAGCATGAACTTGGCCGATGTCACCAAGCGGGACCACTTTGCATTCGGCCCAGGTCGACGTGCTTGCCCTAGATATCACGCCGCCGAGAGATCTCTTGCCATAGCCATTATGCGTATTCTTTGGGCTTTTGAGATTTGCCCGGCAGAAGATTAGGAGCTTCCTCTGGATCCATCCAAGTTTGAAGGAAGAGTCATGCCACGGCCTCCACACGAAAGGCTGCCAGTCTGTCTGAGAGTTTTGGATGAAAAAGGGAAGTTATCAATGGGTACTTTAAGGGATTGCAAGCATCCCGGCCTGAATTTGCAAGTGATTGCCCGTCATGATCATGCGCAAGGAACTGAAGTTGTGGGTGTCAATATGAAGGAGCCTCTTATGCATCTATCCACTGGTAAAGGGGCCTTTAAGCCTGTTATTTAAAGAGTCTCATTAAATTCATGAGAGAAAACTTGAAGCGGCATTTAGTATTTGCACCTGGCTTAGAGAATGGCACTCTACCAATTGAAGAGCTTGATGGGGTTGTCTGTTTGCCTCAACTTCTTTTTGAGGGCATTCCCACCCTAGAGAAGGTAATCGTGACAGGAGAGGTATAGATGGCAATGACTATCGATGTGCCGGGCGAACAGTCCAAAACATTCTACAATTCAGACACTGGCAATGCTGAAATATGACATTGACTTCACTGAAGGGAGTGGCCATGTTGGGTCGTGTCATTATTATTGTCTGTAATGATGACAAAAAGCGATCAGCCACAACAGCAAGACACAGTTAGTAACACATGACGGCATTGAAACTTGATCTAACGAAAGACTGTAACCCAAACTGACTTCTTATGGCTGCAGCCATAGAAGAATCAGGTGAAAAGGTGCGTCTTATGTACAGAATGATAACCTTCCTTATCCTTAGAAAGAGTCATGACCGAAAAGGAGGTCGGCAGATACGGAAGTAAATATCTCCCAGGCCGATTATTCACAGGCGTTTGTAACACCTCCGTATCTATCAATAGACACCACTCAGTTTCATCCGAATTCCAAATCTAAACGTCAGGGTAACTTTAGCGAGTGTCACCCACAAACCGATCGACAAAATATATATGACAAAACCTCGAATCTATTATATGTTTACATCATCACCTGTCGCAGACGAGATGGATCCGGTTTCGGCGCATTCATACCCCGGGTTCGCTGTAACCCCTCAACGGAGAAATTGCCGAGAATGATGCCGAGCCCCGGAAACCGTTTGACCCCGCCCAAAACCGTTGATCTTTTTTAACGGTTTGAGCGGTTTATAACTAGACTACTTTGACAAGGCAATTCGGCGAACTTGGCACGATATCAACTATCTTGAACATGGCTACTCGCAAAGGACCCTTCAGACTCGTTACGGTCAACACGGCCCCTGAGAGAGCGAAGAGGTTGATCGGTCGTCTTATCGATGCTTTGAAGGAGGAGTATGATATTACTCATGTCGATAACTGTGAAAGTATGTTTGCCTCATCTTCTGTGTATCACGTATCTCACCTCGGCAGATATCGATCAGGTGGTACCCAAGGTGACTGAACACCGCCCGAACGTCCTAGTAAGATGAGACCGAATGATTCTATCGAAGCTTGAGAGTCAATTGCTAATTCCACCAGTTCTGCGCATCCATGTGGACGCCCGAGGAGGCGGAAAAGATTCAAGCCCTGGCAAGATCCATCGTCCCAGATATCAAGACACACGCCATCCCTCAAGGCCTGCAAGTCGAAAAGGGTCCTGATGCCATCGTGGAGTATCTTGTTGAAAAGGTTCCTCCTTTGCTTGACTCGTGAGGGTAACATTGGTGGAAACGAATTGCCGGTGGTGGCGGCGCCAAGTTTGAATACGCACAAAATGACACAGAGTCAACTCTAATCTCTTGAGACGTGACTATATAAGAACATGTGATTTGTATTTTCAAGCCTTGGACTTGGCATGTTTTAATTACCACCAGAGTCTAGACTGTCGAGCTATCACTGTTCTGTCAACCGAGGATACAGCATTAATCCATGTTTGGCGAGCTAGATGCCAAAATGAGTGGACAATGCAACCTTGCTTGTGCTTATCAATGGGAGGGCATAATGTCAGAGTTGTAATGGCATAAAAATTACAGTTCAGCGGTCTGTAATTTGTATAATTAAACAAGGACCGTCCGTGCCATCGTCGAGAGATGAAAAAGCCTCAACTGCGTATCCATCAACACGACAAATAAACCACCGGCGTCTGCCAAGACAGGAATGCCAAGAGAATATCGAACGATATGTAAACTCTGAGCCTTGACAGCTAAAATTCTCCACGATCCATAACTAATCCCGTGGGCTGTGCCTCTGTGTGGAGAGGGGGACGCGTGTCGGATCTCGCGCATTGATCGGCCTCTCAACCTGCCTGAATGGGGATGACGGGGATGCGGCTCCCCGTGCGAGCGCCGAGAATGCCAAGATATAGGGGGACGGACGACGGTTGAGCCGTTGGGATTTGGAATCGGGGGGACGGGTCAAGATATGGCAGCTGCAAAGACTCGTAATCTCGCGTGTTTTACTGTCTGTGTACAGGGGACTTGAGCCAACAGGCGCTTATCCGTTCGTCATCCTCTCGTGACATTTCAAGGGTCCACAATGGGGCAGAGTTGCACAGGAACAAGGGTCTTTAAAGTTCAAGGACAAGATCAACAGAGTCTATGTTGCCAGATTTGTGCTGTGCTGGGTACAGTAGGCATTTAGGTGACAGGCATAAGGACACACAATTTCCAACACAAACAAAAATCCCTCATATAAAAACAAATTACTCCACCACCGTCAACGCAAATCAGTCATCGTGCTCATCCTCGGCGTCTGCAGCAATCTGCAACAGGTTCTCCTCTCCTGGGGCGTTCTGGGGATATCGCGCATTGAAGCCAATGACAGAGCGGGCCTTGAGGTAGGTGCTTGTCTTGATTGAAACCTTTTTGTTGGAGACGAGCCATCGGACACCTTCGCTGCAAGGAGGGGTTGTAAGCGAGCCGGCGTATCTGGAAAAGATTGTCAGTAAGCCACTCAATTATTAGTTGTCGTTTGTCACTACTCACGATTGAAACGATCCAGAGGTCAGGAGCTTGACAAGCTCAGACATGGCCAGCGGCTCCGTGTGAGTGGTTGCGCCAGGGGTCGCAATCTTATCGACAGACCCCAGAACTGTTTCAAGCACAGTGGATGCTGTAGCTGCACTCTGCCGAGGCTCCAGCGCAGCCCTCTTTGCTCTGCCTCGGGCGTGGTGGCTCTTGGCAGAGGACGCAGCAGCAGCAGCACCATCGTCCAGGTCAATGTAAACACCGATGACGGCGATTTCCTCCTCCGCAGTCTGCCACACCATGTGCATCTCCATGGCCATGCTCGTACCATTGTCAAGATGCTCGCTGGGGAGGTGGAAATGGAACTGCTTGAGCTCGTAGGACTTTTCGCCGATCTCGAGGCTGCCGCCGCCGGCCTCCTCGGCGATTACCTCGACGGTGGTGCCGAGATTCTCAAATTCGGCGCCTTCGGTAAAGTCGGGGATTTCGAGCGTCATCTCGGATGCAGGGATGAGGTTGAACGAGCCCTTGGCCATGTTGATTGGCGACTGGCTCTTGCCCGTGGCGCACATGACGTTGGCAGCTGGGTCGAGAGAGTACCAGTTGACCGGGCCCTAACAAGAGTTAGGAATTGCACCCCTTGAAGAAATGTGACGGGATATAGTGTTTTTAGAGTTTTGTGCATGTTGTGAGGTTTCATTGTAGGATTATGCTAATCGTGATCGGATCGAAAACTTACTTTGATACCGTTGTATCCAAACTTGGGTTCCTCAAAGGCCTCAGCTCGAGGATGCAGATGAGTTCCATAGGCGCAAGAAGCCAGGACCTGGGGAGCCGAAGCGGCCAGGAGAGTAAAGAGGGATGACCAAGCAGGCATGGTGAAGAGTAACCAAAAGCTGACAAGATTCAAATGAAGGTATAGAAGCCAGCTATTCCAAACAATGAAAAGAAACGATAATAGTATGTGCAAGTACTGAAGAGAAAACTGAGAAACTGATTCAAACACACTGAAGAGAAACAATCTCGAGAGGATGGCCTTGCATCTTTAAGCATTTTCGAGTCATGGCCACCTACCTTTAAAAGATCACATATCGCATCTTGGTACTACCATGACATGGCCTCCCCCAGGGGCTGTGTGAAGGGGGCCCGGGGCTTACATGGGCATTGCAACGCATTCATTGTAAAAGGGCTCACCGGATATCCCACCCCCTGCCCCCCAATGGGGCCCCAAGGCCTGTCAGCGAATGTCACGTCACAGGCGCCAGCGCAGGGTCTAGAGCGCCTGTGAGAGAGACCCCTGACCCGTTTGACGCTGCTGGAGGAGAGAAAAAAAAAAAAAGGGTCCTGGGGTTTTAGTGGGCGTCTGGGACACGGAATCTCAGACAAGATGCATCTAAAAATGGAGGCGTTGATGTCGTAGACGCCCACAGCTGCAAGACCGGGCAGCAGAGATCCGAAAGTCTCGAGTTGAGTTTTTCTTCGTTTGTAATAATTGCCCACCAATAAATCGGATCCCGATAACGAAACTCGTATATCTGCCTGTATTATTCGCCAAGACAAAAGAGAGTTTGGTTGTAGAGTTTTTGCCAAGGCAAAGCGGCCATGTACCTGCAGGTCAAGTGCAGACCCAAGAGTCTGGGCAGATGAACCAAGAGTGTGAGATAGATCACTGAGTGTATTCTTTGCATTTCTCTGTATAGCTCTCCTCTTCCGAGGTGCCACAAAGACTTGCATGTTCCCATTCATTTGCATTCTGCCGCTGCAAGCTAAAGCATCGCATTATTGACGCACTTCACTTCCGGTCCGGCTGCGGGCGCACGACTCGACGCGGAAACAGACTGGCGACTCGGCTTGTGTGATGTTCACTAGCTTACGAATGTTGGAATGTTACCTTTTTTCCTCTCGGTAATCGCAGACACTCAAACACACCTCCTTTCGAGGTCCCCCGGCTGTCTGGAGGTGTTTGCCAAGACCCCCCTGTCCTCGTTTGGGTAAGGGTTCAGACGAGGTCCAGACAGGGCTGAATCATTTGTCCAGCCCCTTCTTGGCGACCTGATACAACCGTGTGACTCGGGGTTAAATTTCTTAAATGGTAACCTTTTTCGTAAGCTTAAGTTATCACGGGCTACTCTATTTTGTTCTAGTTTGGTGTTTTGGCCTGTCCAGCTTCCATTCATGGATGGATGTCTGCTGTGCCACAGTTAGTGTGTGCTGCGCAGTGTGGCAGACGCTGTGGCTTTGACCTGACCTCGCTCTTCTGACGGTGTTTAAATCCGATGTCGCGAGACGACGTAAATCCGGCTTCATTGTTAAGCAGGAGATATAATTGATTAAATCCGAATACTATGACAATGGATAAAGTCAAAATAACTATTTAATAATTAACATAATTCGTGTTGCTGTCAATATTCTATCCATCATTTTATTCTCTTCACCACCAAAAGCTGACATCATCAGCCACTCATTCGGGCTCCTCGGCGACTGCAGGTTAGGTTACCCCTCAGCACAGCACACAGCAACCACACACTGCCCGCATTGCAGTGATTGATTCCACACACCTTCATCCTCTCCACGAGACCCAGGTATCACAGCCTCCACTGTCGACCGCCGTCAGCTTCCCCCCCAGAAAATGGCTCCCCTGTACAAAAAAGCCCTTGTCTTGGGCGCATCTTCAGGCATCGGAGCAGCCCTCGCAGCAAAGCTCATCGAGACCGGCACAAAGGTCATAGTCGTCGGCCGACGCAAAGACCGACTTGACGCTTTTGTGGAGGCGCACGGCTCGGATAATGCGAGCGCCGTGGCTTTCGACGTGACAAATCTCACCGGCGTCAGGGCCTTTGCTGACGAGGTCATCCGCTCCAACCCCGACCTCGACTGTGTGGTTGTCAACTCTGGTATTCAGCGAGGCTTTGACTTTTCGAAGCCCGAGACTGTTGATCTGGATGTACTTGGCGACGAAGTCACGACAAACTACACTTCTGCTGTTTACTTGACGGCCGCCTTTATTCCTCACCTCAAGAAGCAGACGCAGGGACACCTCGTATATGTCAGCGCCACCCTCGGGTTGATCCCATCCATGATCCGGACCCCGAACTACAATGCCTCCAAGTCTGCACTTCACACATTTATCCTCAATGTGCGGCAGCAGCTCCGCGAGGGAGGGTGCTCCAACGTGCGCATGGTAGAGGTTTTCCCGCCTGCCGTGCAGACCGAGTTGCATGATGAGAACCACCAGCCGGATCTCGTCAATGGCGGGGAGATCGGCATGCCGCTGGCAGAGTATACTGATAAGATGTACGACGGTTTGGTCAAGGGTGATGATCAGTTTGCTATTGGGCCGGGTGAGAATCTTCTCAAGGAGGGTGGATGGGAACATCAGCGAACGCAGCTGTATGAGGCTGGCCAGCAAGTTCTGAAGGGTTCGCTGGCCAAGTATCTGAAAAAGTAACAAGCATAATGTCCGTACCGGCAGGGGAATGGCCCGGACCTAGGCTGCATAAGCAGTGACAACTAGGGTAGTGAGCTGCAATGCCAAGGCACTTGAGACCAATGATAAGACTCTGGAACATGGCAACCGGGATAAGCCCTCGTGACTGTATTGACTAGTTCTATTGATAGATCTAGGTTTGTCTCCAACATTTGTCCCGTTCCCGTGTTTTGTCCCCCAGTCTTAATTCAGCGGAAGTAGATTCGGCGAATGCGACGCAATTCCGACGAAGCGGCGCATTTATTTACCGTTATCACTTGACCAACTGTCTTTCTCTCATCGGGATAGTATATATGCAAACGGGGCTCATGCATCCAAGTCAATTCTCGCAGGGTCCCACCACATAAAACGCCTGCATCCGAGAACCCGTCCTTGTCCTCCCTCAACAGATCGGAGGTCGGAAAGCTTGAGTAGGATAAGCCGCTGAGAGAGACGTGTGTCTCAGCCCTATGTATGAAGATTAAATATAAATCTAAGGTTAACTCAACTTTGGTCTCTCAAAATACCGATTGTTGAAACTGCATGTTAGTTAACCCAGCTGTGGCGCTTAACCCGAGGCACCTAAGGAGTTGTGTTCCTTGAAGCTGCCCGGGTTCGCGATAATCGAGATAGCATTGGTAGCACTACGTTTTTTTTGAATTCGTCTCGTGCCTGAAATTTCACTTGTCATGCTGTCCCCTCACAAGTCGCCGTGATCTTGGCGTTCTAGGAGGCCTAACCCAAGACTCGACCTTGACCCGTTGTGCACCCACTCCACTCCATTGCCACATCTTCGTACCCCGTATAATTACAGATCACCATTGAATAAGGTGCTGATCCCATCAAGCCTCCTGCATCTGTATCCGTGATGATTGACGTGTCGTAGAGGCGTTTGTGCTTGCCTGGCCAGGTGACACCCGTGCCCCCCGCCCTGGGCCACCCTCGCACACAACCTTAGAAGTGGCCTCGGAAATACGGTAAATAGGAATAATGCTTTATGAGTTGGGGATTTGATTCATAGGAGAGCCTCAAGTCCCAAACGGCCGGAGGAATGATAACTCTGTGTGCCGCAAATCGAACACTAGTTGGTATAGGTTCGGGATCTGGCTTAACATGGAGTAGCGTACGAGTTGGGTGCCCCCTTGAGTTAAACAATTGAATCGCGCTATCATTCATTCTGTACGCCTTTCGCTGCATTACCTCTTGCATAGTAGATTGCCAAGTAGATCAGGTGCTCAGGCTGATGGTCCCTCAAGCCTCTCCCTAACGCGTCAACCTTATCACGTCTCCAAAACCGTGTGACATGTATTGAAACGAACCACTCTTCTCGAGATGCAATTTGACACAGTAAATTAATACGGTGCTCTTGCCAAGTCTTTTACCAGCATGCGCCCGTTGGTTGTCAATGAGCTTCACGTGACCAAGTCCATCCGTCGCACAGCCTCCACGTCTCAAGCTGAAGCGATTTTGTTCCTTCAACCAACAAACATTAGCAACCGCCAGAGCAACCAACCATGCGTCTCATCAACATCGAGACGTTAAAACTTGAAACTTTTCTAGGCGAGGTTCCTCCTTATGCCATCTTATCACATACCTGGGGTGAGGGCGAAGTCACCCTTCAGGACCTCGACAGCGATGATCTTGAGGAAAAGCCTGGATGGAAGAAGATTGTGGGATTCTGTCAAACCGTCACGGAGCATTTATCAGACCCGCCGCGATATGCTTGGGTCGATACCTGCTGCATCGACAAGACAAGCAGCGCTGAGCTGTCCGAGTCCATCAATGCCATGTTTCGCTGGTACAAGGAGTCTGATTGCTGTTTCGCATATCTCCAGGACGTGGAATCCGAAAATCTGGAGCGGTTAGAACAGTCTCGCTGGTTCACAAGAGGCTGGACACTTCAGGAACTACTGGCGCCAGTGACGGTCGACTTTTTCGATCAAGATTGGGACTTTATCGGCACCAAGGTCGGCCTTGGCGAAAGGATCTCGCAGAGGACCAACATTGACATCGAGACGCTCAGGACTGGAGATTTATCAGAAGCGAGTGTCTCTCAGAGGATGTCGTGGGCTTCCAACAGACAGACAACGAGGCTTGAAGACATTGCGTACTGCTTGCTCGGCATCTTCGATATCAGCATGACCATGCTGTACGGTGAAGGAGAAAAGGCCTTCATTCGACTTCAAGAAGAGATTCTCAAGGAGTATGACGACCATACAATATTTGCATGGGACTCGTCCTCAGTTCCAGAATCTGCTTCGACGATTGGTACTTTGGCACCTCATCCGTCCTACTTCAGCAAGAGCTCCCACTTTCAACCTCACCCCAGTTCCGGTGACCCAGTAACCATCACCAACCGAGGCATTCGACTTGGACTCCCTATCATAGAGGAGAGTAAGAATCCTGGTCAGAAGCTTGGTCTCCTCTCTTGCTTCGCAGATGGCGGTGCTGGCTCGGCTGTAGGCATAGCCCTCTTGCGCAAGTCCCACGATCTCCAAGAGTACAGTCGTACTCGCGCTCCCCCAGTTGAGCTCTCCATGCGCGCATTCAACTTTCCGCCGACGACTGTGTTCTTGACAAAGAGGAACGGGTACTCTCACAGAGAGGGCATGATCAGCAAGTGTTGGCTTCATTACTGGTCCAAGATCCAACCTCTACGGTCGTACCCGACTGGTTCGTGGCAACACGACCCATACACGGAAAACATGACCATGAGATTCCCCAAGAGTGATGCGGAAGAGGTCAAGGCAAGCATCGTATTTCAGGTAGTTTCTTCGGGAGCATGTTTCTCTTTGGCACTCACTGTCAGGCCAAGAGAAAGAACAGGCAAGGTCGGCCTAATATCAGTTTCGAAAGAGGCGGACAAGGCGGACCATGTCTTCAAGATGCTGAGCAACTTGCCAATGAGTAATCAGGTGAATCTGAAGGTGCCTGGTCTGTCTGTGTATGCTGAGTGTCGAGTGCAGTCGATTCGAGGGTCCTGGATGTGTGACATTAAGGTTACTACAAGCTAGGGGTTACTAGATGGGCTGAGAAAGTTGATTGCGAAGAGGGGTTGGCCCTTAGGTCGGGTTGATGAATACAGTATCATGTTGAATGGAGCATTTGCAGGTCTCATATTGTTCAACTGTTGGCTTTGCAAAAACCTCTCGGGGCTTACCTCACAGGCGAGACATACGGCAGTTTCGCCAAGAGTCCGACTTTAGGCCAAGATCATCTGCGCTTCAGGTTTAACCTCTTGGCGATGTCCCCAGTCTTGGCCTCGTGGGATCGACAATGCCCAGGTTCAATTTACCCACAACACTCCACTCGAGGTAATTCCGCATTTCTTCCGCACTCTCGCCCCGTGAGCGTGCTAATCTGCCTCATTGCGCTCAGCTGGTCAACCTTGCAGGGGTCGCGGGTCTTGGCAGACCAAGATAAAGACGCAAGGGCATTCCTCACATTTCAACTTCAAACAACCTTCATCTCTTATTCGAGTATCCAATTTTGCAATCATGTGTTTCCCACGGCGCAGTAAAAAGCCGCAACAGCCAGAGTTTAATATTTACGACATCAACTCTCGACCTGTCTTTGATGATGCATCGAGCTTTAAGCGACACAGGCTCTATAAAAGTCAACGGACTAAGCGTGATGGATGGAGTTGGTGGTATGATGCTGTGTGGTTTGGCAGCGGCCCCAACAGAAGCAGAAGAAAATCGAGATATGGGGACGGAGGATGTGGTGGTGGTGGAGGAGGATGGTATGGAGGAGACAGCGGATGCGGAGATGGAGGAGGTGGTGATGGGGGTGGAGGCGGTGGCGGAGGTGAATAAGATGCCATTCAGGTATGTTTAATATCTTTTCAGCATGTTCTTGACGTTCTAACTCGGGAACAGGATTTGCAAGACCCCCAGACCTTGTTGAGGCCATCGCCAAGAGCAGAGCATCTTCCACTTTGGCGTATCGGTTAAACACCCCGGAACAGTTAGATACCAATTTTCATTCATTCTCCAGTGTCCCAAGTTTCTCACAAGTCCGTATCAATATTAAAGACGTGGCTTTGACGAGTATCTATCCAGCCTCTGTTTCTCCAGGGTCAACAACTTGGCCTTGGTCACGCCACCATCCACATCAAGGACAACACCCTCCTCAAGGAACAGACATTGGAGAAGAGAAGCAACGATGATTCAAATTTCACATTTTAGATAGGAGATATCAAGTTCTTGTATACTAGGGTTTTCTTTGTGCCGATAGCCAAGCCCCGGGTTATGTAAACAATTGGATCCTGACCATCACGCGACTCTCGGCCTCACGTTACATATTCGGACCCTCGTCCTCGGCAGACCGACTCATTAACCTTTCATCTACAATGATCGAATGTTGCGCTCATGGCGTTGGTTATAAGCCCTTCTTCTCGAAAGGGCCAGCGGGACGAAGTCCATTTGCCTGTCCGAACGCATTGCGATGCGTGTGATTTCTACCTCTTGGTCGGGGAGCCGTTTCTTTGCCGTACGTGCATCTTACCACTACCGGGATGATCCCTTTACTCACCGCCATATAGTTGAATGCCCTACTACAGGTCAGCCGAGGGTCTATGGTCTTTTCAGACTCCCACTGCATTGCCCCCTTGGTCAGACATTTCACAGTCTGAGGCTGTGTCGTCAACCCTTCTGCGATGCATGCAATGAAGCTCCGGACGTGGCTACACTCCACACCGAGTGCTTCAACGTCTTTATGCAAAAGTGCACAGCTGCAGACAAGCTAGAGAGATTGGCATGCTTCGCCACGTGGAGAGAACCCTGGCATGCCGGTCCATCTCTGGGACTCCATCCCCGTCTGGATATCAAGAGAGCAATGCATCTCGCCGCCGACCTGTGCGACATGCAGAGGCTTCGTTCTCTTCCTCTTGAGATTGCGGAAATGATTCAGCACCTTTCGGAATCTGCTGTTTTCTGGCGCTATGCTTCGGTGATGGAACTCGTCGACCGTGCATCTACGGCCTGGAATACGGAAAAGCAACCACTCACCTCATATGGTATCTCGGAGATTGATTTATGGGAGCGGGGTCTCTCACCGACACTTACTTATGGCTCACGTTCTTCTACTCCCAATGCAGTTATCCGCATCAAGATAGATTCGTGTGGAATCAGTAGCATCGAGAGGCTGCCCAAGGCTCCCTCCCTCTCAAACTCTCGCTCTGATTCCTTGGCCTATATTGCCGAGACCGAACATTCTCTGAGGAATACGACTGTTAACTTCAAGGTTTGTCTCACTTGATATGCGTCACTCAATTTCTTGTCTTTTCTAACATGGCCAGTTCGGACTCTGTCGCCTTGTTCCCCTTCCGGGGGTCAATATACTCCATATCTGGGATAAGCCATGCCCGCAAAGACCACTCGATTGCGTTCTATACAGTTCATCCCACCTATCAAAACACTCTTGGTTTCTTCAACTAAGGACCATCGATCCCCGAGATTGCACAGGAATTACTTTCTTGCTCGGTTCTGAAACCTGGGCGATTCATGCGCATTCGTCTTTAGAGCCGACTGCCGAGGCTACTTTCCACAAACTCTCTCAAGAGAGACAGCATAATGTCGTTTGGGTTTATGTTCCTCTGCCTTCCAAAGACCGTGTCGAGGCCTTTGGGATCCAGAATGAGTGGTCAAATACTGGTACTCCGCGTCAGGGCGCATGCTATCTGGTACAGTACTCCTTGATTTCTCTTGACGTCGGTTTTCTAACAGTAACAGATACGAACCGCCCTCTGTGGCGACATTACTGTTGGATCATATCAGAGAGGAGAAACAACGGTCCTGTCCAGAGCCACAGCCTATGGCCTTGCCTTGGTATACGATGTCCCTGAATTTTCCCCGATATCATTTCTTGGTGTAACATCCAACAGCAAGGATCAAGTCGACTTTACGCCTAATGCCCCTGTTTCTTCCCTACCGCCCTTCAGAAGACCGTTCTTCTCCTCGGCACCGCTTTCTGGTGTCGTCAGAGCCGAGATCTTCCGTGATCCAGACACGGGGTTCTGCCGGGGTATCCTGTTGACATATGGCAATGGGGGCCAACGAGCACTTGGGCAATGTCGAGTTGGGGTCGACTGCTCAAAAACATGTACGCTTCCAAGGTGGATTTGCATTGCCAACTTCCAACATAGTCCTCCAAAACGAGGTTATCGACTTCAAGTGAGTGAGGTGCAGGTGACACAGGCCGCTGAGCACACTCATCGATTTCAGGGAGTGCAGTGGGAATGCTTTCCGATGAAAGGGTGGTTGGAGTTTTGGTTCCGTCGGCAGGAGTCTCAAGTATACCATATTTGGGGAGATTAGCATGAGTGTCTCGTTTAGTTGCGCTTGAAGTTCGCAGTGATGTCGTTGGGATTGTCTTACGGTCGGCGCCGAACGGAGGATGAGGGCCGGTAAGGCTTTTCGACACTTGAGAGAAAGAGGCTGGGCTACCTCTTCGATGATTCAGAAAAGCCATGTCGTCTCAAACATGCTGTTACGAAGAAACGGTCAAGCAAGCAGTCAGGTCATGGCAGATAATGGAATCGTTACGCAGGCGGGGGATTTAAAGTAGTTTTCAACGAGACAGACTCAAGGCTACGATCCAGAAAAAAGGAAGAAAAAAAAAGGAGACTGGTGCATGATAGATAGGAAAGGTGATGAGAAAAGGTCACCAGTAAAGACTAGAAAATTGAAGCGAATGCAAAAAGTGAGATTCGTCCCCGAGACCTGGCTCGAACAGGTGACCTTTCGGTAACGAAAGAGGCAGTTACAGCCGAACGCTCTTCCAGCTGAGCTACTCGGGGATCAGTGGTTGATGTAAGGAAGCGAAATATTAGTATCTATAGACGTGCTACTGCGAACCCTCATCTCGAATTTGCGATACTTCACTATGATCCGACACATTCTATTTAACAGTATTGCAATAGATTTGCCCAATTCTTCATACAATATCGGTCGTCTAGGCTAGAGAGAACTCCAACATGACCGGTTTCTGACCCACCCCTCAGTGATGGCCAAGCCTTGAGCGCCAGGCCATGTTCCAGCAGCTGAACACCCCACACAACTGTCCGTACCACACACAGCATGAAGATGGGTGTACCAGTTGCGCTGCTACACCACCACTATCCATTCGAAGGTGGTCACCAAGATCACCAGGCCTAACTTGTCCACTCGGAACATCATCTTGATCAACAAAAAGTCCGCGCCTCAACTGCGCTTGGATCTCGCCTTTCGCTAATTAGCTCCCAGCGGCTGCTCACGGAAACTAGCCGCTAGCGAATGCTACGCCGGGAGCACCCCGTCAAGCCACATAGTTACATTCGATCTCGAGATCCCTCGGCCTTGCACTTTCAGATTGGATTAATTAAAAGGCTTGTGACGACCCGGCAACTGTGCCGTCTTTGTGAGAAGAGGAATCAAAGCCACATCCCACGGATCTAACGATGAGGCGTTGGAGAATTTTCGTTGGTGCTTTTAGTGCTTCTGTAGCTTGCTGGAAAAAGAAATGGGAAAAGAGCCCCATCGCTTACAGAGCCATGACAACGGTCGAGCCCTTTACCGACAGAATCAGATGCATCCTGTGGACCAGTCTGTCGGGAGGTGTCAAAGAGAATGTGCTAATGACGAGCAGAACACGTCATGAAGTGTGAGCGCATTATTTAGACTTGCAGTAGTTTTCCCACTCTTGTCGGGATCGTGAAACTGTGATAAGCATGATCAACAGAGACGGCGTTGCAACGAGATGATGCAGGTCTCTCGTTTTGGCTTCCACGTGCTGAGTGGCATCGTTGGGTTCACAGCTGAAGAATTTAAGCCACTGGGTCGTTTTTTTTCTTTTCTCCTCGCGTGTAGAAACAGGTCCAGACCCCCCCCCATCCCTTTGACAGTCGGGAGGGCCGTTGAGCTAGTTCCAGTATCGCGTGGGAGGATGGCTTCATGTTGTGGAGAGGGAGGCTGTTTTGTGATACGCAGTCAGTTCTCAGAGATCGGGAGAGCTCCTTGACCATGTGGATCGCCAGATGCTTGTTTAGCTTGAGCATTTCAGCTCCGATGACCTGGTCTCAGTGGAGATGAAGCCGCAGGAAAACAGTGGGAACAGCATCTCAGCAGTGAGAGTGAAGAATGAGAACCCAGGGGCCCCTTGCAGTTCAATGCAAGCCTCTCCCAACACGGACAATTTCGCTCAGGCCGCTTCTTCTCGCGTGGGTGTTGGACTTTTGCTTTGTTTTTTTCTGCACGCGCCTCTCTCATTTGAGCCTGGACAGGTGAGACACCCGGGGAGCAGGGAGACCCAGCCTGCCAGCGCCACGATTTTACAGAAACCTTCAGTCAGCCACGGGAGAGTCTAGATCTTCAGGTCCATCGAGGAGCCATGTTGAAAGAGGGAACAAGTGCTCCGTAAAAGCCGCTTGTGGCTTTGGTAGTTTCGGCAACGGGCCGCCGTGCCAAGGGGTAGTAGAAGATCATGTCACGTTGGAGAACATCACGTCACATTGAGACAGAAAGTCATAGGATGAAGAGGAAGAAAGACTGGTATTCAGTCGCGTTTTCATTAAGAATAATTGAAGCATCAAAATCCCTCCCAGAAGAAACCCCGCCAAAGATATTCACCGTAAACTCCCATACTCGTAAAATAAGTAACCCATAACCGCAATTAACGGGCTGTGGGGATTCCATTACCAGCCTCGAGGGTATCGTTAGAGTCGATCGAGCATCGTCGATCCTTGACAAACTTTGGCCAGGTGTTGGTCAGGACCAGGTACTTGATGCTTCCCTCGGCGTCGTCGAATACACCCGCGTCAAAGCCTTCGGGGATGTCACCCCAGTAGAGGGCCTTGTCACCGATGTGCTCGACGTCGTTGTTGATGGACTCGGTCATGATGCCTGTTTCGGAGCCGTGTGAAGATGCTGATGAGGACTTGACCTTTGTTGTCATGGCGAATGAGTCAAATGGAGTCGCGGGGTCGACGTTGCGCTTGTCGCCGTAGAGAATGCGTGCTGAGCTCTCAAAGACGGCTTCGAGTTTTCTTAGGTCTTGAGAGGATAGGTTGACCTGGAACTCGGCGTCGCGGGAGCTGACAAAGTTGGTGTAGATGCGGAGGGCGCTGTTGAATCGTTCGCGGACGAGTTCCTGAACTGATGCGTCCTTGATCTTCTCGGCGTCGCGGACAGCCGGGGGTAATGAAGCCTTCCACTCGGCGACAGCCCTCAAGAAGGCAATATTTTCACCAGAAAAGTCGCGAAGGGCCGAGAATTGCTGGAGAGGCTCGGGGTTGCGCTCGAGGACATACTCAAGGGCCTCCATGGTCAAGATACTCTCGCCAGAGCCGCTGCTCTTGACGGAGCCGTCCTTGGACCAAGATGTAAAGGCAGACACGGCGACCGTTGTTGATCCAGTGGCGACAGACCTGGCACCCTTGGTAGCAGCCTTCTTGTTGAGCTGCCATTGAGCAATAGAGTCGAGGGTCTCTTGTCGCAGGGTCTGGTGTCGGATGACCTCGACGCAGGGGAGGAAGACGGTGAAGATCTCGATCATCATGATGGAGATGGCGAGCCTAGGCGCAGTGAGCTTTGCATGTTCTCGAACGAGATGCAAGGGGAGAGATGGCCTACCATTGAGGAGGAATCCAGTACTTGTTGACGGGAGCCATGGCGGGAACATACAAGGCGATGAGCCACATAGGTGTAGCGTGAAGACTGTGTCTCGGTCAGTGGGGTCCAAGTATGTCATCGCAAGGGATACTGACCTGGCGAGGCAGCAAGCAATGGTCTGCGTCCTCCATCCCTGCGTATCATTGACACCGCGAGCCTGCCAGAGGATGTAAGGGGCGACGATCCATGCCCAGAAGAACTGCCAAAAGACCGAGGGCCACCTGTCGAACAATGTTAGTCGGTGTCAATCTCGGCGGACACATTGAGGCCTACCATTCCCAGCCCTTGCCCATCTGAGACTTGCGGTACTCTTCCGAGCCGGGATGGAGCTCGGTGCCGGGGATACCGAACGAAGGGTGGAATTTCCGAGAGATAAGAAACATGGTGACGGTGAGGATGAGCTGAGAAGAGTCAGTTGCTGATGATTATATTTGAGGGTATAGTATATGGGTGTACCTGAATAGCCATGCCTGCGCCGATGGTGATGTAGATTTTCTTGTTATAATCAAGAGACTTGAATCGAGCAATGAGAGAACCGGAACGAGATCGGTTAGACTTGGAAGGAGACTTTTCGTCCATGGCAAACAGCTCCTTTTGCTGTTTGGCGACATGGAGGAAGCGGCTGTTGGAGGCGTGGAAGAGGGCGACACCAAAGGGAAAGTAGGTGCTCATGATCCAGAACTCTCCCTCGGGGGTCCAGAGCGGGAAGTAGACGTAGCCCGTCTGGACGGCTCCCCAGTAAAGGTGCAGGAGGATGATGGCAGCAAACGACAGAGGCAGACCTCGGATCCTGAGCAGAGGCATATCGCGACGGCGCCAGAGAAAGTACATTCCGCCCGCCAGTATAAAGGTCCAGGCGAGGGCAAAGACGATCCAGAAGATGCCCAGGGCATCGAGCCGCGGCTCGGGCTTTGGGGTCCCCGACTCGGTCATTGTTGCTGTCTGTCTGCTCCTGTTTGTTTGATGTGGAGAGAATAAGAAAAACGTGGGACGGGATGGAAATGTCGAGGAGGGGGAATGGGAACAAGTTAATGAACGTGGTTTTGAAAGGAATGTGTGGTCTCCGCCAACAGAAAAGGGAAGCGGAGATGACGAGTTATTATGTATTGGATGGGAAGTGTCTGAGAGAGAGTGGAAGAAGAGCAAACAACTCTCTCAACCCTTGCCCTGGACTCCAGCTCGGGAGGAAATACGCTAGCTTCGAGTGAATCTGGCTCCCGATCGTGTTGATCCTGGCCTCTTGCGAAGTAGGGCTGCCTCTAGCCCTGGCCTCTTACCCTTGTCTTCCGATATGTCAACCCGCCAGTCCGGGAGAGAGTTGCTCGGAGGGGGGGACGGGCCACCATCACAATTGAGATATCGGACCAAGGCCCCAGCTCCCCATCATCAAGTTGGCAAGCATTCGAACGCTCAGACGGGGATCGTGCAGCAAGAGAGTCCACCCCTTACCGAAAGGGCCAAGCAGTTTGTGCAAGGATAAGCCGTTTTTCTTGTCTAGCACACCCCCTACGTAAATGCAGATCGTCGCAATAGCTCGGCAGAGCCGTATTTGCTTCTTGCTCATTCTCAAAGTCCAAGGGCGGCAGGGGAAAGTGGCTGAGACAACAGGGCAAGGATCAGCAGCGCAACCCACGCGCCCGCGGCCAACCACGGGTGCCTTTTACAAGCTGTGAGGGATCAGCGCCTCCCCGGTTGCCCTGAAGACCAGGGGGGGGATGATTGTGCCCAGCCAAACTCTGTCAAGCCACGTAGAGAGACAGGCGCAGCGTTTTCCTGTGTGTCTCTCTTTTCTTGTGTTTTTTCTTTTGCTGGGTCTTGGCCTGGTGTTCAGGCGCCTCCATGACGAATAATGACTGCTCCGTGGCGCCAGGTGATTGCTCTTGACCGTTGTGATGAAGGACGAACAGACGCAGGCCATTTGGTGAATACGGCCGAGACACGGGACGTCGCGAGAAAAATAGTCAGTGAGTAGTGAGTTTGTATTACCGCAACACGCGAGAGCAATTCAATTCTCTGAGAATTGGACAGAGTTTGTTAGTTGTCTCTCCTTTGGGCGCTCATTCGAAACCGCCTTCTCTTCCTTCCCCCCTCTTCGAACGCCCGTTAAACGTGTCTCGAGCTGTCAGACCCAAAAGTCAGTTTTTTTTTCTCCACGCGATAGACAGAATCTTGATGAGTCTAGAGGGTTTCTGCTGACTCAAGCCCAGCCTTCTAATGCGTGCGTGTTTGCCTCCCTTGCAGTCACTGCTGTCGTAGCATCACCCTCCCTTACACAGCGTAGAGCACGAGGCCAGAACCCCAGCCATCCAGAGGAGGCGACTTCCCCCAAGAGGCGGGCTGAGATGGACATGGTCTCCACTGTGATGATGATCACGTCCAACCAAGTGTTTCCCTCTACCGTTTGGTTCCTGGTGCTGCCGTGAAAGCTTGCTTGCGGCAGTGAGATTCCACATGGACATGGGTGTTTTACTGGCTGAGGCCCACCATCCCCAGCAAACGGAGAATTATTCTTCTTCTTTTTTTTCCCGCTGTCCCCCCCGTCGGTTCTTGGGGATCGCTCAATTAATCTCATCCCTTCTGTCGGTGTCACGCTGAAAAGAAGAAAGGAAAATATGAGAGGTCGTCGCCAATCTCTTTTCGGGTTGCATTGAAGCCGGCGCTTTCCCCCACGCGCTGCGATAAACGAAGACGTGAAAGGGACGATCTCTTTCAATTTCTTGGTGATTGATGCTCTGGCCCACTGTTCATTCACATTCACACACACACCCTGAGCTACCGCTGGGCCGAGGATGCCGTGAATTGGATTGTGACTTGACAAAGAGAGCACGTTTGTCCTCTTCCGTAGACCATGAGGCGTCCTCTCGAGACAATGGCACCGAGCGAGGCTTGGCTTGACTTTTGCTTGCCTGTTGCTTGGTCTTTTCAGCCCTAGCCTCTCAACTCTTTACCGGAGCCTGTTGGGAGCGATGCCGGGGCTTGTGAGGCGTTTTTGGGGGCACATCGTCAGGCCCAATCGACCTTGTTGACTAGCACGAGGACAAACATCTTGCACCCGAGACGATCTCAATGTGCCAAACGAGATGGGCCCTGGAGGCCTAGATCTTTTATTCTCCTTGTCAAATTGCCAAAGCGCCTACCAAATGAGGGCCAAGCACCCGGTCGGCGAACTGGTAGTAGACCGAGCAGCGCTGATCAACACAAGTCGCTGTCGTCATGGTCTCGTCGTTGCTCGCCTAACCGATCTCTATCGAGCGTCCCAAGTCGCTGGATCACTGGAACAGTACTCGGTGCTTTGGCGCAAAACTCTGATAGAGGCTTTGACCCTGTGCCTTGTGCCTGTCTCTGATGGAAGAAGCTTTTGGCTGATGTGAGCGAGGCGTTTAAAAACGGTCCAAGCTGCACCACCTTATGGCTTCGGGTAAGCACGCCTTTTCTCAATGGTGAATCAATCGAGGCTTTGTTTCTCTCTTGTTTCGTCACAATGGCGAGATGTTTCGACCGTCAGACCTCTTTTTCTTCCTTTCCCCGCTAAACCTAGGTGCCCGTTCCCGCCTTGACCACCTCTTTCTCAGCTCGAACCGAACCTCGGCGTGTTCACTCACACGTTCTTTTCTGACAAGTTGACGAGTCCCTTTGTGAGCTGTCAGGAGATTGCGTTGTGGGGGATGATCGGCATTTGAGAGCCGGGGGGGGTTCTGGTCCCGCGTCAGGCACAACAAGGGTCTACTGCGGGTTGAAATGACGCAGCATTGGCAGGTGAGAAGTAGGGCCGAGATGTACAGGCAAGAGATCCCTAATGCAGCAAGGTTTGGTTCTTTTTAACATGATCATCACAAACGGGTTCACATATGCCGAAAGGTGTCGGCCCGCTCTTGAACGACAGGTTTGACAAGTCTAGAATGGGGAAATGGAAATGCCATTTCTGGCTGCCAAGAGTCCAAGGGACTTGGTCTTCCCGCTAGCCTAGACTGAATAGTAATCCACTGCCTTCTCTGTCTGCCGGCCGGCCGGACGGCACATGGTTGTCTCAACCCGCCATTTCTTCAGCAGAGCAACAGTTTGACTCAATTAACTGTCAAACTCACTGAAACATGTTGGACAGCTTCTTCACCGGCCATGCACGTGCATCTCGAAATTTCTCCACGACGCCCCGTAGGGCTCGACGCTCGTAGTGGTCCGTGAAAAAGTCGCCGTACAGCTCCATGCCGAACGCCGCGTGGACGAGCGCCGGTGGGCAAGCCGGATGGCACAGACTGATGCCGCACAGGTCCAGGATCATCTGGCGCACCTCGTTCTCAATCTCCCTCCATCGTGCGCGTGAGGTCGAGTGGCCTCTTTGTGACGTCAGCTTGTGACTCAAAAAAAATGCCGAATAACTCACCCGAGGAACGGGTTCTCAGCCATGAGAACCATCTTGGCAATTATACACAGTTGCATGCTCGTCACCTCCAATGCGGAAGCGTACCAGATTGTCGGAAATATCTCCCCGTTGGACCTGTCAGCTGGACGCACGAAATAAGGCTGGTACTCTTGCAGCGCCTCTTCCTCAAGCACCTCGCCCTGTTTCTGAAGTCGCACTACACCATCTGTCAGCTAAGCTCTTTTCAAGATGAGTATCATCGACTCACGCCATTCTTGCTCGGATCCGTCAGCCCAGCGCCACTTGGCCACCTGGGCCGTGTGTAGTACGATCTTGTTCGCTCTCGACGCCCCTCGACCATACTCTGGGTCTAGAATCATCTTTGGTGGGTGTCGTTTCGTGAATGAGTGATATAGTTCCTGGCGTACAGCCATCCAGTACGCGGCCTGAATTAATGACCGTCGTCCGAAGAGTGTCTGTGAGGGCGGGCTTCTAAGGACCGCATCGATGATTGCCAGAAAGTTAACCTGCTCTTTCGAGCGCGGACCCTCGTTCTCATCCACCTGACTATCACTCCGCGCTTCTTCCTCTTCATCGTCAATTTCCTCTAGCTGCCGTAAAATCACCGCCGTCGCTAGGATGCATTCGAGACGATCATCGTCTTGGATAACGTGAAAGTCACGCAGCGCTGGTATGCACTTGAGCGTGTACTCGACCGCATCATGAGGTGTTAGCTTCGGAAGAAGTTGGCCTTGATACAAGATGCCCCGTGCTGTCCTGTACTTTGGTAGCCGAGTTAAATGCCGTGCTGCGAGTGCAAATATCGCATGGAGCAAAAAAGGGTGTTGGCGTGCTCGGATCGGCACCACCAACTGAAAGTGCCTTCTCTCATCGCAGAGGTCGAACTAGTGTCGTTTAGCCAAGTTTTCCATGCAATTTCAATTCTTGGGACGCACCCAGTGTGACAACTCTTCCACAAAGTATCGTAATAGGCACGCTTCTTGAGGATCCTTGAGCGGGAATGTGGTTGATTCTCCCGGCGCATGAAATGGCTGTGAGTGTGGTGAAATGGCATTGCTGTTGCCTCGATGGTGAGACTGACCATAGGAAGGCGAAGGGTGGTCGGGGTTTGAGAGATATCCGCTTGAAACGCTGGTCAAGTCGGGGGGCGAGCGTCCGGTTCCAGCCTGCCAAGAGGGTGGTGTTTGGTAGCTAGGGGAGCCACCAGCTTGGTGTTGTGAATCGATAGAGCGGTTAGAATGAGACATGGGGAAAGAATGACTGCTTTTCAGAGAAGGTAGCTCATTGAATCCCGGTTCTCTCGGTCCAGAGGTCGTTTCCATCACATCCGTCCCTGCTGTTGAGGCAGACCCGGGATGACCATCGACTTGATCCCCTCGTGAGTTCACGCAGACTGTTTCATGTCTGAGTGGGTTTCTGGCTTCAAAATTCTGCAGAGACCTACACTCTTTAATCTCCCCGCTCACCCAAGTCTGGTTCGTGTTGAACGGTGCCATCGACGCATTCCGGAAAACCGTCTTTTTGGCAGGACGGGCGCAAGGAAGATTCTTTGCTTGACATCGATTACATCTTGGCTTTGCTTCGTCGCCTAGGTTTGATATACTCAGTCAGTCTTGAAAGAAACAGAATGTGAAGCTCAAGATCCAAATGGTGATACGTACACTTGACATGCTTCTCTGCAAGGTCCGTCAGCGCAAGCCACAGCTTCACATGCACCAGGCCACCTCACCTTTACACTGGAGACATGGTCTTTTAGCTACTGGCATGGTTTCCTAGGACTCCCCAAGATGTCGGAAACGCAAAGAGTAGGTAATCGAGGGTTTGTCACTGGCTCCCCCCGCCACAGAGATTATCCACCTCTCACGGTTCATCGGGCATGTGTTGCTTTTGCCATCACGTGAGGGGTTTCGCTGTTCTCTCCGAGGTGTCGTAGCTACCCTGTACCTTGCCAAGATGTCGTCAATTTTCCTTGACACGCTGCATTTAAACCTGTATTGAGCTTGAATGGAGGATTGTAGGATGAAAATAATTAAATCTAGGTGTTCTTAATGCAGAAACTACCTCTCATGCAAGCACTGTGTCATCAAGATCTTTGTTTCACATAGCGCATCTCATTTGGCGTCAAGATCCATCAACATGTCAGCCTCATGCTTCACCACTTGCATACTGCAGCTCAATCGAACCATTTCTACATTTCCCCAGCCTAAGAACCTTGCAAAGACGGAGCCATGTCAAGACAAACGAGATCCACCGCAAAAAGGTTAACTCGGATACGCGCAACCACTCCCGCGACGCGTGTGCCCGATCAGGAAAGCCGACTCTTTGACGATGTGAACGCGTGGGAGAGTTGGCTTGATGAGAATCACAACATCAACTCTGGGCTTTGGCTTAGACTTGCCAAGAAGGATTCTGGTGTTTCTTCTGTTACCTATGATGAGGCACTCGATGTCGCCTTGTGTTTTGGATGGATCGACGGCCAGAGAAAGGCACTCGACGCGCAGCACTTTATTCAGCGATTCACACCGCGTCGCAAAGGGAGTCTCTGGTCGAAGCGCAACGTCAACAAGGTCGCGCCTCTCATAGAATCAGGAAAGATGCGACCGTCAGGCCAGGCCGAGATCGACGCGGCTCAAGCCGACGGGAGATGGGAACGGGCGTACTCTGGATCCGGCAGCATCGAAGTGCCCAAGGACTTTCAGGCAGCTCTTGACGACAACAAGGCAGCTGGCGAGTTCTTCAAGACCATCAATAGATCGCAGCGGTACTCTTTCCTGTGGCGGCTGGAGACAGCCAAGCGCCCTGAGACAAGACAGAAGAAGATTGGGCAGTTCATCACGATGCTGGCGAGTGGAAAGTGTCTATAGGCCTATCGCCGGGTCTGAGGTTTCCAGGTGTATTAAAAGGCCGTGATTAAATAGAATCTGTCTAGAGAATGTAGTTTTGGTCGTGTCTGGTAATGTACGTAATTGGAACGCGTGTCAATAGTCGTCCTCGTCGTAGCCCCCTTCACCCTCCCCATCCGACTCGTCTGCCATGCCGAACATGAAGGGGTTCCTCTCCCTTTCATCTTCATCGTCATCCTCTTCGTCCTCGCTATCCAAACCAGCAGTCCTGCTGCTTTTGTCGTCTTCATCCTCTGAATTCTCTTCGTCGATAGGGTTCTCCTGTCGGTGTAGACGTAGTCGCTCGGCCAGAGACATTCGTGCCGGTGGCGCGTCTTCTTCGTCCTCGTCTTCGCTTTCCTCATTCTCTTCATCCTCGTCGTCGCTCGATGCGTCGCTGCCGTCGGGATTTTCATCTGGTTCTTGCTTGGGGGCGCCTCCATCCTCGTCATCCTCGTCATCATCATCGTCAGACACCACAGCTCGAGCTGAACGCTGACTTCTCCCTTGGGACTGCACAGGTTCTTCATCCTCATCATCCTCGGATTCATCGATGCGATCAGTTCTTGCTCGTTTGGCTGGCTGCACATCCTCATCTGACTCGTCATCAGAATCCGACACCACCCGTCGCTTGCGTCCTCTGGGTACTGGCTCGGTTTCGGGTTCCTCAGGATCAGGTTCGGGGCTGGAGAAGTGTGCTCCTGAGCCGTCATCCGATGCTGCTTCCAGGTCGACGCGAGAAGGTTCAGGAGATCCTTCGTCCAAGGAAATCCCTTCTTCGTCTGAATCTTCGTAGGTTTCCACAATCTCGTTGTCGTCGATGCCGTCGCTTTCATACTCATCCAAGTCGGTCCCGGATTCATCACCACCGTCTTCGTCTTCTGACTGTTCGTCTGAGTCCTCACTGTCACTGTCGTCGGGGTTGAGACCAAGGGTTTGTAGCATCTCAAATCGTCGTAGGCCACGTTCAAATTCAAAGACAACCATGGGCCATGCCTTGACGCCTTTTCGAAGCAAGAGACCATCGAATGGTTCGGGCAGGTTATCCAAATCTTCATCTCGTTGCATCTGGAACTTGGCGAAATCGGCATGGTTGCGCAGATCAGGCCAGCAGTACAGCCACTGTAGGTTCTCTCCAAAGCCAGGCCCTCGCTCAAAGGTCTGAGTGTGGTAGCGGTTGATGAGGTCAGAAGTGCACCAAGCCATCTTGGATTTCCGACAATCTGCAAATGATAGGCACACAAAGAATGACTCTAGCTGGTCGAATTTGACCAAAAAGTTGGAGACGGCTGTTCCATCTATGTGATCAAGGGAATGCCAACCACTGAGGGCGAGATTTTTGATTTCACTGCCAAACTCTGGGAGGTGGAAGACGTGATTGCCTTCTGGGTTGCTAAGTCCGTTTATTAGGACGACATCGGAATCCCGGTTGAAACGAACAACTGCATCTCCTGCTCCGGCATCCATGCTGAGAGAATGGGGAAAGGCGTTGGTGGCCATGGCGCGTGATTCGTGGTGGACCGCAAGGACAGTTCGGAGGGTTCTGGTTTGGTCGTCGAGTGCGAGGCCATCGCGCACAGTCCAGACAAACGCGCTGGCTGCATCTGGATGTCTGGCAGTTCCATACGAGATGTTGAAGTCGAGAACACGGTGTCGCGCGCGTAGCTCTGGGCAGAAAAGTTCCCAGATGCGTTGGCGCAGTTCGATTGGTAGGCGACAAAATTGCGGGAAATATGCCTTTGTCGAGCTTGGGACACCTCGATCTAGCTCATCTTCGTCAGAGGACTCCTCGCTGGACTCGTCCTCGCTGCCCTCGGCGGCCATTGTGTCGAGTAGGCCGCCGCCATCCGAGTCATCGGAGCTGCCATCATCGGAGTTGTCATCGGAATTTTCATCAGAATTGTCATCATCGGATTCATTTTCGCTCAACTCCTGATCGCTCGGTCTCTCGTCGCCGTCGACATGATGATCCGAGCTTTCATCGTCGATGGGAGATTTGGCCATTTTGTTGAGTGCACTGTGAGGGACCTGAGGCGCGTCAAGCCACGCGTGGAAAAGTTGCGATGCTGAGGTTCGCCTGGGCCAGATCACGTGATGGAATTTCGAAATTCACGTGATTTTGCGAGATGAAAGCAGGGAGGGATGGAGCCTCATCAGGCATCACCAGCATCATCAGGTTCCCAATTCTGTCGCATCGTTTCATCATCTCGGTCCATCGCCTCCTCGACATTCGAATCATGCACACCGGAAAGCCCATCTGATCCCTACGTCAACATGGCATTTCGGCATTTCGTCTTCTCCCGAAGACCCATTGTTTGAGGAGGCCCTGACTAATCGATTAGCGATCCAACCCTACACGCTCATCGACTCAGGCTTTGTCATGCATCCACCGCCCGAATAGCTTCGCGCTATCCCCCCACGTCGGCCGCCTCTGATTCGATCCATTCCGTTAAGGCTGAATCTTGACCGGTCTTGGCATTCCCCGACGCGCCGAAGCACAGCAAGTTGATGGTGGCAGACGCAGTCAAGGTTCAGATTGGTAAGGCCCTGTAATCAGGCCTGTAGGCGTGCGGCGCGCTACGCTACGCACTGCACCAGCCGAGGGCGCCGGTGCAATCATCACCACCGTGTCATGGAGCTTGATGGAGGTATAAAAAAGGATCGTCAGCTCCTTGAGTAGCTGTTATATCTAGCATCATTAATTACCTACTCCAGCATCTTCAATCGCACCTATCCCACTTCCTTTCAACCGCAATCATGTCCAAGATCCTCACTGTTTTTGGCGCCACTGGCAACCAGGGCGGTTCTGTTGTTCGAGCCATCCTCAACGACCCCGCTCTCTCCAAGGAGTTCAAGATTCGTGGCATCACCCGTGATGTTTCCAAGCCAGCTGCAAAGGACCTCGCCTCCAAGGGCGTCGAGGTTGTCGCTGTGAGTGATCAATTGCATTTTATCCAATTTACATCATTTTAACTCATCGTTTAGGCCGACATGAACACTCTGGAGCAAGCTGCCCCCGCTGTCAAGGACGCCCACACTGTCTTCCTTGTCACAAACTACTGGGAGACTGAAAAGGGCAACGGAGAGATTGCCCAAGGCAAGGTTGTTGCCGATGCCTGCAAGGCTGCCGGTGTCAAGCACCTCATCTTCTCATCTCTTCTCGACACCAACAAGATCAGCGGAGGTCGCCTCACCCACATCAAGCACTTTGAGGGCAAGGCCGAGATTGAGGAGTATATCCGACAGATCAACATTCCCGCCACTTTCGTCCTCCCTGGATTCTTCATGTCCAATCTGTTTACTATGATCCGCAAGAATGAAGAGGGTGGCTACGCCTGGTCTCTTCCCGTCTCGGGCGACAAGGCTCAGGTGCCTCTGTTCAATGCTGGTGACGACAACGGTGAGTTGCAACATATCGAGAAGACAAGAATTGTGTCTAACAACTTCCAGGCAAGTTTGTCAAGGCTGCTATCAAGCATTTCCCCGACACCCTCAACAAGCGAATCTACGCTGCCACCGACTACTACACTCCCGATCGCATGATGTCCGAGTTCTCTGAGGTTATCGGCAAGCCCGCCGTCTTCAACCAAATTCCGTCAGACGCCTTCAAGTCCTTCCTCTCCCCTCACGTCGCCCAGGAGATGTTGGAGAACATGCTGCTGCTGGAGGACCCCGGCTATTACAACAAGGCGGACATCAAGGAGAGCGCTGGCCTGTTGGACGACAAGCCCACCACGTGGAAGGAGTTTGTCCAGAAGTACAAGACTAAGTGGGAATAATTTTGGGTTTAACATAAACGAGATAACTTTCATCTAATGAATTAAATAAACGTGAATATACGACTACATTGTGTGCTAGCTGCCACCAACCATGGTATCGAGCCTTGCAGCATTCTTAGCCTCAGTTGCGAAGTGATCTGAGAAGACTGTCGGTCAAGTGACTCTTGTCCGCATAACACGATCCTTTTGATGGAAATGCATAAGTAACGACACAGCCATGTATTGATCTATCAAGATGGCTGGGGAATATTGCCATAAACCTCAAAAAAAGACTCCTTTATATGCACACATCAAACAAACTCTATGTCCAGACTGTTGTTTCCCCGTTGACAGGAAAGTCGGCCCAGTTGTACTCAAAAACAGACCAAACTTGCTTTCTCTTCTCCTCTGTGAGTGTCCATTGCAAGTCGTACCTTGAAAACATTAGTCAGATTGTTCAAGGTGTTGAGGTCTAACATACCAATACTGAGCGATGCTATGGGGATTCGTAGCCATCGCACGCCAGAAAACGAGACGAGGGGTGAGACGGAAGTTGTGTAGCTCTGGATTGAAATCAGGTGCAATGTGTCCAATGTCGCTGTCTTCTGTTGGATACTCGTCTATTCGAGGGTCGACGAGATCGATGAAGGCCGCTGCTATACGTCCCTCGTCGTAACTCATCTTTCTCTTGTCGCAAGAGTAGTTTTCGAGATCAGGGCCCCCTATCACAACATTTCCTAGGCCGTCGTGCCATCGATAGGCGTACTGAAAGTATTTGCCGTCGACTAGAGGTGTGCCGTACAGGGCCATGAGGCCGAGTGCGCTGGCATAGCCCTCAGAGATTGATGTCGTTGTTAGGTCATTGAGATTACAAAAGTTGTGCACCCCTCCAGCAAAGAGGGCTGCCTTCATTCGTGCCAAGTAATGGATAAAGTGTCCATACTCATGCCCCATGGTCGCTGGGATCTCGGACTGGCTATCGGGAATACTGATATAAACCGGATCTGCTGCAGCATCTGAAAAGAAGGCACCGGACGAAGGTGCTGGGTACCAAATTTGGACTTGTGTCAGTTCACCGTCTCTGTTGGCTATCTCTTCCTTGACGTAGGATGAGAGGTATTCGTAGGCGTCAGCTACCCAGAGGGCTCGATTGTACTCGGTGTCCTCAAAGTTGACTGAGACTTCGATGGTTTCGCCTGCTAGGACGGTCCACTGTTGCGTTGCCAGGCTCTTGCGGATCTCGCTCTGTACAAAGTCCTCCGTTTCGTCTCGACGGGTTCCTATGGTGTAATGCTCGCCCCGGAGGATCACGTAGAGAGTATTGGTAACGATCTTGTGGTTTTTTCCGATGCTGAAGGTAAATGTCACCTCTCCGTTGACATCCGTAAAGGCTATCGAGGACCAAGGTCCGACTCTGTATCCTTCGGGCTGCTCGAAGAGATCCGCATATGCTATAATTACTAGGTGGCGTAGTGGCATTGTCCGGCCCCAACGGTCTGTGAAAGTGAATTTGGCCTTGACATAGGCTGGTACGATGTCGTCTCGGGCGCCGAGTGATTTCTTGTCATGTTTTGAGTCACATGAACAGGAGAAGGATGGAGAGTGCTCCGCGTACACGGTGACCGTGTGGTATACCGTCTCGGTGACAGGTTCGCATTTCGAAGGTGGGAAGGAATGCGACTGGTGAATTGACTCTTGGATAGAGACAGAAGGCTTCTCGGGTATAGAGGTATAGCTGACTCCTGGGTTTGTACTGACAACAGGGCTAGGAGGCACCGTCGACGGGATTACTACTGGAGATGGCGGAGTTGAAGGTAAGGAAGGAGTCGTCTCGTTCTTCTCTTTCGGCTCCATGTGGTCGACTGGGATATAGACTCCCGGTGTAGGCTTTGTCTCAGTCACCGTAAAGTTGTCGAGGCCCATCGGTACGATGGCTTTTCTTTCCTCCACGATCTCGTTGTTGATGTGATAAGCGTGTTCCGAGATGTTGCGTCCTGACCACCAATCTTGTTCACGATTATAGAAGAGGATAGCTCCGCCCGTCTCGACTAAATACCGACCATTGCTTCCGTCATCGACATTGACCAGAATGAGCAAGTCTTGCCAGCCTGTTGTAGAGATGCTGAATCGGAAGGTCTGTTCAAACTCTGGGGTTGCGTTCGTGGCCTGAACAACTTCACTGTAGACCGATGTGCGATTATAGCTGGTCTCATTTGCCGGATAATATGGGGACGTAGAGATGTCTAACGTGAATGAATCTGCCTTTGACGCCACACGGTGGAAGGTCATGGGAACGCGGACGTCGAGAACTCTCTCGTGCTCATTGAGGAACTCGGGAATGGCAAGGATCTGGTTCGCGATGATGGTGGCTCGCCAACCAACATTTGGTGCGGTTGCATGGACAGGAATTATCCATGCTAGCCACGCCAAAAATGCCACGAGATGCATCGTTCCGGGGTGGTTGACAGTGATAGGGTGGATATTGAGCAATAACTGTCTGGGTGGGATTGACAGGGGAGGAGTCGCACATTTAAACTTGGCAGACTATTGTAAGCTTAAACTTATGTTTTTTCAGCGACATGCAGCTGACATGTCGACACCGCAAGGGGAACAAGACGGATTGCCTAGCTGAAAGACGGAGTGAAGCCATCCCAAGCCGCTCATCGTTGGGCCACCACCATTGGCTAACAAGGGCACCTCCAAGCCAAGGGTCAAGCGCATCAACGGAATAAGCCGCTAACTACGGAAAAATCTCGTACAGAAAAAGACATTTTTCAAGGGACTTCAGTACATTTTGGGTCACAAGCCTCCGCCTTCTGTCGAGGCGCAATCCATCCCGTGCTGCTGGTGCCAAATAGGGCTGGTCTAGACCTCAGCTAGGGCGCCATGAAAACGGCGGAGTGAGGTGGATTCAGCCCTGTAGCCCCAAGCCAGTGAGAACCGACCCCCCTCAATGGCTGCTTTGGAAGGAGCCAGCATTTCAGCGCGGCTGGATCAGAGCCAAGCCGGCAAATGAGATGCGCGGGGAATGACGTTCGGCACATGGGTTTGCTCGGCTGTTGTAAATCCCGAAGCCTCTCGTGGGAGGCTATGGACCTGAAAGATTGTTTAGACGTAATGAGAACCTCAGATTCGGGATAAAGGATTCTGTGTCGCCATGTTTAGGACTCGGGTCAAGCCTCCCCTCACTGCGCATGTCAGAGTATTTTTTAGCAGTCTGAAACATGCTCGACCACATGTTTCTGCAGAACCTAGATCTACTGGGCTTGGAAAAGCTCATGTCTTGCTGTAATCTAATCGTGGGGTTGATTGTGCTCAAGTCCATGGTGCCGGCTCATCCACGAAGAAACCACGGGGCGTGTTTGGTTTCATAGTTCACCTACACGATATGGTAAAGCGGAGCATCATGGATAACTTTGCAAGAATAGTAGCAGGTATGATATGCATAGAATATTGACGCAATTAAGCTAGCAAGTGTCCTCCTAGTGGCTCGACGCCTGATATCTATCTCAGTCCCCCAGCCAGCAAAATCTCCTGTCCCGTCAGATATCCTGTCTTTGCCATCCTTGTTTCATGTCAGCAGCGGAGTTTAGGGATTTGCTAGAATTCTTACATTGTCACAACGTTTGCGACCTCTTCTGGAACTCCTAGACGGTGGACGGGGATGCTAGCTGCGATGGCCAGTCCTGGGTCTTCTTCTCTTAGAGCCTCAAGATCAGTGTTCTTTTCCCATGTCCTGCACCTCAAATTAGCAAAATCCTGTTTATCGATGGGAGAATCCGTACTGTGACTTTGGAGTCGGTATCATGCCCGTGGATCCAATCAAGGCGGGAAGAACCTGGAGTTGGAGGCTTAGCACACTATCAAAGTTAAGGATATGCAAGTGCCTTACGATGTTGACGGTCACCCCCTCTGGTGCAAGCACCGTAGCAAGGTTCAGACCCATAGAGCTGTCGACAGTCAGCCGTATTCTGCCTAGACATGGAAAAAGCTCACCTGAGAGCTCCCTTGGTAGCTGCATAGTGGCATCCATTGATACCACCTCCTCGACTAGCAATGCTTCCGACGAGGATGACGCGGCCCCAACCCTGGGATCGCATGCCTGGGAGACAAGCCTTGGTGACCACAAACTGGCTCCGAGCGTTCACCTCCATCACCTCGTCCCAGTTGTCCTCCTCGATATTCTGGATATCGCGGATACGTTTTCCAACGCCAGCGTTAGCAACAAGGATGGACACTGCAGAGTGCCTTCCAGCCACTTCACCACGGTTCAGCACATTGGAAACAAGTGCCCTCGTGGCATCACGGTTAGAGAGGTCTGCAGCAACACAAAAGAATCGCTGCTCTGGAAACGAAGCCTGAAGTTCAGAGGCCAGAGTCTGGGCCTTCTCCTGCACGTCGGGGGTGGCTTGTCAGCCCGGGTCTCGAACCAGGGATATCGGCCGAGCCAAGACACTTACTTGACTCGAAGAATAGTGCAAAGCTACGTCGCAGCCCTCGGCAGCCAGGGCCCTAGCACATGCGGAGCCGATACCTCCAATGTGTGGATGTCAGCTGGGGGGAGGGTCCTACACAAACTTGACTGCTTCGAGAGGGAGGGTAATACCTTGCGCCCGTTACGAGGGCCAGACGACCCTGAACTCGATTATCGACAGGCTTGATGTGATATGTCGTCATGGTGAATAGCTGTGAGATGTTGGGTTGTGAGAAGCGGAGATGTACTACCGAGATGAGAGCCCGGATAAGAAGAAGCAGATGATGCACGAGGACGGTGTCAAAGCAACGAGAGAGTGCGGGGTATTCTCGTCCGAAACGCCGATCCGCCGAAGCTATCCCCGGATTCCCCGCTAATAGCAAGGATCTCGAGAGTTTACTGAGACGACATGTTGCACAGCCACGATGGGAATGAACCATCTGGACAGATTGGGGTCATGGCACATGGCCTTTGAGATGTTGGATCGGGTGAAGCAGTGTGTTTTCTCGTCGTCTCTTGGATATGTCTTCCGAGTTTCGGCTATGCTTGTTCAACTTGATGTTTCTGATGGCCAGAGAAGATAGATTTGAGATACCCCTCTATGAAACAGCTATCTAATTAGCATACCAAGAGAGTTTGACCGATGATACCTGTTTGTGGAGTAGAGAGTCCGGGGAAATTAAGCTTAATTCTGGATAGCATCACGAACTAACGACGTCTAAGCATGCCTATAAGGACCGAACGATGACAATCATAGCCTCGCAAACGGACAAGATCTATCTCGTCGCAGCCTCACATCCCTGTGCTCGCGTCCGAACATTCCCGATCTCACAACCCTAACAATATCAAGATGCCGAGATGTCTGCGTAGGGTCTACGTGCCCTCTCGAGGGCGAGCCAGTCAAGAGGTTGGTTTTCGGCGAGACAATACGCAAAAGAACCGGGATCTAGGCGGTTAGGTAACGAAATCCATTGCCAAGAATCTGACGATGGTGCAGTCTGGGGTCCAAAGTGTCCACTATATTCCTGCCATGCGACGGTAACATGCGTGGATTAAAAATCCCTCGTCGGAATAGAGGAGACAGGGTCGTATTTTGGGTCCCTTTTCCGTATGTGCCAGCCTCTGTGATCAAACGTTTCCGCAAGTGAAACTGAGGGGGGGCAACTCGGAGGGTATTTCTGTCTACCGAGCGACGATCGAATCGTTGATGGTGGCACAAACGCTGCTTAGCTGCGTAACAGTAGTTTTTAGCGAACTGACTGCCGCTGCTTAATTCTCACTCAATCTTGCCTCGGCATCCATTATCCACGTTTTAATGGCCGGCGCGCGTAGATCTTTGTCCTCTTCGGGGTCGTCTACACCGAAGTTTGGATATCCCCCGCCGTGTACCCTGATCCCAGCCTGACGAGTCATGACCCTCTCGCGACCAACATCTGACTTGGCGTAAGGAATACTCATTCGAGGTTGGTATTATGTATTTTGATCGTGACGATGTTGTATGAGCTATTAAGTCGACGTCTGACTTGTGCTACTCTGGCCGATAAAATGGCTACCATACTTTACACAAGGTGTGATATAATACGTAGTTGCCGCCTCGCAAAGCCGCTGATCCCAACCATTATTCTTGGCAGATCCACCAATGCGCTGATGATTACAGGTAATACGCCGAGAGCGCAACACTATCCCACCTTGTCTAGAGGTCACGGATCACCAAGTCCAGTCCCAACTTCCCCGTGGGGAACCAGACCGGGGCGTGACGGCTGTTGATCATGGCCGTTTCAACTTGCATGGGTGGGCTTGAACCTTGTAGACCTTGTGATGTCGTCGATGACTAGAAAAAGGGACCGTCTCCCCCTCGTTGTGAAAGAGGACAACAAGCATTGCTACACGTATTGCATCTTACACTCTTCTCAACAACGGTCTAAACCATCTGTCTACTTCTTCTCTATTCAATAAATGGGCTTCAATACTCATGCGTCGGGCACCAATGATCCGCCTGCAGTGCGGAACTGGCGTATCCATCTGATCGCCTTGGTGGCCAGCATGTCTGCGCTTGCCAGTGAGTCTATGACAGCATGACCCCTGTGATATGTGGATGCTGAATTCTTTTAGTGGGATACGACACCGCAGTTATTGGAGGCACAATGGCTCTTGAATCCTTCATCCGAGACTTTGGACTCGACACGGCCGAAAAGACGGAGCGTGATACGCTTCAGGGCAACATTGTGTCGACGTTTCAAGCCGGTTGCTTCTTTGGTGCTCTCCTCACCTTCCCCATCGCTGAAAAATATGGTCGCAAAAAGACCATCATCGGCGCAGCCTTGGTCTTCTTGCTCGGCGGCACACTCATGACGGCTGCCAATGGTAATATGAGCATGGTGGTTGGTGGCCGAGCCGTAGCTGGACTCGGTATCGGAGCCTCCTCTCTGACTGTGCCTGTCTACATCGCCGAAACTGCCGTAAGTTGACCCTTGTCCTTGAAAAGTTTCTAATCTGACATTCATAGCCACCCTCCATTCGTGGTCGACTGGTTGGTATCTTTGAAATTGCTTCACAAGGTGGTGGTATGCTTGGCTTCTGGATCAACTATGCCACAGATCGTACCATCGATGTCAACTCCAAGACTCAGTGGATTATCCCTCTTGCTCTTCAGCTGGCTCCAGGCTTGGGACTCGCCATCGGAATGACCTGGTGTCCTGAGTCTCCTCGATGGCTTGCACGTGGTGACCAGTTTGAGGCCGCCGAGAAGGTTCTCACCATGATTCGAGGACTCCCTTCTGAGCACGAGTATATCCGTCATGAGATGGGTGAAATCAGAGCTCAGGTTGAGGAGAGAAGTACTAACAAGATGAGCAAGAAGGATCAGTTCAAGAAGCTGTTCCAGAAGGGCGTCCGCAACCGCATGGGTATTGGCATGGCCCTCATGTTCTTGCAGAGCTTCACTGGTGTCAACATCATCACTTACTACGCTCCCCGAATCTTTGAGAGTCTCGGAGTTCCAGGCACGTCGTTGAAGTTGTTCTCGACCGGCTTCTACGGGATCGCCAAGACGCTTGGCATGTTCCTCTTCACCTTCTGGGTGGTTGAAAAGGTCGGTCGGCGCAAAGGCTTGATCTGGGGCGCCGCGCTTGGCTGCATCCCCATGTGGTATATCGGAGGCTATGTAATGAGGGCTGACCCGGCAGCCGCCGCTGCCGCCGGGGTTACCAACCGCGATGGCTGGGGATACCTGGCCATTGTGTGCGTCTACATCAACGCCGTTATCATCTGCGCGACTTGGCAGGGCATCACCTGGACGTATGCATCTGAGATCTTCCCGCTAGACATCCGCATGCTGTGTGTGGCTATCACCACGGCCGATACCTGGTTGGGATCGTTCATTATTGCTCGATCGACGCCTTATATGATTTCTGATCTTGGATACGGAGCCTACTTTTTCTTCAGCGCCATCTTGGTGTGTATGGGTATCTGGTCCGTTTTCTTTGTCCCAGAAACAAAAGGTTGGTTCTCACCCCTCACTCTTGCTACTGCATATTTGTGTGTACTGACAATCTCTAGGCATATCTCTCGAAGAGATGGACGCCCTCTTTATGAAGCCAGTCTACAAGACGGTATGGGCACAAATACGAGGCAGAGAGGTGCTGGCCGCTGATCGCCCCGACTCTCCGTTTGATGATGACGAGAAGGCAAAGGAGCTCCGAATACCGTAAACATTCGGGCCCCAAGATGGATTCTCTCTTTAGACTACATACCACTGAGGGCTATTAGCAGGCACTTCCATGCAAGTCCGATCCGTTTAGCTGTTCTAGGGTAATAGACTTGAGTATTTTCCATCATTCCAATGATTCCAGAAGCATCAAATCGAGCCTTAAATTAAGGTCCAAATTAGAGCCTGCCACACCAAAACACTTTAGGTTCTTATCGCAGACCCATGTCACCCCCCAGGGACTTTTGTTCTGGTGTGGGAGGGGGGGAGGATCCTAACAAGGGTACAAAGTAAGCAGGAGATTATTGAACAAGGGCTAACTGATTGTTTATCGATAGCGATGATCTCGTTATTTCATCAGTCTTTTCTGCTTCTTCAAACTAAGCTCTCCCGACCGTGTGGTCAACTGTCCAGGATGGCAAGGTCAATCTTTTTGCTGACCGGGCCTTTTCCCCGCAAGCTTTTCCCAGGCGATCCGATGGTTGTAGCCAAGCTTGGTAACTATTAATAATAGCCTTTATCTCTTGTCAACGGTCGAGGGTCGCCAAGAAACGTAGCCCCATGTTCGCCAAGAGTCCTGGCAATCACCGTGGTTCCATTGGCTCCCTGGGCGAAAAGCCATGGTCCGACGGGGATGGGAATGGCCGCACTGTTTTCCCGTTTGGTCCTTTTTGTTTTCTCTTCTTTTATTGCCAAGACATTGGTGTCGTGATCCACTCGCAGCCAACAAGAGAGACAAACTGACGAGTCGAGTCGAGTCTCGAGGCCAAGAGATTGCCGTCGGCGAAGGACAAGTTGCTGTTCGGAATGGCCTTTTTGTGAGCTTGTCTAGATGAAGTCTGGAACAAGGTCTCCCTTTGTTTGTCGCTGCACCTCACATGCGCCCAGGCGCCCTCACCCGAGACCATGGACCACCTGTTTCCGACCGTCCGTGTCTCATGCCCTGGAGGTGGTACAGCATGGCACGTCCTTTTGTACTCGTACCCACTGCCCGCTGGAGCTTGCCCTGTAGAAGAAGGATTCTACCGGCACTTGGCTCCTTGTACAATAGCAAGCAAGTATCGTGGACTGACCTGACAATGCTTCCATTATCTGTTCCCACTCGTATCCATAACGACCCGCTATCCCCAGATCCGCAATGCATGGTCCTTATCTTGACACGGACGGGTAGGCACTCAAAGCGTCAGCGGCAATCTTGATGGGGCGATAGAACAGAGCGACAGCATCAACAGGAGCTGCGGCTGAGAGACCCGAGGGAGAGCGTGACAGGTGCATCGTATACGGTTTGCACCGGGATTAGAGCTCGTCATGAAACTCCTTGTCCTGTCCTCGCATTCGTTCTTCTCGAAGCTGTCGCCGAGGGGTCGAGATGGCACCCAAGCCTTCATCTCCTTCCATCTTGAGCCTCGACCCGGGAAGCGGCCGCTTCTCCCATGTCATCGGGTCGCGATAACCTCTGTGGGATTTGTGGAGGCAAATTTGGGGTAACGACAGGTT